AGGAGGAACTGTTGGGTTTAATTTGTCTTCATTATACTGGTTCAGATGGAATCCAGCTGAATAACACTGCCTTATCTCTCCGAGTGTGAAGAGACACATTTTTCTCTTATCCAAATTTTCCCTCCAATCAGAATAGAGCCAAATGCTTTCAGTAACCAAAAGAACTAATAAATGTTTTATTCAGGTCTTCTCTGCCTGGGCCATCCTAGCCTACTTTCCTTGGTACTTCGGGGGAAGCGCAGTTACTTGTTGCTCAACATGATATCGCCTAGGTCATACATTATACATGAGGCTATTCTGCATAGTGCATGCATACACAGTTCATCACCACAGCCACACTATGGTACTGTTTGAAGCTTCTGAAAGGAAATCCAAATTTTTTTTTCCATTAATGTGTCCAAAAAAGAGCAGGCACGTGAGTGAGCAATACAGCTGGATCTACATTCATACAACACGCAGGCACGTGCATCCACAATACCCATTGGCCTGACATTTGAGCAAGCAGGTTCAGAGCAGTGCATCCTTACCCTGCCAGTTTCTGTTTGTATCCACGGAGACAGATGTCAGCAGAGGCAGCAGGCTGAGCGGTATCCGCCGAGGTGTAGGACATGCCTCATCCGCATTACATTCACAGACCACCCGAGGAGCAGCTCACAGCGAAGAGCCAGGACTCCACAATCTGGGTCAGTGCTGCTAGAGCCATCCTTATGGGGAAGAAGGTAGCCACAGAGGGGAGTGCAGACGTCACAGGCCCACATGGATCCTAGCATCCAGCTACAGCCGCATCCTCCGTCTGCTGCTGTTTTGGGTCCAGATGCAATGAATTCCACTGAGACTCAGAGGGGAGCAAATCCATGAGGTTCTCGCATCCACACACGACGAGAGCTTTCTGCTGGAAGAAAAAAACCTCGTCTGCACGAAGCATCGCCGCCTCAGTGAAAGCCTCTGTATTTCTCCTCCTCCTCTCTCTGCCTCTGCCTAATTCACTGCTTTATCGCTCTATTTCTGTCTTTCTCTGATGCTCACCCATATTTCCACTTCACTGCTCTCTCTCACTCTAATTCTCAGCTGTGTCTCAGTGCTCTGCTCAGCCTGTGCCCAGAGGATGTTGAACATGTGTTCAGGGTGGGGGTTGGGGACTGCTGACTTCATAGGTGGCACGCTTACTTCCCACACTGATAGGTTAGGGAGGACGGCACTGAGTAACTCACATTTTGGGCATGTCAGCCTCTAACTGGCATTTTCTTTCGATAAAATCTGTGTGGCCTCTTTTTCTTGTAAATGCTCCTATTTTTGAATCAAACATCTTAGCAGTCGCAGATGAGATTAGTGGCTGTGATTATCCGTCACGCTGTACTTGAGTGGTGGAGATCTGCGGAGTTGTAAAGTAAGGAAGGGAAGGAGGTGATTTCTCTATGTGATATGATAAAATTACTGTCAGCTTATTAAATAGCCCTGCAGGCCTGTTAGAGGGGGGGAAAAAACAAACCATACAGGCTCAGACATGATATACAGCACATGTTTTGTTCCCACTTAACACTGCATCCTCTTTCTAGACGGAGAGGAGCAGAGGGAAAAGGGAAGATGTGGGAGGCACAGAGTATGTAGGAATAAAATTGGACAAACAGAGATGGGGGTGGGGTGGGGGCAGAGAAAGCAGCAAGAAAGAGAAAAGAAAGAAAGGGAGAGAGAGAACAGAGAGCTTTGTAATATTTATAGAAGGCTGGAGACTGATGTAAAGAAATAAGCTGCTCTATTTCTGTGCTGTGACACAGTCGCATCTTGAATGGTACGCTGTCAGGCTAAGTCATATCAAAAGGATCCTATGGTGCCTCTGCAGCAGGGATGCACATAAACTGCATCCATGTCTTTATTTAAACAGATCTCATACACACAAAGATTTTGTTTAGACTTCAGTGGGAAAGTGGTTCTTAAATGGATGTTGATTCAGCTACACCCCTCACATTTTGACATGTGACAGCACTGAAGAAATGACACTTTGCTACAATGTAAAGTAGTGAGTGTACAGCTTGTATAACGGTGTAAATTTGCTGTCCCCTCAAAATAACACATCACACAGTCAATGTCTAAACCGCTGGCAACAAAAGAGAGTACACCCCTAAGTGAAAATGTGCAAATTGGGCCTAAATAGCCATTTTCCCTCCCTGGTGTCATGTGACTCGTTAGTGTGATAAGGTCTCGGGTGAGAATGGGGAGCAGGTGTGTTAAATTTGGTGTTCTCACTCTCACACTCCCTCATACTGGCCACTGGAAGTTCAGCATGGCACCTCATGGCACAGAACTCTGAGGATCTGAAAAAGAGAATTGTTGCTCTACATAAAGATGGCCGAGGCTATAAGAAGATTGCCAAGACCCTGAAACTGAGCTGCACCACGGTGGCCAAGACCGTACAGCGGTTCAACAGGACAGGTTCCACTCAGAACAGACGGAAATAGACCTCTGAGTGCTGCCAGCATTGCTGCAGGTTGAAGGGGTGGGGGGGTCAGCCTGTCAGTGCTCAGACCATACGCTGCACACTGCATCAGCCTGGTCTGCATGGCTGTCGTCCCTGAAGGAAGCCTCTTCTAAAGATGATGCACAAGGAAGCCCGCAAACAGTTTGCTGAGGACAAGCAGACTATGGTAATGGATTACTGGAACCATGTCCTGTGGTCTGATGAGACCAAGATAAACTTATTTGGTTCAGATGGTGTCAAGCGTGTGTGGCAGCAACCGGGTGAGGAGCACAAAGACAAGTGTGTCCTGCCTGCAGTCAAGCATGGCGGTTGGATTGTCCTGGTCTGGGGCTGTATGAGTGCTGCCGGCACTGGGGAGCTACAGTTCATTGAGGGAACCATCAATGCCAACATGTACTGTGACATACTGAAGCAGAGCTGGATCCCCTCCCTTCAGAGACTGGGCCGCAGGGCAGTATTTCAACATAACGGTCCCAAACACACCTCCAAGACGACCGCTGCCTCGCTAAAGAAGCTGAGGGTGAAGGTGATGGACTGGCCGAGCATGTCTCCAGACCTAAACCCTATTGAGCATCTGTGGGACGTCCTCAAACGGAAGGTGGAGGAGCGCGAGGTCTCTAACATCCACCAGCTCCGTGATGTCGTCATGGAGGAGTGGAAGAGGTCTCCTGTGAAGCTCTGCTGAACTCCATGCCCAAGAGGGTTAAAGCAGTGCTGGAAAATAATAGTGGCCACACAAAATATTGACACTGTGTGATGTGTTATTTTGAGGGGAAAGCAAAGCTGTACACTCACTACTTTACATTGTAGCAAAGTGTCACTTCTTCAGTGTTGTCACATGAAGATATAATCAAATATTTACAAAAATGTGAGGGGTGTATTCACTTTTGTGAGCTACTGTATCTGCTGTAGAAAGATCCCAAAGAGCACTTAATCAAGGAAATGATGGCCTTGTGACAATCATAAAAGCCATTAGACTCAGTCACATAACCAATGAGCTTAATTTGGGAGGGAGAGGAAGGAGATGAGAAGAGGAGGAGGGGGTTGGATTTTTGGGTAACATGAAATTCACTGGCTTCTTTTCCTGGTAAGTGAGGTGTGTTTCTTGTCAAACTGAAAATCAAACACTTGTCACTGTTAGCTTAGGGAAAATTAGTTGATTCAAAATGGATTTTATAAGCAAAAGAAAAAAAAGAAAACGTGCGTGCATGTGAGTGTGTGTGTGGAGACCAGGATACCTCTGGGCTTATGCTGTGACCTAGATTAGGCCTTGATGCTCCCAAGCCTGGCAGGCTGAGTGTGTGTATGTGTGTGTGCACAATCCATGGAGTAAATGCGTATGCATGTGTGTCTATATGCAGAAGAGAAAGGAAGACAGTAGAGAGGAGAGAGAGAAAGAAATGTGTGTGTGCATGTGTGACAAGAAGGGAGAGGGTTGTGTACGTACGCATGAAATGAAGCTGCATGGCTGCGTTGCTTGTGTGACTAAGAGCCTCAGCTGGATGACATACAAAGAGGTGAATGTTCACGCAGTAAGAGAGCTTATCCAAAGAAGTGTGCACACACAGCTTCTGCCTCCAAGGGTAACCTTACATAACTTCAAAAGCAGAGAAATGAAAAATTACACAACATAATGAAAGGATAGTAAATTCAGACATTGACACAAAAGCATACCAATCTCACTGGAAGATTTTGTGAATCATACTACCTCGGTTTGTGCGTAAAGCTTAACAGATTAGCACCCACTCTCTGCATGTATATTAGGCTGTTATTGGCTCTGGAATCATTCATTTCCTTTACATATGGTTTAAAATGAAACATCTTGTAATGTATTTTTTGGCTCTGTTACTCTGACCATGCCTTAATGACTCAAAACTATACCTCCTTACTCCATGAATGTGCTGCTATTCAATGCATTATACTGGCCTTACGTAAGAAATGAGTGGAATCATCTCGCCCCAGTTAATTCCTGACCTGTCCTCTGGCCAAATTCATCTCCATGTTATTAAATGGTTAATCCTGTGCATCATCAGCTTACACTGTGTATTGAATTTACAAGAACATATATTCAACTCAGTGGTAAACAACTATAAAAAAATCATCCATTTCCAAACTGCGTTGCAGAAGTTGGTAAGTTTGGATCCAGTCCATGACTTCTTTCACACACAGATGGTGACTCTCCCGCAGAGTCAGGCCGATGGTGGTAAATGATGGGAAAAGACTCATCAGCAGAGACCTCTGTAAACTCATGCGTGCCATTTGCTCTATACAGGAAATGACACACACATAAGAAAATTCATGTTACCCTGGAGGATGATATTCTGGGATTTATGGTTCTAGTTTTTAGGTTTTAGGTTTAGGTTTGGGTAGAGAAGAAACTCAAAAATAAAAACCCAAATCTCTTTTATGACAAGTGTCAGATTAGGAAGGCACAGAGAAGAGAGGTGTGTTATGGAGGATCTGGAAAGATTTGCTCCAGTTTAACTTGATCCCTCCTCATCAAAATAATACCAGGATAGAAATATTTCATTGATAAATTATTTATTTAATGTAATATTTCTATTAAAAGTTTCTTTAAATGCAGTTATTTCAATGCTGGTGATATTAAAGATCAGTGTCAGGAAACATGTACAGAACAATATACATGTGTGGCCATATATCAAATACACCTAGGCTAAATACATTCAAACTCAATTCCTCACAACTCACATTTCATGTTACCATACTTTTATTGTGTTAAGTCAGTTGGGGAGCTACTTTATTACATTTCATAATAAAGAAATTTATTTCAGCTTTTATTTACTAGAACATATTGAAACAAGTTTAAATACACACTGTTAGTATTTTGGTGACTCTGCATTTTCACTTCAGACGCCTAGGGGAGCCTTCTACAAGCTTCTCACAATACTTTTTTTTTTTTTTACTTCTAATTTTGGCCCATTCCTCCACACAGAATTGGTGCAACTGTGGTGGAATACAAATACAAATTAAAAATTCAAAGTACTTACTTACTTACTTTCCATTTTATGCAGCTTTATACTTCTACTCCACTACATTTGTCTTACAGCCATATATCTATATCTATATGTATGTAAAACAATTTTGCATACCCTTCCTGTCCAGTGAATTTGAATGTTTGTGATAAACTGAGGGATGAAGTGTTCCTTAGTGGGCTGAGAAAATCATCCTCCTTCTTAAGCTAAATTAACTATTTAAAGCCCCCCTTTCGTCACAAAGCTGACGAAAATATGACTTTTTAGAGATAAGTGGCTCTCACAGCACAGTGACGCTACAAACATAGGATCTTATAGAATATGATTCACTGCCATAGATTAAACTACAAAACAGTACGTAAAGTAGACTGGTTAAAATGAGCACAACTTTAAACATCTACAGCAGTAAAATGCAACATACACATTAATGCAGCATATTAATCCAGAAACATCAGATGTAATAGTAAAACACTGGCAGGGAACATTTTACTGCACTATGAGAAGTGTTACTTTCGAAGATCATGTACTTTTGCGTGAGGTTTCAAAGGTTTTGGTCAGGATTTGTTTTCACATACGGATCTTGTTCTGCTCTTTCCAGAACTCAGCAATCCCTTGAGACAGTGCCAACTCTGCCAGGCCCCTGCACTCAAGTGGGGTGAACCCCACCAGCGCAGCACCCTTCGCGCCAACCCCCTGCCGCGCTGCCAGCTCTGCGACCCACGTCGTGATGAGAGAAGCCGGAGCATGACAGTACAACTGGCCACCGATGCTGAAAGACGGCCATAGTTGACCTGCAGTCACATGACTAGGTGGGCTCCCCTTCACACTTTCTACATTACAGGCGATTTCCACAGCGCCCTCATGTGGCAAAGCCAGCACCTGTACCCCAGGCAGGCCCCCCGGGGTCGACTCCCTGATGGCTGTGGCGATGCCGCGGCCCATGGCGATGTCCTGGGTGTCGATTGTGACATTGCAGTTCATGACGTATGGGCTGGCCCCAACACCTGCAGGACATCAGCCAAATCAAATATAAATGAACACACCGACACGGAAGCTAAGCAATGAACTGCTGTGGACAGGGTCAGAAGCAAAACCTGCTTTAGCCACCTAAAAATCTGTATCAGTACAAGTGTACGTTACATTAAAAATATTTTCACTGCTCTTCCTTCAGACAGTCATCTCCTTTGGAACTACATCTTCTCAACAGCCGAACTTCCGTATTCCTACGCTAAGTGCAACTTGGCTGCACACTGCATTACACCGCCAGAGATCAGCTGTTTGGGTGTTTGCTAAGACACAACAAATTAAATCAAATTTATACGAGTGACTATGATAGCAACAATGAAAAGCCGTTCACTTTGGAGACAAGGGCACACCATTTGGAACCAGAGTATCCAGAAGAAGAACTTTTGCAGAAGGACAGTGAACGAGAAAAAGGGGAAACATCTGGGGAAACATTACCGTTTGTTTGGTAAGTCATATTTTGTAGGTATTTATTGTTATCTTACTTGATGGTTGGGTAAAGCAGTGTTCTTCAGCCAGTGTCTATCTGGCTTATTTGGTCATAGTTTTACATAATCCTCTTCAGAGAAGTGATCACTGTAAACGAGGAGTTGTCTATATTCTATATTGTCTATATATATTATATCAAGATTCAGTGCAGTTAGCCACAGCTTTCCAAGCCCATAATCTACGGTTGATTATGCGCTGTAACTGCCATACCAACGAGCCTCGTCAGGTTGCATGTTTGGTACCCTATAGACCTGGGTTCAAATCCGGGTGGGGTGACTGCTCTTGCCCCTCCGTCACATCTTGCAACAGCACTTTCTGACCCAAACAGCTGATCTCTGGCAGCATTATGAAGTGTGTGACCAGGCTGTGCTTATGCGTAGGAATACGGAAGCCATACGGTTGAGAAAATGTAGTTCTAAAGGAAATGGCTTTCGGACGGCAGGGCAAGTGATGCACATATTCTAAATATAGCATTCACTTGAACTGATATTGATTTGTTTTGGTGGGCCAACTTTCAGGTGGCTAAAATCTGTTTTGCCTCTGACCCTGTCTACAGCAGTACATTGCTTAGCTTCTGCTATTGTGCTTGCTATGGCAGAACACAACAGCAAGGGGATTGGCAATTGTAAAAGACATGGATGAAAACCTTTTCAACTCACAATGCAATGTGTTTTTGCTCCATTGCATTACAGTCCACTCCTACAATGGATTTCTCCCTCTAAATCCATTGACTATCCCTCTTTGAGTGACACAGTTAATGGCTTGCGAAGGAAAAACTGCCTTTGCATCAAATACCACTGAAGCTTCACTAGAAGCATCTTAAGATGACACCACATTGGCAATGATTGCGAAGTTTTTTGTAGGAATAAAAAATGTACTGCACTGAATAACAGAATGGTTAGCAAAGATAATAGACTTTTCAAATCAATATACTACATCAACTACAATAAAGTACTCACATGCCCTATACAGTACATGTTGAACAGTGTTTGGTCAGTGTAATCATGTCCATAATGCTAATGAAGTGATCCTTCCCTACTGCTTGTGTGACTAGGGGGGTAAAGTCTAAAGTCATATACATCCTAGTTCAGCGGAAGCTATAATGGGGACGAGCCACAACAAAAAGTAGTTATCTAGTTGTCGTGTGCAGGGTTATTGCTGGCAACAAACCTACTGCGACTACCAGGACTGTCCCTCAACCGCAGCTCAGCAAGGAAGACTGTAACTTTGTAAAGTACCCACTTGCTTTAGCTGACTCAGACCGCAGAAGCCTCATTTTAGCTTCATTTACTGCATTTTTTCCCTTGACATGGTCCTCTCGGTTTTCCACTCTGAGAAGCTTGTCTATATTTAATTTTTATGCTGATTTATGCTGGTTAAATAACCTCTTAGCACGTTACATTGATAGCTTAACACTAAGCTATGTGAATATGTTTCCTATAAATATGTGAGTGTGGATGTTTATAGTTTCAGTAGCACAGCCTTGATACGGAGTCAAAGCACATTAGTTTGTCCTGCTGACATAATGTTACGTCTACTGCAGCTAACTCGTCAGTTGTTGTTGCATGCATCTCATTCGGGCGGATACTTCTAGACTACATTTGTCCATGGAATGAGAACTGGATTTTTTTTTACCCATTTCTCACATTGTAGTCTGGCAACAAAGGACTAGCTTCACTGTCTACGTAGACAGGAAGAATGATTATATTAATAAAATATCCTTAAAAGGTGAAGCACTTTAAATGTTTCAGGTTGCTGCTTTCTTTACAAGGTAAAAGAAGAGGAGAGAGATGGCCTGTGGTTGGGCTGTAACAAACCTGCAATGTATAATCCTGACAAAGACACATTTACCTACGGAAGCATGTCTGGTATGTCAATTTTAGCTTACAGTTTCTCTCAGCTCTGGCTCACCTGTGATGCCGAATCGTTCCTGAGGCTGCGGCCCCACGTCGGGCCTGATAGCCTGCCAGTCTGGCGTCTTCTTGAACCAGCCCATCTCCTTCCTCCTCTGTGCCAGCCCCCGCTGAAGGGGGGAGTCCGCCCAGCCAAACAGGAAGGCACTGGTGCCCTGGACCCGCTCTGTAAGTCCCTGAGCCACAGCTGAGTCCCAGCATGAACACAGACATGTTAGTTAACCAGCAAATGGAGCACATGTCGTCATATGCACGCAATTTCAGAAACAAGAGGGCAGTCAGAGTGTGTCAGACAAAACACACCTGAGGGGGAGTTATTCAGACGAAAAGATATGGATACATGGACCACTTATTACATGCATGCATAAATACAGTGCTTGTTAGTGAGTTTGCGAGAATAATGAGAATTATTACTCTGCAATCACACCACACATTAGCATACAGAGTGCACACTTCAGGAGTACAGGCCACATGCTGGGTTGCTGCTCGACACATGGCTCCTAAGTCAGCTGGTAAACTAATCAACAGCACAGGAAGCGAAAGAAGATGTCGCATCATCAGCAATTAGACACATTCCTAGAGGCACCATGAGCTCATTACATATACAGTATGGTAGTGTACATTAGGAGTGGGAATTGGAAAAGTATTGGAATTTATTACTTTTTTCCAACTTTAAATTGTGTCCCCAAAGGAAAACTCTTTTTCTAGTGGACTAAAAAAGCAACTGATTTTATTATTATACTACCAATTATGTAAAATTCTCATGTACAATTTATATAATAAAAGGTCGATACTTGGCTCTGTGTATCGATACAGTACTGCCTCAGAAAATATTGCGATATTGCAATATTGCTGTATCTTATGAAATGTATGATTTCCCCCCACCACCCCTAGTGTACATATACAATGGCAGTTTTTGATACTTTCTAAATGACTGTGGTATCATATACTAAAAATGGAAAGATTAAATGTAAAGTACAGCTGTCAACTGCAAAGGACAAATTGCAATATCAAGTCAAATCTAATGCACGTAATGTCTTTGCTCTGAAAGCTAATGAACAGATACAATATAGGAACAACTCAACTTACAGGGACATATTTTTAAGTGCACACACACACACACACACACACACACACACACACACACACACACACATGGCATCTCACCCCGAGCCTCTTTAGCACAGTCCTCCACTCCCACCTCCTCCCCCAGAGGGTAGATGGGTACAAGGTCGACCGCACCCATACATGGGTGGACCCCTGTGTGAACGCGCATGTCGATCAGCCCACAGGCTTTCTCACATGCAGACAGAACCGCCTCCCCTGGAATGTATCGCACATGACATCAAACACACAATCAAAGCGAAGAAAATAAACTTTCGTTTACATTTAAAGTTTTGTGTATCATCCAGCAGACATACTGATTCCAGTCTGAAGAAAACTGAATTTAATATGATAAAAATAAATTTGATTTGATAGATTTGGTAATTTTGCAAATGAAGCTGATGTATTTGTCTTTAGGAATGAATGTAGGACATACAACTGTAAACCTCTGCAGCTTTGTCTGCATTGTCAGAAGGTTGTGTTCGGGATAAGCATTCAATAAGATGCACTTTTCACTATGGTCTTTGCCAGAAAAACGTTCATCCTGAATATTTTGCGTTTAAATCCCTGACAAAGCTTATTAAAGGATTTTTCCTTTAATCGCAGAGCAGGGGGCAGAGACTGACTCCCTGCTGCAGAAGCACTGTCACAGCAAGTAGCGGACTTTGCTCTTCCCTCAGGAGAATGAATGAAGAGCATCTTTCATCATTTCAAAAGGTGCAATACTTACCGATAGAGTCAATACTGGCCACAATGGTGATTACAGAACGGTTGTAGTCATGGTCATTAAAGATGTTCAGCACTGTGGTCCCTTCTCGTCTTACACCTGATGCATATTAATTACGAAAGGAAATAAAAATTGTCAAAGTTAAAATTATTTTTGGATATGGTGTCTGAGTCTTCTCAGTTCAAAGTTCATCACATCACAGAAGTCCCCATCATGGAGGACAGATGGGGAAGTTGTTGTGGGCAAATACTGTGGTTGTGTATCTATATTTCTATCTATATTCTATATCTTAGTATCTTTCCATACCGAGTTCTGTAAGAGCATCCTGCAGGTGCAGAGAAAAACACCACATAACCTGTGCAGAGCAGAGCTCGACCAATACCCCCTCTTACTGAAAATACAAAGGCAATCAATTAAATTTTACAATAACTTAAAATTAGTTGACCCCCAGACATACCATCACAAAGCCCTAACATACCAGGAGCTGAAACCAGAGAAGAGTCCCCTCGGCCAGCTGGTCCTGAGGCTCTCTGCAGTAACAAGTCCCCAACAGCCTCAGGACAGCAACGCCAACTCAAGCAGACCAAACCAAATTATCAGCAAGCAGAAAGAAAAATATATTGAATACTGGAAAGAAACAACCAAAACACAAAGTAAATTGCAATGTTATCTGACCCTAAAAAGAGAACTCACACTGGCAAATTACCTGAGTAGAGTAAAATGTCCCAAACTAAGAAAAATGTTGACAACATACAGACTGAGTGAACACAGCCTGGCCATAGAAAAGGGTCGCCACAGACAGAGCTGGCTACCACAAGAGGAGAGACCCTGCTCCCAGTGTGACAGGGGACAGGTAGAGACAGAGCCGCAAAAACACTTTGCAAACATTCCCCAAATATTCATATCAGACACACAGAAACTCCCCTGTTAACTGGGAGAAATGCCCAAATGTGAAATAATTTCTGCAAAATATTTCTCCTCATGCCGTGAAGTGAGGACAACCAGTGGAAACTCAGACTGATACAGAATTTGATATTTTAGTAATTGTTTTGTTTTTACATTTGATACTGATTTCTTTTTTTAAAATGTATTATTTTTTAATCAAAAATTTTTTGTCTATTACTATACACACACACACACACAAACTTACTGTTTTATTTATTTATTTTATTTTAATATATTTGTATTTTTTTTACATACACAAACACATGCTTACCGTTTTATTTATTTTATTTAAATTTTAATATATATATATATTTTTAACACACACACATGCTTACTGTTTTATTTATTTATTTTATTTAAATTTTTAATATATTTTTATTTTTTAACACAAACACACATTACTTTACGCTTATGGATAGTATGGGGTTGATTGTCCTTTTGTAGTATGTATGATGCTTTGGCAATATTGTTGTTACACATTCATGCCAATAAAGCTAATTTGAATTGAATAGAATTGAAATTCTATAAAGTACAAATGAAGAATAGTATGATATGGAAGACTTGCACTGTGACATAGTTAACTGTCTAAACTTTGGAGCTATTCTGTCTCAGCAAGACAAATCTGATCAAACAACCAATATCCTCAGACTCATTTAATTTAAGCAGTACTCAATTAAATTACACTTGCCTTCAGTGTTGTATAACGCTGCCCTGGCCACAGTCTCTACCAGGTCTTTCCTTCGAGCCTCGGAAACATTGAGAAGACAAGCAACGAGTCTTCTGCCCAGGGAACTAGAGGTCATGTTTCTGCAACAGCCATAATCAAGTGCACGAGAACAAATGCTAAAGTGAGACAATGTAACTTTTGAAGTTGAAATAATAAACAATAAAATACACTCTAGCTACTTGGCAATAGGTGGTGTAGTTAGGATTCAAAAGGCTTTTAAGGAGTGCATTGTTTTTTACTCCTTGTCCTGTGTGTACATACTGGTTGTCTTTTCTGTTTTTATTGTATGTTGTTTGATGTGAGCTGGTGGCAACAGAGTATCCTTATTGGGGATTATTAAAGTTTTGTAATATAATCTAATCTAGTTCTTTCTTTCTTGAATGGCTAACATAAACCATAAACTGCTAAATGTCAACTGTTTATTCAAAATAAATGCATGGCTATACCACAGGGACAGTGGCAAGAACATAATACTTCCTTTTGTCTTATTAATAATAATAATAATAACACTGATTGTAGCAAAGTTTACCATGAAATAACCACAGTGCATGACAATATCTCCAGGAAATATTAACTAGTGCAACCAGTGAAATATGTTTTAAAGTCTAGATGACCTTAAAAGGAGTCTCCTTGTGTCTAGACCAGGGGTTTTCAAAGTCTGAGACTGTGGGCCTCCCCTCAGACAAAGCTTGGGAAACGCCGACCTCCACCACATCTTTAGTTTACTTGGTAAGTTTTGCTCCATTCCTGGATGCTTTTGGGATCATGATGACATTATTTGATCCCATAGACACACAACAATTGAGCCAAAATAGCCTAATATTGCTGTTTGACATAACTTCTGACTACAATAAATAGTTTTAGAAAAGGTCTGTACTAAGCATGCACTGTTTATAAAAAGGTCCTAATGCATTTATTAGTTTCTGACTCTGATGGAAGAAAAAACAGTTCCCAAAAACAACTGTATCTCTGAACTCTCACACGTGTAGGCTATTCTGTGAACTCCTTTTGATAACTAATGCAATAAGTAATGTAATATTGTTTCACTTCTATTCACTGAGCCTCTCCTGAAACTGCTTGGACCCCACTGGGGACTTTGAAAACCCCTGGTCTAGACTGAATGTGACAGTGTCGCCCCATATCAGGGAGTGCTGACTGTCTGTACAGTTACAGGACAAAGTCCACGCTGGAGTAAACTGGCTACATTTATCTGTGGCATGCAGCTCAAAAACATGTAACGTTACTTTACCTAAAATATCAGTCCATTAAATGTGAGATACTTGCGTTAAACTGAATGTTCTTTCAGCACTGACACGTGTAGTACATTCTCCGGTGTTGTATCACGGGGGAAAATGGGCAAATCACTGATTTCTGTACGTAAACACCGACAGAAAACCGCTTAGTGCAGCAGCTTCTGCTCAGATACCAAAGTATACAAAAGTATCTATTAGCAAGAAGAGCTAAAGATGAAAGAGCTCAGATGGTTCACTCCTGTTCCCAAAAGTACAGGAAACCTTTGTCTTTTCTGGAGGACGCTACATTTTGTTTTTAGCCTGTAACGTATTTTGCACAATCGTGTAACATTTTCTTACTGTGCTTGTTTAGTTTTGGTCTACATTTTGTAAGTTACTATGTATGCGTATGCAAGGAGGCAAGGATAATGTGTTTTATGGATGTGTTTTCTGTCGTGGAAATTAGTTTCCTGGTGAGAGGTTGAGCAAATAATTGAGTTACAACAAACCGTTGTCTTTGAAGAATTTATTTAACTAAAGATAATAAACAGAGAAGTACTAAAACACAAATCAGCTAGGCCAGATGTTCTGTCTGCTAAGACAGTCACTGACGTCTGGCCCAGAACAACGGGCTGCAGGATCATTTACACAGTCTGGGTTTCTATGTTTTGGGGAACAAAAGATCCTCTCCCAGCCTTGACTGGTCCCAGCCAAAACAAGGAGAGGAACAGCTTGTAAGGAAAACAACTCCGCATCCCTGACCTAAACCCTACACATGTGGACAGACTAGAATGATGAGAATAATAATAAAAGGAACAGGTTAAAGATTAAAAAGAACATATAAGACATATTAATAATAGAAAATAAAAAAAATAGCACTCTTATAAGTACTTGCATAAAAGATTATAAGTAAAGAAGAAAACAATTTTCTGCCGTCACATTTTCAAATCAAAAACACATTCTTGTTTTTGATGTTATGTATGTTTTAGTGTTTATTTTATTTATGAATGTTTTACTGTTCAATATCAAGAATGTTATGTAAATTATAAATCAGAAGCATGACAGTGCTGAGAAATAGGCCCGACAAAACAGTAAGTTAAATAAAATAAATAGATATTTTTTTAATTATTTGTGGATGTATGACACATATTAGATCTACTTTTTTATCTGTACAATATCTAAAATATTTATGTTTATATTTTACTCATATTTATTCAAAAATATAGTCATCTGGGAATTTATTTCTCGATTTTAATCTAAACATAGTCCTTTGCCTTGGACTGACTGAACGGTCTAGGGTGGCTGACCGACTAGTCAAAAACGGAAGTAGTTAGGAGGACATCATCTCGCCACCATCCACGCTCAAGTATCTCTGGAGACACAGACATGCGCAGAAGTACTAATGGTTTGTTTGGTAGGCGCTGGCAGCTCCGGGGTGTGTTTTTGATGAACAGCGCCTCTTCGTGGACAAAAAGACCCCAAACTATCAGAATCAAAGAAATTATATCAGAGGTTTTTCAACAATGTTGAGGCAGACGACGCATAGACCAAAGTGTGCAATGATAAGTATTTCGCTTACGTAGCTTATTTCGCTCACAGGCTCCTTGTTTTGACGTTAGCTGCAGAGGATGTGATGTTGGGTTGCTAGCAGAGACAGCTAGCTAGCTGACACAGCAGCAGCAGCAGCATGAAGTGAGTGGGTTAAATCATCATTTTCTTATTTTAGAGTCCATGCTAGGCGCCCGAGCAGTTGCGGCGGGCTTCCCTTTAATATCTGTGGCCAAAACGATGACCTCTGTGGGAGTGACGACACCCTCCGAGCCTCGGGGGCTGCATGCGTCTGCCAGCCGGGATGCGCGCGCTGGGAGCCCGCAGCAGAGGCTCCAGAAGCTGCTCGCGGTGCCTGGATGCGACCCGAGCCGAGTTAACGACCTGCTGCTGCTCCGGCCTGATACTGACGACCAGACTGCTTCAGAACCGAAGGAGAAGGGCAGTAACAGGCACGTTGTGTTTTTCCACGGGGATATTCAGGTGAGCGCCATGCAGGGTGGGAACCACCTGTGGGGTTTAGTGATCTGGGAGGGGGCTCAGGTAATCCTCGGGGTCAACAGGACGACGATGACTAACATAATCCAAAATGAATGATTCCACTGAAAGTTCCTAGAGACCAGCTAGTGATATATCCATTCACTGACACCCACAGTACACCTGAGACAGGTTCAGTAAAATCCTGTCAGTGCTGAATGTTTTGTTGTGGAAACAGATCACACCTGCTACACTCTTGACCAAACAAGAAGCAAACTGTAACAATAAAGACTTTCTGAGAAACGTGTATAAAGTTATATATGGTGCCTTTTATAAGATTTTCTATTTTCTTGAGTTGCTGCGTGTGGTTTTAGTAGATTAAGGGAAAATACACTTTGTTTTGGTACATTACTTTTATGTGCAGCTCACTTATATGAAGGCTACATGTCATGTGACATTTAAAGGGCAAAGGTCATGTATTTTGCAGATCTATAAAGCTTTCATAGCTTGTGCACAGCATGTGACGCCTCATGGATGCAAGGAAAAGGTTTGTTTTACCCCTTCATTAAACATTTCTCTAAACCAAAGGAATCGCCTGCATGCTGTTGTTCACAGGGCACACTTGGACTTGCTTGCTTTAGAATGATTGTTTCCCACTTTAGTAACAGAGTATGTGGTTAATTCTGCACAAAATATTGTTAACTGTCACAGCAAGACACCAAATCTGTAAATTGGCACCTTAGAAATCACACAGGAGACGAAAATCAGTAAGTCTGAGAGAGTTTTTTTAACCTCAGAGCGCAGATATTTGATCCTGTCACACGTGGCTGCTCTTGACTACATTGATATCAAGTTCAGTTTATTTATACTGTGTGCAGGACCTTCATCAGCGAACATAGAGCTCAGTAAAAAAGTCAGATAATTTAACTGGAAGAAGCACTTTCCAGCACCAAGCAACAACAAACACGCACAGTGACACTAACATATGAGCCATTCAAGGAGGAGGACGCCTCTGCATCATGGCAGCTCGCATCGTTTGTAATCTGTGCATATCCCTTTTATCTGCACACTGAAGACAGAACACTTTTAAAACAATAATAGTCAATGACTAGATAAAGACAACAACATTTGGTGCTCGTAAGTATGATATATTGAATTATTGACACCTGCTCGGCTTTCCCAGCTCTGCACTGTAGGGCATTCTGGGAAATGTCGCAGTGCTTGGCAGACAGTATGTCGCAACTCGCACAGCATTTTTCTTTGCCCTCTGGTTCTGGAGTGCGTGCAAGTGTATTAAGGTGTGCGATGTTGTAAATAACATCTGTGAAACCTTTTTTCTATGAAGCATTTCAAAAACTAGAATCAGACTGTACCGCAGAAATATTCTCAATAAAAACATAGCAACACAAGACCTGAGGAAAACATCCTAATAACACTAGCACTTATTTTGCTACCACCCATACACAGCATCAGCAGCCATCTGACCTTACCTTATCTCACCTTGGTTAGAAACCTGGTAGAACCTGTGAGGGGAATCAATTCAACACTCTAAAATAGTCATTTTGTCCTTAAAACATTGCCTTTGATGTACCGTGAGAGCACAGGAAGCCAAGGCTTTCCTATTCAGCGGCAACTGCTGTTTTAAGGAGTTTTAAAGAGCACTGGATGGATGGGAGCACTAGTGCACACTTTATTTGTGCCCCGTGACATCTGTGTGTGTGTGTGTGGGGGGGTGTTAAACTGCAGAGCTGACCGGCCGAGAAGCAGGGTGTTTCTGAACATGAGTGCAGTTCTGAGTAAACTGCTTTAAAGAATAGACATGATCGCTTCCCTCCAGCTGTGCAAAACGTCTTCATTGCTGCAGCTGCCAGATTGCAGTGTGAGATTATGCAAAGCGGTCTCAGAGGCTTTTTGTTTCTTTTTTTTAGTAAATGGAAGGGGCACTTACTGAGTAAAATAAGATTAAACACAACCCATTTGTTTTCCTTTCTAATTGCTTTCAGGAATTGAAGAACTGCCCTCATTTATTAGAGCTTCTCCAGTGCCCAGTCCGTCTATCCATTGTCCTTATCTGCAGTTCGTTTGGCAATCTTCCAAGCAAGTGTTAATATTCCCAAAGTGTGCTGGCATTTGCCCGGAGGCGCTTGTATGCTCAGGATGCTGTCACAGTAATGTTTCCATGTAAGTCAAATGAGGCGGTTGTGTTGGGACCACGCAGCCTCAGCCTGACAGCAGACGGAGAACATGCTGCTAACGGAACGGATTATGTGCATCAAACATCACTGACTTGTCTTTATGGGGGGATATAGTTTTCTTTTGTTGTTGTATCTTTCCTTCTTAATTTTAAGCATTTAAAGGTCCAGTAACACCCCCCGAGCAATACGATGAGTTTATGCTACAAGATTTCATCTTGCAAAGCTGTATCATGAACTGAAGGGCTGTTAGGGATGTACATACATAGAGTATTTTTGTGTAAACGTGTGCTGCGGCTTCAAACAGTCTCTCTCACTGTGTGTCGTTGGTGCAGAACTTCCAGGAGGAGATGGCCCTGCAGCCCGAGGGAGCCCAGTGGCTGTGCTGGAGTCTGGAGCAGGTGGCCCTCACCCTGGGCCGACGTTTCCCTGGCCGACATGTTTGGGTGGTCAGAGCCTCTCGCATGTATCTCCACAAGTTCAGCTGCTACCACAACTTTGTGGAGAGCAACATGTTCGGGGCACCGGAGCACTCGCCGTACTCACCTGAATTTGGGGCGTTTCGCCACCTCAGGTTTGGTTTGTGTGTTTTTGTTTTTTTTGTATATTTCCACATCATCATATTGGTCAGCTGTGTTAAACCTGCGTTGGCCACTTGGGGGCAGCAGGTACAAGCTTTAAACACAACACTGGCATACACAGATCAGGAAAAGGGAAAGAATTTCAGTGACTTTCACAAGGGCCAAACTGTGATGGCTAGACGACTGGGTCAGAGCACCCCCAAAACAGTCTTCAGTGCTCAGTACGTATCAGAACGGGTCCAAGGCAGGAAAAGCGGTGAACCGGCGACAGGGTCATAGGTAGCCAATGATCACAAAGGGTGCGAAGGCTGGCCCGTGTCCTACAGACGAGCTACTCCAGGTCAAACTGCCAGAAAAGTGAATGCTGGTTCTGATAGAAAGGTGTCAGAACACACAGATCATCGGAGTTTGTTGCGTATGGGGCTGCGTAGCTGCGTAGGTTTGGCGGGGGGGGGGGGGGTCGATACAGCATAGTATCACGAGAATTTCTGCGGCAGTACTATATTGATACACGAAGCCCAAGTATCGATCTTTTATTATATAAATCGTACATGAGAATTTGACTTTTTTGGTAGTATAATAATAAAATCTATTGCTTTTTCAGTCCACTAGAAAAAGAGTTTTCCTTTGGGGACACAATTTAAAGTTGGAAAAAAGTAATAAATTCCAATACATCACAATATGTTTAAAATCGCAATAATATCATATTGTGACATAAGTATCGCAATAATATCGTATTGTGACATAAGTATCGCAATAATATCGTATCGTGACATAAGTATCGCAATAATATCGTACTGTGGGGCCTCTGGTGATTCCCACTCCTACAGTCAAGGTGCCCATGCACCTCAGTTCACTGCAGCAGGCATGTGAGCTTTAGAAGTGGACCATGGAGCAATGGAAGAAGGTGGCCTGGTCTGAGGAATCACATTTTCTGGATGGCCGGGTGTGTGTGCGTCACTTACCTGGCAACACATGGCACTAGGATGCACTATGGGAAGAATGCGAGTCGGCAGAGGCAGTTTGATGCTTTGGGCAATGTTCTGCTGGGAAACCTTGGGTCCTGCCATTCGTGTGGATGTTACTTTGACACGTAGCACCCACCTCTGCATTGTTGCAGAACATGAACACCTTTTCATGGAAACGGTATTCCCTGTTGGCAGTGGCCTCTTTCATAATGCGCCCTGCTACAAAGCTAAATTGCTTCAGGAATTTTTTGAGGAACACAACAACAAGTTCAAGATGTTGACTTGGCCTCCAAATTCACCAGATCTCAATCCAATCAAGCATCTGTACTATTTGATGGACAAACATCTATGGAGGCCTCGCAACTTACAGGACTTAAAGGATCTGCTTGGTCCTTTAAGTCTTGGTGCCAGATACCACAGTACACCTTAAGAGGTCTAGTGGAATCTTTAACTTTCTCCAACTCACTCGGCTGCCTTTGTATTGTTATTTACAGTAGTGACTGTCTGAATTCTCTGTGCATCAGTAAAGACCTCTGCATTATTTAATGGCCTTAAAAGTCATACCTATGCCAAACACAGGAAAGCTGCACTGGCACAAGGAACAGCGGTCACAAACACTCTTAGCATCATGTACTGAGACGCAAGATCCGACAGAGTAGACTCATCACCTCTGACAGACGCTTTACCACATGAGTATTTACTGCATGGCGATTGTATTTCTTATTGCAGGGCCCTGCTGAGCCATGGCATGGAGCGAGCCAATCTACCAACGCCCCTCCAGCCACAAGGAGGCGCTGACAGCATCCCCTCAGGGTTCTCACTGACGTTGGTGGGCTTCAGCAAGGGCTGCGTGGTGCTGAACCAGATGGTGTACGAGCTGGCCGGGGCCCGCGCCGACCCTCAGATGAGGCACTTTGTTAAACGCATCTCGGACATGTACTGGCTGGACGGCGGGCACCCAGGAGGCAGTGAGACCTGGGTGACGGGCAAGCAGGTGTTGAAGGAACTTGCTTCCAGCGGGGTGTCGATTCATGCCCACGTGACCCCTTATGAGGTGTGTGACCCGATGCGGGCCTGGGTGGGCCGCGAGCATGGACACTTCATTAAGACCCTGGAGGAGTATGGGGCCAGCCCAACTAAGAAGCTGCACTTTAAGGATGAGCCCCCTTCCATTGAGAACCACTTCAGGGTCATCCAGGAGTTTTGAGATTAGTGGTGAGCTGAACGTCACTGAGCGCTTTAGATTATTTATTACGAATACAGATTGAGTGTCTTATTCGCTGGTCCTGCCTCGTTTGTCTGTGATTTAATGGCTCTTGAGTTTTGAGCATGTGACAGATGCTGGTGTGTTGTACTTTCTACTGCTAAATGCACTTGATCCTAGTTTGAACGACCAGGGGCCTCTTCCCCTGCAGCTCCCAGTAGGATTATGCAGATATGAAAATGATCTTGCTTTAGTCTTGAAGAGAAATGTGACCTTTTCCATTAGATTGTGGCTCAGGCCTTGAATTGCTGCAGAATGGTTCATGTCGTTTCAGCTGGATTTTGCTAATGAGTTGTATAATTTAAGGTGTATAATGTAATTATGACAAATTTGATTTTAAACTTAACGTATGTTTGGCTGAAGCAGGACAGCTTATTCCATTCTCTTTATCCGTGCCCTTGTGTTGAGCTATTTTTGACCCATGAATGTCTGAATGTCTGAACTTCAACTGGTTCAGTCTCCATCAGTCGGTCTCTCAGTAGTGATTCTTGATTGTGTCCAAACGTGTGTCCCCTGAATTAAGCCACGTACTTTGTCAGAAAGTAAAACAATGGTTCTGTTGTCATTCCTTCAGTTTGATCCCAACAGCGGACTGTCCACCAATAATGTGTGCACTCCTACAGTTTAGACCCCAGTCCCACCTCAGGGTCCATTTAACAGCTGGAGCTTTCGATCATATCACATTGTCTTTTTTGGCAAATTGCGCTGAGATGCTTTAAACTCCACCTGCTGATGACCTTGAGGTGAGATTTTGTCCCCTGCTCTTTTCAAGTTTAAAAATGGACATTTAAACTCAGTAGTATTGTAACCAGAACATTCTTTGAAACTTTTTTTCTGCTATGACTTACTCATATAAACCTTTCTTGTTATCACTTTTTCTAAATATTACCTGGGCCCTGTTTCAGAAAGCAGGTTCAACACACTCTGAGTGTAAATCTGTACTCTGAGCTGTCAAACTCTGAGTTTTACGTTTCAGAAAGGCCGATCAGAATAAGTTCAGTCAACTCTGAGTATGTTGAGCCTGATGGAAGCGTGTGCGTGGGGATGGGGGAAAAAAAACATCATCAATGGAGCTCCGATACTACTATTCACCATGGCAACGGGTAAATAAAGGCAGAGCCTCCATTTTAATCGGGTGGAGCTAGAAATATGAATGCTGCCAACGCGGACCATGATAGGCTCAAAAACACAGGATCGATACATTAACAATATTACATTTTATTCAGCGTTGCTCATTCATCATTTACCAGACTGGAATTTCATTAATGAATGATAAAGTGCTGGAATTCTCCTACATTTAAAATAGCTACAGGCCTGTTTATTCAGCTGGAACTTGGGACTAAATGCTGGTGGCAATAACTGAAGATGAAATTATTAATCAAACAGATCAGACACAGTTTAGGCTCCTCATGGACCCGTGATTGTAAATTGACAGTCCAACTCAGTAGGCCTATTAATGTTTTTTGTAATGTAAAATGTTTCTAGGTTCAAACTGACTGAAGTTTTAGACGTCTATGTTCCATTAATAAAATCTTTTGTATTCTTTTGTATTTTATGAAATGCTGTCAAAACACATTCAGACTATCAGCAGATAATGAAAAACTCACTTTTAAACTACATTTGTTTCAGTTGCACCACAGTCATCCTCACTCAGAAATATTCACATCATATGCAGCTAATAACTACGATAGGAATGTTCAATCTGTGCGACTACAATATGAAAGGTTACTGTTCAATCATCAGTTTTATAGAGATTACTTTAAACAGCAGCACTGTAGCGCACAGTAAGTGTTTTGCCTTAATGTCCACAGTCAGTGTGTTATAAAGGACAGCGTAGCTTATAGATTTTCTTCTGTGTTGAAGATAAATTTACGATGTCCAACTCTCTGTCCATACCTCGATGACAGATTGATCATAAAAGCGTCATGTTCAAGATCATGTTTGGGGAAAAAAAAACAACAAACAAATAGCCTATTTAACCGTGATTTTGATGTTTCTAAAGACGTAATTGCGTTCCAATATGTGCTTTGATTGTCAGTATAATTGAGGAAATGAAACAGTGTGTGAGACAGCGGCTTCAAGCTCTGCAGGAGGAGTCAGAGAGAAACTCAGCATTAGTTGAAGTAAACCTCCTCCTGAGCAGGTTAGGTTCACAGCGTAAGTTGCCGGGGTTACAGACCTAGAGTTTCTGATCTCGCTCTCTGAAACCCAAACCCAGAGTTTCCCTCATCTCGGCGAGTTTTCACTAAACCCGCTTTCTGAAACAGGGCTCTGAACATGTTACTTGCTACTGCTGGTTTTGATTGAACACGTTTACATTTTTTTTTGACAATATACCAAATTACCTTTTTATAAATAAAAACAATTCTTATAGTTTTTTGTTAAAGTGAAGTTGACAGGATGCATCAACGAGAAGGTACACGGTCATTTTCTCACCAGCTGCTTTGTTTCTCACGGTGGCAGAAATGCATCACTGTACTTCTTGTTTATTGCAAAATGTAAAACTGCACATCTGTGTTTTAGTAGGACTGTGGCAGCATGTGTATTAACCCATGTGATCTCTATGTAAGCTTAAATAGCATCTTTGCACTATGCTGATAGGCTGTAACTCATTTTGCTGAATGTAACTTCAAGTCATTCCATTGTGTTTACTACTTGCTGTTTGCCACGCTGTTTAAAGACCCTGGGAGTCAGAGGGGCGGATCAGATTCACTTTTCAAAAAAGCCAAGAGAACATGTATTATTTTAAAGCATCCGCTTTCTAATTGGTAAACATCGTCACCATGTTATTTTGTTCTGTTAACCAGTGACAGAGAGGAATCGAGAGACTTTGTCACTAGTTACTACAGTGCACTTTGCTTCAGCTCTCTCGAGTCAGCAGGTGGCAGCAGTGTGGAAAATATTGAAAGCAGGACATTGAAAAAGACTTTGATCAACACTGGACTGACTCAAGATGACAACAACAACAAAAACAACATCAGATATTTTCTACAACCTTTAATGAGCTTTTTCAGTTTGCTTTGTGATGCTTATATATTAGCTTGCTGTTGATCAGAATACAATATGGATAATGATTTTTTTTTTTAGTCATTTCAGATGAAGATCAGAATGCTCATACATTAAAAAATATATATAAAATGCAAAATAAACATACATCTCTCGAACATGTATTTGCTTGTTGCCTGGTTTGACTCTAATCTACAGTATGCTTCAGCGTCACTGCGATCACACAGAACAGAAATATTGGCTGACATCAGTCACCTGATGAAACTGGTGCTCCACTTCTCGAGGACGACGGCTGAGCACCTCCCACTCAGACAATGAGCACTCACACACGGAGGCCACGGCTGACTAGCTGCTGAAAATAACAGCACAATAGCTGTACAAAATGACAGTCAACACCGCAGCATAAGTCATGTTCAAGTGACCGACGGACAACGGTGGAGCATTTCGTCATCGTGCAAAGTGAGATCCCTGACATCACTGCGTTGCAAAACAAGTCCGTCTTGTGGTTAAGTTACTCAGATCTTAAAATCTTGAGATGCTGCAGCAACAGGAAAGACAACATGTCGCTTGTTTCTGTACAGCTGACTGACACCTCTTGTATCAAGTCAATCATTTCGGTCTGAATCAAGATTATCTCAAGACACTGCCACCTGTTTGGAGAGGTATTAGAAAAAGCAGAGTAGACCGACTTTGAAAATACTTCACTCTTGAGACAAAGTAAGATTCAAGCTTATTTCCTTTTACAGTAGCAAAAGAGTACACTATCAAGCTCAAGTAGGAGCTGCTGACTCTGTGCTGAGATGAGAATCTTTTACAGTGTGGTGTTCCAGTTTTTTAAAGATGACAGCATACGGATGAGAGCATGGCCGTGGCTGGAGACGCCCATCTCCCACACAAAAGGCCATTGTACCGGCTGGTGACAACAACAAACAACAACACAATGTGGTCTTATTCAGTTTGGCACCTCAGAACAAAAAGAGGAATGGAGGTTAGGAGCAATCAGAGATGCCAGCGCTGCACTTGAGGAGAGGTGAGCGGGGGGGGTTTCTCCCCATATTAAGTCTTACTTAAACAAAAGATGGCAAATCCTGTGAATCACTAGCACCTCATATTTCACATTAAACCGGTTCTCTCATGACAAGCAGCTCTTTCTAAAACTACCATCATTCCCACTTTCCCATCACCAAAAAGCCTTTCATGCCTACATATCTGAACGCTCAACGTCACCACTTGAAGGAATAGTTTGACACTTTGGGAAATACACTTATTCCCCAAAATGTCAAACACTTCCTGTAAATGCTTCTTTCAAGGCCGACACATTTCCAACTCCATCAATTTAATTTAATCTTCCTCCTGACTAAATCCATCTGACTCATCTCTCCATTTCCACATTCCTTTACTTCCCAGTACCACCTAAAAACTAAGCCTTTCTTTCATCCTCCCAATTCAATGCAAATATTTCCATTTATTACTCATTATACTGTAGCCACAACAGCATCGTATTGTTTTAAATAGCTGCTTAATCATCCTCAGTAACCCGTCTCCCACTGTCATTTCAGCACCTCCTCATAAGACACATAAGCGCATTATTTACATTAAAATATATAAGTCCAGCACATAAATAATAATAATAAGCCTATAAGAATAACATTAAGAATACGAAACAAAGTGAGCAGAGTGAGCAGCTTGCCCTGAGATGAAAACAGGAATACATGACTTCAGGCACCCGAGTAGCTTTTAATGAAAGCACGCTGAATGGCTTTGGTGAGGGACTGAAACAGCGAACCTCTCATGGACACGCAAACGTAGAGACTTTCAGAAACAGCTCCTGTTGTGCTAATCTGTTCAGTATGTATGCTAATGAAGTAAGTGCTAAAGTGTTGTTTCTCTTCCGCTGGCCAATACAGAGGAACTTACAGCTCGGTGAGGAAATCCTTTGAGTAAGTGCGGGCGTGGCATGTGAACAGCTACATGACTCACTGGTTTTATGAGCCCTGCAAGTTCCTATCGAACTATTGAAAGAGGAACAAGAATACCATGATTTGTTGCTTAAGTCTTTCTGTCAGAGCAGCTTCTTCTAGAAAATGTGATAACCTGAATCCATGATTGCCATTAAATGTGGAAGCCTTTGGAAGGGGGCTATGCTAAGGTTGCAGTTATTAAGATGAGTTTTATCTAAAACCCTGAGCTAAATGGAAACCCTTATTGCAAACATGGGGAAAATTAACATTTGACTTTGAGGGAAATGCAGATATAAGGAATGTAATGTGCTTATGTGTAATTCTGCTGGTTGTTTTTCAAGTCGAAGCACAGCTCTGAAGTGAAATACAGCAATGTTGCAGGTAGACAGAGATAAAGCAGCTGTCCCTAATTCTCTTCAATATGCAAATAAGGAAATTATCACACTTCCTCATTGTAAAGGTCCTTATCTGAATCATACGTTTCTGCTGAAGTACAAGTGCAACTACTAAGTAACCAGGGCTGGAGACTCACAACACTTTAACTTTAAGGCAGAGTGATATTAACTTCTTTAAGGTTTCTTGAGAAAATAAATTTAAAATGCATGAGAGAAGTATTGCATAGATTTCACTAGAAATACTCCATACTAACCTTCATCAGCACAACTATACCCGCTCATGCAGCCCTTTGAAAATACCAGAGATTTTTACAGTATTAAATACTTAAACACACTGCATTAACTGAGACACACTGTACAACGTTCACACATTTTAACAGCGATGGATCAGTGAGAGATTTAGCTGGTTATCTTTGGTCTGAGTGGTCGATCTTGGAATTTTGCAAATTAGTGGATTATATCACAACCTAAGCACTTTTGAGAGGTGGGCAGCAGACAGCTTGTCTTCTGGAGGCTTAAAAGAATTTAAAAGCTCAGAGGAAGAAGAGGGCACCCCCGCCTCCCACTTTAATTCCTCCCGTTTTTTATGATCTCTTTTCAAAGGTCACCGTCTCCAGCAGCAGGCGTTTCCTCGTCGAAGCGAAACCTTTTTGTATAAGAGTGTGGCGAGTCCAGGAAGTTCTCCTTGTCTTCTGGGTCTTCGGGCGGGGCTGCCCACTTGGTGCCGCAGCTCCTTTCGCGGGCGGGGCGGGTTGTGGCTGGGTCGGGGCTCAGACAGAGCTGCTGCTGCCACAGCCAGGGGTGGGTCATACACTCTGCAGCGCTGGGCCGGTCCCTGCAGTCAAAGCACAACGTGAAACACTTACAATCCAACGCTCAAGTAGCCCGTCAATAACAGCTTCCTGAATTTCCCCTCTGGGGATCAATGACGGCTTATCTCAGTATGCTGGTTATTTCTGGGATTTTTCGATGATCACTTTTTAATACATCTAAAAACTGTAAAATAAATAAATAAGCAAATTGCAACTTCCTAAAGCCCAATGTGACATCTTTCAAAAAGAGTAAACTGAAAGTAAATTTAGTTGAAAAACAAATTCACACGCCTTCTTTACTCACTCTGGCGTTTTGACCAGCAGCTTGCGGATGAAGTCCACAGCCAGCTCCGACACCCTGGAGAAGGCCTCCCTGCTGTAGTCCACGCTGACCTGGGACACATTCAGATACGTCTCCTGCTTGTCGTCCCCAGCGAAAGGAGACTCACCCGTCACCAGCATGTAGGCTATAACACCCACGCTCCTGAGGAAAACACACGTGCATGAGGGACGCAGTCAGAACATGTACAGGAGCGCCTGTGGTTTGAATACCAGAAGACCCACAGGGCAACTGATTTATTCAATAATTATTAAAAAAAAAAAAAACATAAGTAAGAACAAAAGGCAACCACTAAAATAATTACCCAAACTGTAAACAGCCATTAGCTTTTGCAGAGCTACTTTGTGGTGTGGTTTACCAGCAGCTCACCTTCTTTTTCATCTACAAATCATTTGCTTCACAGAACCGAGTTAAAATGGGGGTTTGATAACATCCTCGACTCTGTGTTGCTGACCCTACTGGGCATTCAGTGTAGCTGTATCACAGTGTCCTGATAGAAATGATTTTCTCTCCAGTCACCACAATGAAGCCTTAAAAAAACTGCTCAATATACTCCAAAAGGAAGTCATTTTCAGTTTTGTTAGCATGGACTCACCATAGGTCAGTCGCTGTTGTGATTGGCTCATAATTCAGGATCTCTGGAGCTGAATGAAGGCATGAAAGTAAAAAACACTTGTCATTCAACATTGCAAAAATGTCTTCTCGTAATTTCCTGTATCATTTCAAACCTCATTGTTTTTTCTGTCTTTGTTATTACTCCGTTGTTTTTTTTGTTTTTTTATCTACTTAGCCATTTCATTAAATGTACAAAATGACCAAATTAAATTTACAAGGAAGGCTAGACAAAAAAAACAGCCCAAAAGTTTTCTAGAAGTCTGTGTGACAGCAGGGTTGTATCTGAAGACAATGCGTATCTATTAGTGTAGTCAAACAGCCAAATGCCAAGGCCTTCTCAATAACCATAAACAGCTGATCATTTGTGACTTTTTGTTTTTCTCTGACACCTACAAAATGCATTTTTGCTGACAAGATAGGTTTCACGGCAGACAAGCTGATGACATCCTGTCTGATGACATCCGAGTAATTAAAGCATGTTTTCTGAACATCACCTTACCCACATATTCAGGTGTGCCAAGAATCTCTCTGAGCTCTCCCACTGCACCCAGTCTGCGTGCCAGGCCAAAGTCTACAATCTTTATGTCTCCTGGTGGAGACAGGCTGGTCAGGAGAATATTCTGCGGCTGAGAAAGAGGAAACACAAAAGTGAGCATCATGTACAGTAGAACGCAGAAAAACTGAAAAGGAAAAACCCAGAATGACCGGCCGGGGTGGAATTTAGGTTATTTCTTTTTACTATTTTAATTCTGCTTCATTCTGCACATTATTTACACTGAACAAAATTACAAACGCAACACTTTTGTTTTTGCCACCATTCATCATGAGCTGAACTCAAAGATCTAAGACTTTCTCTATGAACACAAAAGGCCTATTTCTCAAATATTGTTCACAAATCTGTGTCAGTAAGCACTTCTCCTTTGCTGAGATAATCCATCCACCTCACAGGTGTGGCATATCAAGATGCTGATCAGACAACATGGGGATTGCACAGGTGTGCCTTAGGCTGGCCACAATAAAAGGCCACTTGAAAATGTGCAGTTTCACTGTATATGGGGGGTCTGGGGAGGTCAGGAAACCAGTCAGTATCTTTCCACCATTTGCCTCACGTAGTGCAACACATCTCCTTCGCATAGAGTTGATCAGGTTGTTGATTGTGGCCTGTGGAATGTTGGTCCACTCCTCTTCAATGGCTGTGCGAAGTTGCAGTCAGGTCGAGACCCTAATGAGGACGAGCATGTAGCAGCTGTCCGGGTGGCTGGTCTCAGACAATCTTGGAGATGAAGATGCTGGATGTGGAGGTCCTGGGCTGGTGTGGTTCCATATCGTCTGTGGTTGTGAGGCCGGTTGGATGTACTGCCTTTGGAGACGGCTTATGGTAGAGAAATGAACATTCAATTCACGGGCAACAGCTCTGTTTGACATTCCTGCAGTCAGCATAGAAATTGCACGCTCCCTCAAAACTTGCGACGTTTGTGGCATTGTGCTGTGTGATGGAACTGCACATTTTCGAGTGCACTTTTATTGTGGCCACACACCTGTGCAATACCCATGCTGTTTGATCAGCATCTTGATATGCCACACCTGTGTGGTGGATGGATTATCTCAGCAAAGGAGAAGTGCTCACTGACACAGATTTGTGAACAATATTTGAGAGAAATAGGCCTTTTTCAGTACATAGAAAGTTAGATCTTTGAGTTCTGCTCATGATAAATGGGGGCAAAAACAAAAGTGTTGCGTTTTATTTTGTTCAGTGTACTTTACTCACTTCTTGAATCTGCATCGTTACATGGATGACGTTTAAGGGGAGAGATAGCAATCTTCATAGCAGGGGGACGAGTTAAAAATTAGCATTAGCTATAAACTTTACATGCAGCACTTCAGTGACAAGCTTTGTTTTGACACTATGTTTGTTTGCATTGTCCCTGTCAAATAAATAAATAAAAAAATATTAGGAACATTTCTGGTTGTTTATTTCTAACTGCAATGCACTACAGGAAGTGCTGGGGGCAGTATCGCTTCCACTGTCTGCCATTACTGCTTGACTGTAAGTAAACTCACGAAGAAGAATTCATGCGAAAAGCAAAGTAGAAAGAGGCGATCAGCAGAACGTTTGAGGAGATGGGGAGAGTGTTAAAATACTACAGTATGACTTCATTTAAGATATCAGAGGTAGCATATTCTGATAGACTACCGTAATAATGATTTTAAATCTTGATATTGCTGACGATCAGCCACTGGCTGCATCCGAAAAATCAAAAAAAATCTCCTTTCCTAACCACCTTTCCTTGACCTTGATGAAAACGTCATGAGGTCAAGGAAAGATGTGAAGGAGAATCCGTAAGGACTTAGGAAAAGAGGACGGCGGGTTGAGGAGAATCCGACTGGTCTTTTCTAAGCGACGTAATTATGCGACGGCGGATTTTACTGACGTGACCTGCCGTCCTGATGTAACTAAAACGTTCTGAAGATGGACTACAAAAAGCTCGTCTTTGACACAGCGGCCCATGTTGTAATGCAGGCCATCTAAATGTGGACAACACGGTGGAATATATTACCTAATAACCAAGATAGCAAAAAGGCAGATAAGGTAGCCTACCAGTCACTAAATAATGGACAGGGTTGTTATTTTGCTCCCCTCCCCACCCACAGGCGTATTTATCAACATGAATCCCAATTGTATGTAAATACAGTGTTTCCCTCAGAATGACAGCGTAACTGTGCTGAGAGAGAGAGAGAGAGAGAGAGAGAGAGAGAGAGAGAGAGCGCTCTGTCATCAAATACGATTTTACCCATTTTAAATAACAAAATCAATCAAAAATCAGCGTTGATAATGTGGCAGGCCGCCACAAATAAATCAGTGTGTGGGAAACGCCTACTTAAGAGGTTATCCAGCTTGATCTTTGTCTTTATTAAGGCGAGGGTGTCAGTATCTGTGACTGAAGTAAAACTAATTTGCTGAAGGCTGCAGTACATAACGTGAGGCTACACGCTGCAACATTATCCTCACTTTGATCACGTTACAAGACTAGTAGCAGCTCGCATGGGTCTCAGTTATTGTTGACAGTTTAAGATATATGCATATTAGCAAGTTATGGCATAAGAGAGAAAAGGCTTAACAGACAGTGGTAACTTACATGGTGATCATGGTTGGTGACATAAAACGGTGTTGAAATAGTATCAGATTACAAAAAAGCCAAAAGAAAACAAACCAAAAAAAAGAAGGTAATTATGAGTCTTATTAAAGTATCATAATGTGCTCTGATGATTGATTTTATCGTATGAGTTTGAGAACGTGCGCCGCTTTATATGTTGCCGCCGCAAGGAATTGTGGGACGGCATTCTCTCCTTTCCTTACGTAAAGGATGGTCAGGTGTACCCTATGCTAAAATTGGAAGCATTGAAGCACCTTTCCTTAGCTTTTAGAGAATTCGAACAGCTCTTATCATGGCTGCCACTGAAATAATTCCGGTTCACTTCACTCAGTTAGGAACCTTCCTAAGCAAACACGTCTCGACGGCATGCCCAGTAGCACGCTTGTGGGTCATACGCATGCGTAGAACCGCTAAGTAGCACATCTCGATGGGCAGCATAAATCGACAGAACACCTGCCGGCCAGTCACGCCCACAGAGCGCTCTGGTCCCAGTACACTCAGACCACTGCAGCAGCAACAACAGAGGAAAGGCAGTGTTTCCTATACCTTCATTTATTTGTGGCGGCCCGCCACAATATCAACGCTGACTGCCACATACTGATTTTCGTTTCTTTTATCTTATTTTATTGCAGATCAGCGCCATAGCGCATTCATGCAGCACATCTTCTCGCTCATCTCTCTCTCTCTCTCTCATAAACACCCCAGCACAAATCTGTCCAACACAACTGTGGAAATTTTCTGAGACCCAGCTTTAAAAATGTTAGTAATAATGAGTAATGGATTAAAGTGCATCAAGGAATATCTGGCTCGTGGCCTACAGAACATTCTCCACTGAGTTACTGCCTAAAACTTATAAGCACTTCTGAAAAATACTACAGCAGTAGTACAAAAGGGGACTGTTGCTTTATTGTTCTAGATAGACATTACATTGTTAGTGTACAGTTATGCTTCTAATTTGCTTTTATTTTATGTAGTTCCAAAGCAAAAATCTTTGTTAAACAGTTAAAAGTTTTAAAGTTAGTTTAAATCAGTGAATTATGGGTAGCTAGTATGAGTAGCCAACACTGTCTGTCCCTGGTTTCCCCCTGGCGTTGATACTAGTGTTCATTCTGAATAGTAAACCTTCGTCACTTAATGGCAACATTAGCTAGTTAGGCTGTGTGTTGGAGATTAGTAATTCACTTGAAAGGTATTTAATTAGTTAAATGGTTTTATTAGGGTTAGGGGGTGACAAAAATAATCGTGACTAGTCGACTAATCAAATAAATAATTAACAATTAGTCGACTACGAAAATAGTCATTAGTTGCAGCCCTAATAGTAATACAATACAACATCTCTCTGTGTTTTTCTGCAAAAAGCTAAAACGGGTTGCCATATATACCTGGGCAGTCTATATGTGGGAAACACAGCTTACGTTTAACTTGGGCTCATAAATGTTCTCAAGTTATCTTTAAAGACTAGTTCAGTAACGGTTTTGCCCTCTAAGAGGAAGTGTTTACCTTTCTGTTAAGCACTGAAAATATATTAACCATATGACACTCGGCAAACACTACTCTTATAAAATGACAGCATCATTCTCTACAAGAGAAGTTGAAAACATACAGTACACAATGTGCTTGTTTTGTGTGTTTTAAATGCAGATTAGCCTCTACTGTAAGTTGAAACAATCAGTCATGTAAAATTCCCAACCCTGGTGAAATGTACACTGGTATTATTGTTAAGTGTTTTAAAACGGGAATCTACCAGCAAACGTAGCCAGATAACAAAACCTTCATTTCACAGGCTGGTGTCAGTGCTGCAGGAGTTGTGGGGAAATCATTAAGTTTACACTGTGCTGTTGAGGTGTCCCACTTAGCCCTAGGTGAGGGGTTCAGTTACCACCTATAATCCCGGTTCTGGGCTTAACCGTGCCATGATAATAGTAAATTGGGGTTTTGAGAACACAACTTCTCTAAAAAAGGAATACGCAGCCACTTTAGGGGGAAGTTTGTGGTGAAGCGAGTGAACATGTAAAAATAGATTCCCTCAGCCTTAAGCTACACTCATGCATGCCATTTTCTGTGTGTGTGTGTGTGTGTGTGTGTGTGTGCGCAGACCTTCAGGTCTAAGTGCACCAGGTTGCTCTGGTGGAGGTAGTGGACTCCCTCCAGTGTTTGCCTGATCAGACGAGTGATCTGGGCCTCTGGCAGCAGCTCCTCAGACACACAGTGGTCAAATATCTCTCCACCCGCCGCACTGGGCAAAGAGAAAACACAGGAACACTGTAAACACACAGATGCACACACAGAGGCTGTGTATGAAAGCGTCAACTACTAAAATGTCCCACGACAGTAGAATACCAGGCAATTTGGTGATAGTTTGTATGTGATGCACTTTCAGCAACAGAAACTGGATGGATTGCAGGGTGGCCTGGTGGTTTTAGTGGCCAACCCATAGCCAGAGGATCCCTGGTTTGATCCTTCATGCCCTGGCAAAGTGCTATTGAGCAAGAAAGCAACCTCCCTTCTGCTTACTCACTGTAAAGCACTGTAGGCAAGACAGTCAGCCAAAGTTGACACAAAGCCCTAAAATTGCGCCCTGAGTACAAAGTTCATCTGATTTAATTTTACATTTCAGGTTATTCAAGTTTCTAATTTGGTATTTCTCTCAGCCCTTCTTTAGTTGTCCATGCTGTCTTAGTTAAACAACCTGAGTTCTTTGCTCTCAGGGAGGGATTAACATGTCTCCAACAACAAGTATTAAAGGTGTGGTTAGAAAACCACTTCAAGACAACCACTGTGCATTCTTTCTCCCAATCTAGGTGTCGCATCTAATTTCTGTGTCTGATGGTACAAAGGAACAAGATGAATGATGTGCCGGACAAGGAAGGACAGTTCATTTGAAAAAATGGATAAATGTGAAAGGTTAAGACGTCAGGACATGATCATGGTGCCTATGAAGATGTTCATCAGGTCATCTAGATCTGGAGTTTCAGCTCCAGCAGTGCAGTCATTTCCCTAACATGGGCCTTTTAATCTCGAAACAAATCTTTTAGGAAGAAAGAGCGTTACATAAATAGGCTGGGAGTGTGGCAGCTCCTTCAGGTTGGACAAACAGGACTTTGCCCTTCAACAGGCATTCACAGGCTCATACTGCTGGCTGTGCATGTTGCATGTTTGTGGTGAAAACACTGAGTCAGTGTGAGCGGTGTTCAGACAGGTTAGATAGTGGTTTTCAAGCCAACATACCCCCATAGTTCCATCAGATGGGCCTTCATCACACCCTTTGATAGACAGGATGGCTTTACAGTATTGTTCAATGTTTAGTTTTTTTTTTACCAGTTTTGCCACAGTTTGCATTTATGCTACTACTGTTTAAAGGGTCAGAAACTGGTTGGTTCAACCACTTACAGTCTCTTTACTTTAAGCTTTTTGTGGTCTTCTTTTTTAACTAGTTATCCTGAAGTATTCATCAACTAACCTGACTCAGAGTACCACTATTGGTAAGTTTTTGTGACAATAATCTCGAAACAGGTATCTTCATTTGAATGCAGAGGCAAGAGACAAGATTTTGGTATCAGAATTCATATGTAGTCAGTGTGGTATTGACCAGTCAGGTTTGAGCAGGCTTTGGTTGAATGCAACACAGTCCACAATCGAGGCCGAGATTGTTCAAACTATAAAAGATCAGTATTATACAAATGTGTATCCTTACTTGTGTGTTGATTTTCCTCCTAAACACAAATATGTGGATATATGTTATCAAATCATAATTTCTATTTTTCAAATTAGCAGAGCTTCAAGATGTTTCCATGTATCCCCTGGTTATTGCACAAGTACCCCTGGTAGGGAATCACTGGGTTAAGAGAAGATCAAATATGATGTTGTATACATCAAATTAAAAAGATAAAACAATATGTTACTGGCTCTGTTGTGAACTCACTATTCCAGCACTAAGACAATGTCGTGATCGGTTTCGTAAGCAGCATGCAGGTTGACCACTCGGAGGTTGTTACGGGCCATCTCCAGGACGGCCATCTCATGAATGACTTCTGCCCGGCAGTCACGACCTCGCCTTCTCTTCCGTAGGAACTTGGCAGCAAACACTTTGCCCGTGGCCTTGTCCACACAGCGCTTGACCACAGCAAACTTCCCCCTAGTAAGCAGAAAGTGGACATGTGGTTAAGGTACACCCCTTAGTCAGACAGATATCAGTTTCATTTCCAAACTACACAAAAATCTGGGACTTCTCCACAAGGCCTTGCAATGACAGCAACAAAAGAAAGGATCCTAAAAAAAAAAAACTTATTACAGGAATCCAAGAGCAATGAAGGTTACAAACTCAGAAGGACTTCTATTAAAGAATGGAACAATGACACTGAAATATCCTACTCCTTTGTAGCACCATCTGTCACTTTAACAAGTCATGTTTACATGCAGGTTTCGCAGCATTAGCACTTGATAGACAAAATATGTTTGCAATGCAATGTCAAGCTGAGCAGAGTCCCTAACATGAGTCAAGTTCCAAAATAGCTGGATCCTATAATTCCAATAATGTAACTCAGTAGCTTTTGTTAGACGCTGCCCAACCGGTTCAGCTCTGCTATCTCTCTAGCTTTCTGATGTTTGGTGCTGGGCAAGTAACACAGATTTTTTTTTAGCTGTAAACAGCTGGGTTGGAGAAAGCATCCTAGACTCAATCATAAAGTAAATGGGCAGGCTGTAAAACCAAAACAACAAGCTAAAACAATTCCTTAAAAGGTCAAAAGTGGAACTAGAATTGCCTTATGTTCTTAGATATTGCACTTCCTGTATTGACAAATCACACACAAATAAGTGAACAGAAGTGGCCTGTTTCTTGTTTCTAAAGGCTGGTTTTCACATGTGCTTGTGTCCTTCCTCCTGTTTTGAAATAAGAATTATAAAGTACACACCTCAGAGATCTGAGGATGTGATCATCAACCATCAGCAGTTGCCAAATACATGACAAAGGTTTACCATAGGCTCGTGTGTGGTTATAGTCCGGAGTCCAAATGCAATTAACGCTGTGTATTGAATTACTTGATCTGTGCTGTACATCAGTGCAAATGCAGAAATTATAGACTAAACGCACTTCAATATATATTATTAGATAAAGAACAGGTTAGTTTTAGTCTTCTTTTAAATGTTTTTGTCATATGTGATATATGGCAGTTATTACACTTGGACCCTCATGTTTAATGTTGTCTAAATCTGTAGTGACAACATAACCTAGTTCAGTGGCTCAGTTACGTCCACACTCTGTTTCGATTATACAGAAACTGACATTGTCATATGTAAATACAGACGGGAGGATAAATGACAGGAAAAACCTGAATAAAAGAGAAAACATTTCAGATGCAGATGCTTCCTGCACCAGGGCTCACTGAGCCGTTTGCTGAGGTTGGAAATGACTTGAATTAAATGCTACAGCCTTTACAGTCACCATAACCCAGTTTCACACCTATGGAAGACTTTGGGCCAACATGTAGACAATGCCCTCCACATTCTCCCAAACACCAAATAACAACATAAACTTTGAAAAGTCTGCGACTGCCCTGCTATTTGTCGTTTAGTTATGTCTGGCTATGTGTGTGTTTCTTTATATCTGCTGTGCTTACGTCTCTCTTGATCTCGATGACATGACGAGGTAGAAGGTGGTGTGTATAAATGAGGGGATATCTGGTGTTTATTCCTTCAATAGAGTTCAACAGACTAAGCAAGGAGACCTGAAGCTGTCCAGGAGGCTCATGTTCTGACTCTATACTGACACACTTCATGTTGCTTTTTCCTGTCATTTGTCACCCATCTGTATGACACTGGCACAATTACCGCATTAAAATATATTTAACTTCACTGAGTACTGTGATAACACATGGAAATGTATGACACTCTCACGCTGTCCTCGATGTTGCTCTGATATAAGGCTGACAGTTTCTAAACCCCTCTCGGGGACCCTGACAGTCCCAGGACAGCAGCCCCATCGGTTTGACTCACCTTCCAAGTTCTCCGGTGATTTCATATACACTTTCCATCGGCTCCGAGCTGATTGGGGTCTGAATTTCGCTGAGCAGCCCCGCGGAGAGCCCGCTGCGACTGTCCAGCCGCCTCCGAGACATCTTCCTATCAGTCCTGCTGCCAGCTACCCGGCTGGATACTGTGCTGAACGCTAAGTAAACCTTAGAAGAGCGATGAAACTAACCTAAGTGGCTAGTTAACTTAGCTAACGTTTACACTACCAGCTTCACTTTAGTTACATGTTAATGTTAAGTTGGCGAAACCGGTTACCACGCTATTGCTTAGTTTGAATATTTAGTTTACCGAGTCCGGTTAGCTCAACTGTCGCTAATTAAGTTAGCTCCAACGGTCAGTCTCGCGAGTTCAAAAGTGAGTTAAACCGATTTTCCACAGCTCAACGTGGAAGGAGCGGTTAGTCTATAAAGTCGATACATACGGATGATTCCAGTGGGGAAATGATCCAAACTGCCGCTGCGGGCGACTATTATATCGCTTAATAAGTTTATCTAACGTTAGAGAGTTTTCGATCATTTTTACATCCCTCTGTTTGACACTTTCGCGACACGTCACTGCCTGGCGCATGCGCACTGATGTTGTGTTTGAAAAACGCGAGGTTGGGTTTTTCTGAAACGTGAACACTGTTTGAACAGGTAACCTGAGATCAGGCAGCCTACTCCCTTTATTTATGTAATAGCGGTGGTGGCGGGTTATGATAGGTCAAAAATATGAGAAAATAAATAGATTTCTGTATATCAGGGGCGCAGCACAGCACCCTATAGGCATTTCATTGTAGTCGGCCTATCTATACTCAGTCCCCTTGCCCCCCCAAGTCATAGGCCATTGACTGACTGTGAGATGAAAAGTCATTTTGACTTTTTAAAGTGGAAATGTTTACTAAGTCAAAATTAAGAGTTACTAAGTCATAACTACATGCACTGCATCAAAGCTGTGAAATAAAACATGCACTGCATCAAAGCTGTGAAATAAAAAGTCTTAATTGTAAGGTGACTTAGTATCTCATAATTTTGACACTTCTATATCATATTTTTGAGTAGAAAGTCAAGCATTTACTTAGTATGTTGCAATAATGGCTTTCTATGCAATTTTAACTTTCCACGAGTATTTTTATTTTTGTCATTTTGAACATTTTATCTATTTTTCTTTTCCTGGCAGAAATGAACTACCACGTAAATCTGTCCATTGTGCACATGCATTTATTAACATCTGGCAAAGCATCTGGAGGGCATTGGAAGCGTCACACTGACCTACGCATCTGTCCCGAAAAGACTGCAACTTCTCAAAGCACCACGCAATTACAAATGTATAAAGTATGTATAGGGAAAGTTTTACAATTTGATTTTTTTTAAATATATATTTTCTCCACATGATCATTGTGAAACAAATTATTTAGCTGCACTTTTTCTATTTTTCTTTTCCTTTTCTCTGACATATTTGGCTGGTAATGTGGGGATTATGAGAGGATTGTTTAATCAATAAGAGGTAGTGGCTACTTGCTGATTAGGTGTTTCCCAACACACTAATACTGTCTTGTACAAGATAAATAAGGGTCATGTATCATTAATCAAAATGTTCCATTTGTTCTCTTTTATTACAATCATTGGGGTGAAATGGAGACACACATACAGGAGCTTTGCATAGAGTGGAATTCTGAAAACTGCAGCCGGGTCTTGTCAGAAATGTACTAGGAAAGACAAGAGATGCAACTGTTTTCATCTGCCTTGCCGGTCTGCTGCAGCAGAAAAGCCTCATTATGGAAAACTTCAAACTGACCAAGTGAATGTATATCCTAACGTGAAGTGTTGTTGCCCATGCCACGAAGCTGCCCTTCAAGCAAACATGGGGTGATGCTCTGTAAGGATTTGGCAGACGCCAGGAGTGGGATGTGTTTGTTAGACAGAAATAGAGAGCAGGCCTAATGATTGACTTTGCAAGCCCCAAACCTTTGGTACATTCGGTGCAAAATATGTATTTATACACACAGGACAGACATACATTTATATACAAATAGACAAACAAGACCACACACGGTACACGTACATGTGCTCTCACGTTTCACAAAATCAAAACAGCCCTATTGATTCATCACTGATTCATGAGCAATGAAGCATCACCTTTGACCTATTACTAAGATAGGCAGACACGCACATGTGAAAGAAACAACCATTTTTGAAACATGCTGCCGAGATACTCGCCATTACACTGTCATAGAGAAAACAAACTATTGCATTCACACATTGTCCATTCCCAGAGCTAAAACTAAGTGACTAAAGCACCTATTTCCTACACCCTGTTCCCATGAGCTGAACACTCAAGGTATGACAGTGCCAGGTGAGCATAAGGCCGCATGCCTCAAGTAAGCGCCACAACCAAAGTGACACAACTTAACCAGCTCCCTCACCCCTTTTTCTGAATGGATATCAATATCCTCATGCAAAAAAGCTATTAAGGACAGAGTGTTGCACTATTTCAGCATGCAATATCGAGCTATAACACAACGCCATCTAGGGGTTTCTGCCTCAGCGCAGCTCACAGAGCTGACCGGGAAGATCCCGCATGCAGTATTGGACTGAGAGGGGGGCTGGGATACAAAAGGATGCCGCCACATCTTGCATCACACGTGGGGCTCCCTAGCACTATTTCAGCCCCTGTGGTCTAACTCCAACAGGGCTCTGTACAATAGGTGTAATCTTGCATGCACCCCATAGAAAATGAGTATGTGTTTGTGTGTGTTTGTGTGCATGTAAGAAAGTGTGTGAGAGACTGAGTAAAAGGGCCCTCAGGGTTTGGGTCGTGCACTTAAGATTTATAGAAATGTTTTATCACATGCTTTTTAAGAAGAAGCTATTGACAACACCAGGTCTTTGTTTAGGTGGTGCCATAGTAATGACACCTTACCGCCCCCTTGTGTTGATGTCTGTGTTGGGAATTTAAACCACAGCTCCTGTTTGATTTGTTATTAGACACACAGATCTGGTCAAACTTCACAAGGAAATAAAATAGCTTCCCTTATGAAATTTCACTTTGTGGTCAGGAAAACCCACGAGGCACTAAAAGATTTCCTTTCCCTCCACTTCTAACTTTCCACTTTGTGTTTTCCTCTTCCGCCTGCTTGAAATCCTCCTCGGGGGCTGGACAAAGTTGCTTGAGGAGGTTCATACATTCAGTCACTTATTTGGTACATTCATCACTTTCATTGGATGGGAGGCAATTACATCAGTGGGACGGGCCTTGTGTATCATCTGTCATCATTGGTCTGTGTGAGAAAGTACATCTATTGCTTATGATCAGTTTGAAAGACAAACCCTGCTCTTCTATCTGACTGAAGTGTGTCATTAAATGTATCTGTATACTGGAGGGAGTGCATCTATTACACTGTAAGAAAGTGCACCCGCAGCATCAAGGCTGTAATATTGTATGCATGTGTTTGTGTGTGTGATAGTAAGTGTCCTTGTTAAATATATGCTGAAACAGGACTGCATGTCTCAGATGTGTCTTTACCTTTCGTGCCCATGTACAGTAAGAGCTCTGGTGTCGCAGTATTGAAGGTAACAGTCTTGACCAGAACCTGCTGTCACTATCACAAATAAGACTGTCCGGAAATGTCACTGATGATTTGTGACTCCTTGTCTAGCGTAACCAGAAATCAGAACTGTAAAAACAAGTGTATTTTTAAGTTACGGAACTGGAACAACTGGGTTTATGCAATTTTGTGTATGTTTGTGTGTGTATTAGTGCACATTAGTGTAATCCTTGCTCTCTCACAGGCAAGGAGGACCAGCCAACATCCAACTGTAAGTCTAAAACGTCTTTCTTATCTTTCAATGCTGATAAAAAATCTTGGAGGAAACACTGGTTTGTACCATTAATAAAAACTAAATGTCCCACAGTTGTGTGTGTTTTGTGCAAAGGTGATTAATGTGTGTGTGTGTGTGTGTGTGTGTGTGTGTTATAGTTCATAACGTTGCAGTCCCAGTGCAGAAAGGACACAGTTTAGAGGTCCAGAGAGGGGGAAGGGAGGGTGGGTTTTGAGCAGCTGTCTCTGAGGTGCAGGTTGGAGAAGGAGGACGGAAGGTGCTAGAATTCCAGTAAACAAGGCCATTAACTGAAGAGATAAAGCACACATGTGGCTCAATGAACAAAGGTTACCATGAAAACAAGAAATTGTACAGCTTTTCAAACCATTCTCCGATTCTCTTCCTTTCTTCCAGAAGGTGTTCACTTGATAGACTTCTGTTATACATAAGAGAAAGACAGAGAATCGGAGGCTGCGTGCTGAATGACGAAAAGCCAGGCGGTGAAACAGCAGAGTTATCCACGGGGAAGTTAGTTGCCTTTTGAGGATATTAGTTTTATATTCCATGTCTCTCCTAAGTGAGAACGGCGGATTTCCAGATGGTTCACTCTCCCAAGTTGACCCTGGGTGTGAGCTGATTTAAGGTTACTCCAAACCGAATGTGCTCGTTTCCTCCACAGCAGTGACCAGCTTCTCGTAAAGCATGGAGAAGGAGGGGTAAGGTGGGAGGTCCAGACGATTAAAGCAAGTGTGAGCCCTATGGAGACACATACACAGGCATTAATCAGATGAATGCCAAGATAAATCATCTGTGAGGTTTAAACTTAACTAAAACCAAATTTAAAAAGAATAAAAATCAGATCAGATGATGCCTTAAATGACGTTGGTAGAGAGAAAGTTTAATGACTTAGATATAAAGATAGTAAAGCTATAAAATGTACATGTTGGTCCCATTAGTTAGTTTTTTCATTTAGAAAGGAAGGTCCTGAGAAGGAGAAAGGACTGAAACACACATTGTGTCATTATTTGTAACTGTTTAATCTTTGTGTAATAATCAGTATTTCATTTTACAAGGGAATGTTCATATATAAATGAAGGAATTAGGACAAAAATAAAAGGCCCAACCCCACTTCAGCAAAAGAAAAAAATACACCTTTTTAATCATTTGTACAGTCCCTAAAGGCGACATAGTCATCCCATTAGTTATCAGCTTACCTGGGTAAGGAAGTGATTTTCCCCCACTTCTCCACACAGAATCTGCGGGGTCCATTACTGCCCCGTAGAGAGGCAAATCCCTCGTAGGGAATACTGGAAGTGCCTGTCACAAACTAGAGAGACGGCCAATAAAGTCACAAAAAGTTCGAAAGCAGCATAAAAACATTTATTCAGTTATTATTTATGACTTATAACTAAAGAATTTTTTTTTTTTTAGTTCTGCACGTTTTTATATGAATTTAAACAAGTAGTCTCATCTAAACTGAGAAGGTTCAACTTCAATGAAATTAGAAAATTGCATGCAAATTGTATAATCTAGTTACATAAAAGAGAGCTTAAAGTAACATCTTTCTGCAGCCTCAAGCAGGACTCTGCAGTGCCTGCAGGGCACCCAGCCTCCACATGGGGGCAGTCTGTGTGCATGCGGTCACCCACGTGCTGTACCTGCAGCAGTCTTAGCCTCTGCTCATTGTTGAACCTCTCTACAGCTGCCCAGAACCAGCGAATCACTATATGGTTGTCATGGTAACCTGAGAGGAGACAGATATGATGGTGCATGAGTCAGATGAATAACAAATATTCCTGGCCCCTGATCCTCACTGCTCTCTTCCACCTCCCGCATCACTGTTTCTCCACTGTGATTTTTGAATGAGCTCTGCTGTTTAATATTTAATGGCCGAGGCTGTTTTGTCCATCTCAGTCGATTCCTTTATTAAACGAGCTTCACACTGAGTCACGGCCGACTGCCCGTTTGGGTTCTCTTGTCTCTCTGCTTGCTGGCGGCTTTTCAACTGTATTGGCCAGACTCTTAAAAAGCCTTTTAATGTGATCTGTTACAAATGGTTTGGACACTGGTGCTTGTACTGTACACAAGATGTATTACAATAATTAAATAGCAATAACTCCCCGAAGAAAAATTATTTATCAATTATTATTTCTTCCCATCTGTTCTTCAGCAGCCACATTTCTAATATTGTTTAGAGTTGTCTTGCTGACACTTGTGTTTTACAAAAATATTAAATAGACATGTGCAGCTCATTTATGGTGATTATGGTAAGAGATACCTTAAGTCTTTTTTTAATTACTGTAAGCAGCATGCCTTTATTTTGTATCGGTATTTCTTAAATAATCCTGTAGGTATAAGAGGTTTAGAGGCATCCCATCCTTACACATGCAGTGGACATTGGCTGGAATGGCAGCGGACCACTGTTGCAACTTGAACCAGTGTTTTAAACAGTGGCCACTGGGGGGCTACATTTGTCAGTTCATTTTTTCTTCAGGAAGATTGCTGGGTTTAATCCCTGGACTCGCTGAGAAAAACTTGAAGAAAGTGAATGAGAAAAACTTTAAACCTCCTCAGCGATTACTTAACACTGAGGCGTTCTTTAGCAAGGCCTCTACATTATCTAATCCCCCCTGCTCAAAACAGAGGGTTAGCTGGTGCACACCTGCAGCTTTCAGTTATGAATGAATTGTGTGTGCATTTGACTTTGCTAGTTTTCTCACGTTGCTGTCAGTGTGCCATGAACACTTTCATCTCTGTCTCTGCTTTCTGCCCCACTGGCTCCCTGCTGCTTTACATACCTCCTCTGTACTCTGTGTTGTTTCTCCAGTCTGACAGATCGATCTCTGCGGTGCCCGCAATCACCAGCTCCAGCTCCCTGGCATCAAACACAGACACCAGTCGCACATCCACCACCTAACACACACACACACACACACACACACACACACACACACTCAAACGGATGAACACATGGTATATAACATATGATACAGCCTATTCATTTATCATCCTTCCCACATACATCATGAGTTCCAGCGACACAGATGGCAGTAGGATAAACATAGTGAAAACATTTTTTGGCGTCTCTCATTTTGTTTACAGTAAATGGTGGCGTTTATTTGTTTAGTAAACTGAGGCCTGTAAACTCACATTGACACACATGTAGCCCGCAAAGACCCCGTAATCTGTCACAAGGGACTTAAGCAGGGGTTGGGTTTGTACCAGTTATAAAAAGTCATGAGAAAAAGAATATGAGCACCAGTCCACATTATAGTTCACTCTTGTTTCACTCTGTCATGCTGAGCTTCCACAGCATGTAGGACTGCGGGCTTTCAGATGTAAACATCCATCTTACAGTTATACACTGGACATTCTCACTTTTTTAAATCCACATATGTTCATCTGTCATTATTAGTTATTAGTCTGAACAGACCACTCCAAACGTCCTTAGTAGGAATGTGCCCTCAGATTCATATACAAACTGAGAAGTGCACAAACACTCTGTAAGCAAAGTACATATCACAGTTGTACAGTAATGTATGCCATATATCTTAATTAATCTATTTAATTCTCAAATGTGAATATTGTCTGTTCTCTTAACTCCTCTCTGACAGTAAACTGAATAAATATACTGTTGCAAACATGCTGCTCTTAACTAATTGCCCCTAGTGGGATGAATAAAGTTGACTGAATTGAATTGAATCAAATGGAATATTTAGGTCGGACAAAAGAAGACATTTGAGGACGTCACCTTGGGCTTAGGGAAACACTGATTGACTTTTTTCTTTCCAATTTTCTGGACCAAATTTTCTGGTCGGATAATCAATAATGAAAATAGGCACATGAAAATAATCATAAGCTGAATCCCCAATTTCCACCCACTACATTTCCAAGCTAACTACATATGTCATGATGTAGTTCAGCAAAGTATAATGCTGCTTTGTCATTTGCTGTTTTGGCTTGATCAAAGTCTTTCTAATTGAAATGTATTGTGACACCAGCTGCTCGCTCAAGGCATCGTCATTCACCACTGAAAATTCCAGATGGCAGTCAGAGAATGGGCGGAAGCATGGGTTCTTAAGTTTGTGCTGGTCAAAAACAAAATCTTAAAACCCGAAGCAATGATTCAACCACACTGCGTCAACAATCCTGTCATATTATAGCCATTATGCAACATAAAGAGGGTCTGAAAGCCTCATTAATACCTGTAACACCAATATTAATGATGTACCTCATAGAAGCCTCGGACCAGGCTCTCCGTCTGCTGGGCTACTCCTCTCTCTATACGCCACTTGACCATACGCTCAATGTACTCCTTCTTGTTTTTCTCAGACACAGGGATACCAGCCCCGCCTGGCTTCAGCTCTCTCTCTGTAATCTGCACAATCACATGCAGACATTTTAAATACAGCTTTATTATTACATGTCTACAGTCACAAATTTAACAAATAAGACAACCCGTCTTATGCAATCACACACATACCTGTCCAAAGACCTCCTCATTGACAGTGAAAGTGAGGTCCAGCATGTCTTCGATGTCGTTGTCTTTCATCCACTGCAGGCTCTGGTGGAACTCCTCATCTAGGAACTCCAGGTCACTCAGGTCACATGGGCTGCACGAGCGCAGGCAGAGGTTACACAGAGCTTTCAGAGGGGTCACGGTAGGTATTGATGGGTAGCCCTACTCATAAACCATGGCTGATTGTAAGAGGGGAGGTTAAAGGTTAATTACCTCATGTATACCAGCGTAAAATAGCTTTCCCCAAATAAGCACATGCAGCATGATGCATGTCAAATGTATTATGGATACGGATAAACCATCTCAGTTATGACGTATGTGAGAGGCTTACCGAGTGGTTTTCACTCCCTTTATTTACAGGCTTATTTCATTGTCACTACATGTTTTAGCTAGCGAGGCCATATATTGCTATTTTCAGAATAGGTTAGGTTACTCAGAAATGCCATCACTTGCTATGTTGGTGACAGGTTTTGTACCAAAGTGCTTCACAATGACGGAAATGTATGTAAACACACACAAGAATAAAGGCATATACTGTATGTGCATGAGTGTGGAAATAAAGCAAGGTTTAAGTAGAATGGTGTAGGGTGTGAGATTATGAAATATGGCCCGAGACCATGGACAGATTTGTAGACAATTATAACTTAGATCACCACCAACTATAACAGCAAGGTTCTTGGCATGTGGTTGGATGCTGGCGGAAAGGTGCTTGAGGCTCTGGGCAGTAATGATGTCGGGGACCAAAGAGTAGGATTTCTCTTGTCCTCGTTTAACTTAAAGAGGTCATATTATGCTAATTTTCAGGTTCATTATCCTATTTAGGGGTTGTACCAGAACAGGTTTACATGGTTTATTTTCAAAAAACACCATATTTTTTGTCATACTGCACATTGCTGCAGCTCCTCTTTTCACTCTGTGTGTTGAATGCTTCCTTTTAACTATCGAGTGATACATCTTACCTCTACAAGATCTTTGTTGGGCGTTGCACATGCGCAGTTCCTAGTTAAGGACTACAAGCCAATCAGAAGCAGAGTAGGGCGGGTCATGAGAAGCCGGTAAACACGGCTTCGGTTCAGTTGTACATGTTCCCTTAGCAACATGGACTGGAGCAAGAGTTTCAGAGTGGTGAGATAGTCATCATTTTTTAAACTGAGCTCTGCTACATCGCGATAACAACTTAATGTCCATCGACTGCCTGGAGGGTAGCTAATTTTGGAAAGGAGAGGAGATGCAAAAGGCGGACGTCTTGTCACTGTGTGCTGCGTGTTTTTCCACCTGTGTTGTTGAGGGCGTGTCGGACTAGCTGCTTGGCGAGCGTTATGACTTGTGTTTTGCTGTGTCATCACAGGGATCAAAGGGAAAAGGCTGGACTACAAAGAAGCTGTTTGCAGGCAGTTCAGAGCAGAGTTTTCTGTGGGAGATGGTTAACTCCCTATGGGCTGGACTTTGGGCTTTTTGACTTTACATACCTATTACACATTCAAAAAAGGTATATTGATGGGATGTTCTGGGCCTTAGTAGTGTCAATTCATGTGCTGATAGTAAAAAAAACAATACATTTTCATAAATTTAACACTTAAAATATTATTATTTTGTTTCTTATGACATGAATATATTTTCATATTTTCCCACCACACACTAGCTAATGGAAATAGGAAGTATAGAGTTGGTATGGAAACAGTGAGTTAGCGGTTTTGCAGCCTTTTTATTCATATTTCTTTACATTTTTGTGAATGTGCACCATGAAAAGTATGGCTTTCGCAGTCACCTGGATTACTATATGAATATTATGTTTTTTATAGGGGCTCAGGAGCAGGTTGCCCACTAATTGGGAGATTGATGGTTCGATCCTCTAGTCTGCATGTCGAAGTGTCCTTGGGCAAGATACTGAACCCCAAATGTGGTGTGTGAGTGTGTGTGAATGTTAATTTCTGTTTCTGATGAGCAGTTGGCACCTTGGCCAATCACATTCTCAGCACGGTCTGAGGGGGATCTGACTGGAAGTGCTGGTGTCCTGCAGACTGGTGTGGAATCGGGAGAGGCAGAGGGACTTACATACGAAGAAGCCCCTTGTAGAAGGGTCGGGTAAAGAAGGCATCCAGCAGGTACTGATGGACAAGAGCCAGGCCGAGGATACGCCCACTGAAGCGAAACCTAGACACAGCACCAAAAATACAGGTGAATACAGGCACCAGGACCAGAACTGGAAGAATAGACCCCACAAAACAGAGGATGCAGCAGATGGTGACATTGTTCATGACAATAAATAAACTCCCCTCAGATTTACTGTGAAAACACTGCATTGAGTCAGAATAGTGCTGAAGCCTGTAGTACAGAGACCATCTGAGACACTTCTCTATCCATCTTTCTTGAGAACTTCAGAAAGATTGTCTCTACAGGAACAAGTATTATCTTGTCATTCTTCATTTTGAAGTGCCACTAAGCTTGGCCCCCGTGACAAACAAACCCCTGAAGACTTGAGTTTATGTTGCTACATCTGCTATCTTCTTCATCCAGCCAATGATGTGCTGAATTTCCTGTCAAGTTTTTGTCCATCCATTCATCAGTCTGATCATCCATCCATCCATCCAATCACTGTCACTCAGGCAGATTTTAGGATCAACACACAGCAGTCAGAGCAGACAAGCGTCCCTTTACAGTCAGCTCAGCAGCAAACTTACGTTCGACAGACTGATACTGTAGATGCACTACACAGATAAATATATGAAAAGCTCACCATTCATGGTGGTTGTCTACAAAGGCAGACATGGGGCTGATCTGGACAGTATATGTGTCATTGGCTGAATATTCAAACAGGCCGTAGTATGGGTTGAACAGTTCTCTGGACACCAGGAAGAAAAACTCTCTGGATGGCCCACTGTAGTCCAACCTGCAATCATCACACGTTATGCATGTGTTATACATGTCATTAGGAAAACCGAATCAGTGAATGTTCTCTTCTGCAGCTACTCAGCAATCACAGAAAGCACTTAAAGGAACAATGTCTAGGGTATATATTAGATTCTGCTATAGACAACTGTCTAAGCCAAATCTAGAGAACTGGTGGCTCAAGAAAAGAATGAATGCTCAGCAAAACACCCCTGGATCCTTTACAGTTAGCAAATACATACATTTCACACTTGAAGTGTCTAAAGCATGATGTGGAAATGAACTGGGAATGAAATGGGGCTTTCTCACCCGTCCTCGCCCACAAAGCTGACGTAAAGTTTACTCCTCTGTAGGTCTTTACGGGAGTAACACATGATTTGGTTAAAGGCGTCCTCCAGAAGGTGGTCCCTGCGTATGATGAGCCTGGGAGCACACACACACACACACACACAATCACACACAAATTGTTATTATTACAAATTTGATGCTGTAGTGAGCATTTACAGCAGCTGGACAGTGAGTGTGGGACTGAGACAAAATAAACAACGTGTGTGTTCATGATAACGGAGGATCCATAGACAGTGTGGCTTATATGTTTTTAATTGTTGTTAGACAACATTGGAGCTCCAAAGAGGAAGAAGAGACATCAGGCCATCTTCAGTGCTATCACACAATTTATACATACATCTCTTTCAATTGTAGGGTTTAAACCTACTTGACTTTTCCTGGTCCCTGTCCATAACCCTTGGTCTCCAGCTTTCGATAAAAGTTCCTCAATTTAGCCTCAAAATCTCGCTTATAGGGAGCAGGAGCGCGGGCATTGGCTCGCTGGGTGCCTGGGATTTAAATGAGAGAGAGAGAGAGAGAGAGAAGGGAGAGAGAGAAAGAAAGACAGGAAGAAAGAAAACGGCTGAGAAAATGGGCAATGAAAGTCAGGCGTCAGGCACAACAGAATGGTAAACTGACAAATAAAAGGGGGACAAAGATGGGTAAATAATGGAAAACAGATATAGGGACATTGAGATAAGTGTAACTTTAATGATCCCAAGCTAAAATTTTCTAAAGCCTAAATTGGCGAGGAAGAATCAGAATGTGAGAATCGGAATTACTATTTGCAGGTTAACAGTTTAAGATTAGAGGTAGACAGTAGTAGATAATCACTGACTTATGTGTGTGTTTGCGTGTGTGTCAGCTCCTGTACATCCCACTTAAAGACACATCTAACCCTCAGTAACTAACTATTCTATTGTTCTATAATTAGTTTCTATTCGTTTTGGTTTAATTTGAAAATGATATGGCTACTTGATATGCTCATATATTAATTAGGCCAACTGGCTGTGGTTTATTGTAGTAATTGAAATGATAATCAACAGAGATGAGTTTGTTGTACATTTGATCACTGATTTATCACTTCATTTGTTTTTTTGTTCAGATAAATATGAAAATAATTATTTAGTTTTTTATAAAAAAATGTATATGGCCTTGAGGGGAATAAAGGACTAAGCGTGTATGTATGTAGAGGTTGAGGGGAGGGAGTTAACAGGGAATGCGAGTGTACATTTAAAGTATGTCTTAGTTTTAGATCTAGATCTAGTTTCAGCTCATGGTTAAACATCAGCGATGTCAAAAGTATTTTTAACACATTGTTGCCTTGTTTTATCTGTAGCCCACACCCAACAACTAGATCTAGAATTTTTAACTCATCCTCTGCTGTTAAATTAAATACTGCCTTCGACATTCCCACGAGTTTCTCTAGAGCACTGCTCTCTGCATCTGAGCAGCTGAATAATTTTAATAATACATGTTCCTCCATCTTAGGTGACATTGCTCTCTTCAAAACCAAAACAATCATGTCACCTCTCAATGCCCAAAGCCCTGGATAAATGAAAATATTATTATATAATCATCTAAACTCACAGTTCAGCTGGTTCGCTTCTCAGGTCTCTACTTAAGACCTTTAATGCAGAAGTTAGAAATTCTAGAGCTTCATATTTTGCTTCTTTAATTGATATTAATCAGTCAAATCCAAGACTTTTGATTAACATTGTGAGCCGTGTCACTGATCCTCTCCCGGGCCAGATATTAGATGCCACCCCTGAGAAATATGAAGAAATTCTTTCCTTATTTACTCAAACTGAAGTTTCATTTCTCTCCCAGATTCTCCAGTTACTGTTAGAAGCCCTGTGCAGTCTTCCTTGGCTCATTTAATCCAATCTCTCCATCTCCACAAACTGATATGGTAATGAAAATAAAACTCTCAGCTTTCCTTTAGATATTCTACCTGTAACATTTCTAAAGGTTGTTTTTAACAAAGTGTCCCCTTTTCTTTAGCAAAAAGCTGCTCTTGTTCAACCACTTTTAAACGGGCCTTCTCTTGATTCCTTTCATCTTAACCATTTAAGGCCTATTTCTAAACTCCCTCTTTTAGCCTTGGTTTTAGCAAAGGTTGTAACAGATCAACTGCTAGCTTTTCATAATAACAATATCTTCAATTCCAATCTGGCTTTAGAAATAAGCATAATACTGAAACTGCGCTTCTCACGGTCTTAAATAACTTATTACTAGCAGATGGTGCTGACCATAAATCCATTCTTGTTCCCATAGCATTTGACACAATGACTCTTGGACCGTCTTGCAACTAGACCATTTTTTTCTGCCAAAAATCTGGAAACAGTATTTTATGCCTTCATAACTAGTAAGTTAGATTACTGTAATTACTTGCTCTCTGGTATCTGTAATAATAATATTAATTATGGTGGTGAAAACTGGTCTGCATGGCTGTCGTCCCAGAAGGAAGCCTCTTCTAAAGATGATGCACAAGAAAGCCGGCAAACTGTTTGCTGAGGACAGAGCAGACTAAGGACATGGATTACTAGAACCATGTCCTGTGGTCTGATGAGACCAAGATAAACTTATTTGGTTCAAATGCTGTCAAGTGTGTGTGGCAGCAACCAGGTGAGGAGCACAAAGACAAGTGTGTCCTGCCTGCAGTCAAGAGAGGTACTTGTGAGATACTGTAACTCACAAATAGCAGCAAGTGAAATACATTATTTTTTGAGGTGAACCATAGAGGATGCTAACACTGTGGTCAATTCTGGATGTAATGAATGCGGCAGAGAACGTGAGTGATGGGCGGAGACGGGCAATGTTTGTGAGGTGAAAGAAGGCAGTCCTGGTGATATGGTTGATGAGGTGTTCAAAAGTGAGGTTGTGAGGTTCAGTAAGAAATCCCTCTCCTGTCTCATCCAAAACTCTGCTGCAAAGGATTTTGACTCGAACAAAGAAACACAATCACGTCACACCGCTCCTAGCGTGCTTTTAGAATAAATTTCAAGTTACTGTTGATTACTTACAAAGTTCTAAGAGGCTGAGATCCAGGTTATTTGCAAATCTTTTAGTGCCCTATGCCACTTCCCGCTCCCTGAGAACCTCGGATGTGTCATTCCTAGGTCCAGATTTACACTCAAAGGTGACAGAGAATCTGCAGTTAGGGCTCTGAGACTGAGATCAGGGCTATCTCGTCTTCTAAATCACTTTTTAAAAAAGGGGGTTTCTGCCTGTGAGCCCTGGAGGTGAAGTTCTCTCTCGTGCATTTTATTTTATTTTACTCTTTTTGTGTTTTATAATGTGGTAAGTTTTATGGCTTTTAGTTTGTTTTTTTGTTTTAAATATACTGTTTTTATTATAAGGCACTTTGTAACTGTGTTTTGAAAGGTAATATAAATTTAAAAAAATGATTAGTATTATTAGTATTATTGTGAGTGAATTAATATTTTATGTAAGTCTGTCATCCACCTATGTTACATATGAAGGTGTTATGAAATTGCTCCTTTTTTGTTAGACAATGTAAACCAAACCTCATGGTGGATGAAATGTAATAAAAAGATAAGAATTTAATAAACATAAACAAACAAACTTGGTGCAGTTGTGGTGATGCAGACACAGAATGAGATGGAGACTTACCAGGGGAGCTCTGAGGAGACGAGAGGCAGTAAGTTTGGTGGAGTAATGGTGGTACATATGACATCACCTCCTCCTCAAATAAGCTGGAGACAAGAGAGAGGTTCTCACACAGAGCACAGCCAGGAAGGAACAGACATACAACACTATAGAAACCAGACTTTTTAAAACATAGGTGGATAAAATGGGAATTCGACTTGTATTCCTGGAAGCCAATAGGTCATAATTTTCACAAGTGACCATTAATCAGTCCCCCACCCCTTCACACAAACACATGCAGTGGGACTCACCTCAGCAGCATGACGAGGTCAGCGTCGCTAGAGAGACGAGCCAGCCCACTGACACCCTCACTGCGTATAAACTGCACCTTCTCCCTGCGCGCACACACACGCACACACACACACGTCAGGAGGTTAACTGACACAATCCATTGGGATTAAAGGTTAACTGTGTGTTCAGGATGACTGATGTTGATGATGATAACGCAGTGGGCTGGAGAGGAAGAGAGAGAGTGGGAGAGAAAAGGAAAGCAATGAAAGACAGAAGGAGGAAGGGAGAGGAAAAGAGGGAGTGAGAGACATACTTGAGCGAGTGGTTTCTGGCGAGCTCGGGTTGCCTTTCCTGCAGGATCTCAAAGATGTTGGGTTGCCGTAGAAACGCCACGATCTTGTCATTGTAGGCTGGAGAAAGTGAGGAATATGCATTTATATCTGAGTCTTGTGTGTGTTTGCACTTTATGCTTGTATCTTTGCATGTGTACATAGATCCTGCCTGACTCACCCACAGGCACCACATCTTGGTACTGACTTCGACTGGAGCCGCTGAAGGTGCTGGAAGGGCGTGGCATCACGGGCGGGTTGGTTTGGCGAGAGTCATCTACTACCTGTGAAAAAAGGAAGCACTACAGTTCAGGTCGCATCCTAGTTCTCAGACCGATCCACCTGCTAGTGACCAGCCAACACTGACCTCTGCTCTGAACCTCTGGACATCAGTCAGCTCTGCATGTTCTCGTCCATGAACTACTAATCTTATTTCTTATATTTCTTTTTGAATAGAATACCACATACATAGATTTACAATCTCCCAAGCTGCCATCTATTATACTATTGTATAAAAATAATTGCAGAGATTTGAATTTTTGAAAAATAGGTATTTGATCATGATGAAAATGTAATCAGCCCAGCATTTAAGATTTAAGATGGCTGCGAAAAAATGCATTCACTATGTATTAAAGAAAGCCAAACCCAGAAGACTAACTGAAAGTAATCTATATAATAACAGTTTTACTAAAATTACTAATTTTCTGTATTAAAAGTTGTATTTTTCTACGTTTATTTTCTTAGATATTCCAGAAAGCATTTGAATGCATTAGTGAGGAAGATTTATTTTTAAGTAATCTCTGCTGCATTAGCATGCAAAGCACAGATTCTTCCTAACAGGAGACCTATCCAAAATCTATCTATCTTAACCAGATAATTGAACCCAATAATGCTGCGGATTCTATGGATTTAAGAGGCAACAACAGCCATTTATCATCTTCACTATGGCCCCTAGTGTTTATATTAATCATACTAAGGTATCACTACTAATATAACAGTCACTGAATGATGCTTATCATTCCTACATAAGTAGTGGTCTGGAAGAGATGAGTGGAAACAAGACAGGAGTGATGATGAACATAAGAAGGATCCATTATTTGATATAGTGTCTATGAAGATTGTCATTAATTCCAGTGATACAGCAAGATCTCTTTGAGTTTTGAAATTAAGTGATGTGTCACTGCACTAAAGGATTGTGTCAAATATCAAAATAGGTAAAATGAACTTCAGTGAACTTTCTACTTTCTACCACTGACTTGACTTGCAAATTCCCTGCCTGTGTCCACCATGCAGATACTCACTAAGCATATATAAACATTGCAGTATTTCTGCTAGTCTTAAGTTGACTCCAGGTGACAAGTGGCGCAGTGGCGGCTAGTCTCTCACCTCCCCAGCACTGTGGCTGCGTTGGCGGCTCAGGTGCTGGCGGTGGGCCAGTAGCCCGGTGGAGCGAGAACTCTGGAGGGGCAGCCGTGGGTCAATGAAGGTCGTGGAGCGACAGTTGTGGTCAACAAAGAAGGGCTGAGGATTGAGAAGCACAGTCATGCATGAATAAACTTCACTATTTGTTCATATACTGAAAAGAAGGATTACTGAAAGACTGCTGAGAGACTACCGGGACTACTGAGCAAAGATTACAATTACTATGATATGACCTTCAAGGTTGGAGTAATCTCAGGTCAAAAGCCAAAGGTTATGGGTCACACACACACCTTCCCAGTATGGTCATGCTTCATCTCCCAGCCCCGGGGAAGCTCCAGCTGCTTGTTGGAGAACATGTTGAGGAAGGTGACGAGGTCGCGGTTATGCTGGTAGCGCTCAAAGTAATGAGCGTCCCGACGCACCTTACTGATCATGTGCTTCAGACAGGTGTTGCTTGTAAACATGCGGTAGGCACTCTGGGCAGAGAGGGCAGAGAGGTGAGGTCAACAGAGAGGGACAGGAGGCGGACAAGGGAACAGCTTTTGGGTCATTTTCAGTTCATTCACTCAAGATGGAGGACAATGTGGATAATGACTGAATTAAGAATTATTTACATTTTATTGTCTTACATGATTAGTGCAGGATCAGTCGTTTACAATGATAAAACAAAGAGATGCAAGTACATCTTTGAGATACTTGAGATCGTTTGTAACTAATACTATTTTTGTAAAATGAAAAATGCTACTAAATAATGATAGCCATCATTGAGCATCGCTTATGACCAACAGGTCAACTAATTTAGCACCGTATGGGACAACTACGAAACAACACTGGGTCATACCCGCTACATTGCAGTACTGTACTGAAAAGTCGAGCTGTGTGGTGAACTGATACTGTGGCTCATTCAGGCTGCAGTCACTATATCTGAGTCCTGTGACTGTGATGTGTACTCACAAATTAATTCAGCCAAAATGCTGAGTCTGCAAAAGTATTTGCATTTGAGTTTCATTATACAGTGTGTCTGCTTGTATGTAGACAGATCTATGTAAAAGGAGTACAGGGTGAAAGATGACAGAGGAGGTGAAGTATGTTAGACTGACAGGGTTAGAATGCAGCACGGTGAAGAAGTCTGGGCTGCACAGGAACTTGGCGCTGGGTGACTGCAGCAGCAGGGAGAGACGCGAGCGACCACTGGAGTGAACGACTGCACTTTCTCGTCGGTATTCTGCAACAAAATTAATGCACACTAGTTAAACCTTGAGACAGGGAGACACTACCGAAGGCAGCTTATTTCATGAACGAGACATTTCAAAATGACATATCCATCAGTGTCAGGAGTATAAAAACAAACATCTCCACAGGCTACTGCTATTCTGAGTAAAATAATATACTCATGGCTTACCATAGTATTTCAAGAGATGAATCATTTTCAAGAGGTGAGTCATTTAATTGAGAACATATTTATCTTCAAAATGTGTACAAAGCTCTAGTAAATTAAACCTCAAATGCTTCTATTTTTGTGTTTTCTGTAATAGGTCTATTGAAACTAACCAGAAATGTTGTGAGGCATCAGGTCACTTTCTGGTTCAGGAAGCAGGTCAACAGAGGCTTCCTCTGACCGATCAGTGTTGGTTATGGTCCTCCTGATGCTTTGATACCTGTGTTTGAGAGTAATGATAAAGTTACTGTAGTAAAAGTATAGTTTTCTACTATTTTAGCAAAGAATGTAGTCTCTTGAATAGAAATTAAGAGAGGTGAATATGAAATTTGCCTATATTTCTCTGCTGAAAGTCTTTGTATTCCTTTATTTTATTCAAAGTTACATTAGTTCAAAAACCTGAAGATAAAAAGAACTACTAATAACTGATGATAGTAACTCTTGGTTTAGTGAGATATTGAATAAATACCTATACCTTATAAATAATAAATAAATAATGGTATTTACTAAGAGAAAAAAATTATGGTTATTGCAATACATTTCTTTTTACAAAGCCCACCTGCGGTTGAGTTGCTCCATCTGCTGAATGGAGTTGGAACGGGTCAGGCCCTGCGGGGCAGGAGGTCCAGTAGGACGCTGCCATGTGGTGGTTCTGTTCACATGGTCCACAAAGAAGATCCTCCCGTGGCTGTCGATCCGGGCCTCCCAGTCTGAGAGGCAATTAATAATTGATATACAGTAGGTGTGGAATGCCTCAGGGGAACGTAATGGAAAAATAAATACTAGCCAAAAATGAATGACAGATGATGATACCAACAAATAAATCTAAAGTATGCTCTGGGAGGCAAAATGAGAATGCTAACATGCTGATGTTTGGCAGGTATAATGTTTACCATGTTCATCGTTCATTTTTAGTGTGTTAGCATGCTAACATTTGCTAATTAGCACTAAACACAAAATACAGCTGAGGCTGATGGGAATGTCATTACCTTTTCAGGTATTAAGTCATAATCCCAAGTATTACATCTGTACCAAACTTCAATGCAATCCATCAGATCGTTCATTTCATTCAAAACCGAACCCATCAACTTAATGGTGGCGCTACATGAAAAGTCATGGGGATCACCAAACATGTATGGTTTGGTCTTTGGTTCCACGAATGAAACATTTTCAGCAATTATCAAGATTTTAGTGTGGAGTCAGTGGACCGACCTACTGACTGACATTGGCATCCCCAAAGTCCAGCTAGTGTGGCAACAAGAAATGCAAAACTTCCGATAATTTTATCGACATCTTTGTTGTAGCCATTTCTCAATATAGGGAGAGACTTTGCTGTGTTAAGGTCAATAGTCATTCTTCGGGTCATTTGGGATTAATTTGTGGTCCAAGAATTGTAGTTTTACTCAGGATCAATCAGCAGGACATGGACACACAAACACAGATGCATAAACACAAAGACACGTTGCTACACACAGGCGGTGACATACAGATACGACAGACAAACAATACGGTGCATGCAGACACACACACTCACTGGGAGGTAGAGGTTCGTCCACACGTTGGTATCTGTGGATGTCATGACGCACAGAAGGAAGTGAACGCACAGGATGGCCATTGACGTGAGTACCTGATCAGAGAAAACAGGCAGAAGGAATTTGTCTTAACATGGAGACAATGATAAACAGTAAAATCCGTCCAGAACGCAAACTGAGTAATTTCAAAAATGCATTTCTTCGGAATTCAAAAATGTACTCTGCAAAAGTGAAAGCTGACTTGTTTAAAGCTGGGTACCTTCCTCTCCATCTGTTTCTGTGGTGACTTGGTCTGAATCAACAGAATCAGCCTCCTTGTGTGGCTTTGTCCCCTCCCCTTCCTGTTCTTCAGCCACGCCCCCCGCAGCCTGCAGGCTCAGCCTCCTCACACTGATCCCCTCTTGCACGCCGGCTGGGGGAACTCCTCCTTCTGCCTCAGTAATAACGGCTTGCCCACCCCCTTCATCGTCTACAGCTTGATTTGTCGGTGGGGTGCGGGAAACCACATCTCCCCCAGGATCTATGGCCGTCTCTGCTCCCTCCTCTGCTTCCTACAAAATAAAAAAAACTACTGTAAACTAGTGTAAAGAGTGGACAAAATGATCTATAAAAAATCAAATCAGCCTCACTGACAGGGCTTTATAGTGAAGTAGGTAAATCACATATACAGTACATTGATATGTGTTGTGGAAATTATATTCCTGGTGAGGGGCTGAGCAAATAATTGAGTTACCACAAACCGTTGTCTTTGAAGAATTTATTTAACAAAAGAGAATAAACAGAGAAGTACTACAACACAAATCAGCTGGACCAGAGGTTCTGTCTCCTAAGACAGTCACTAACGTCTGGCCCCAAACAAAGGGATGTATCATGATTTACACAGTCTAGGTTTCTATGTTTTGGGGAACAGAGATCCTCTCTCGGCCTTGAATGAACATTCCAGGAGAGGAGAGGAACAACAAGAGGGGGAGTACACCAAAACAATCTCACAGCTCTGACCTAAACCCTAGTAAATGTGGACGGACTAACATAAGGAGTATAGGAGAGGAAAGGTTAAGGATAAAACACAATACATAATAATAATAATAGTAAAAGAACATACATAAAAGATTAAATGTAAGAGGATACAATTTTCTGCCATAACAATATGCAAGACATTCACCACCCAAATGGCAGCTCTAACATGAGGCACCTTTGGTTCCATCACCAAGGCAACAAAAAAAAGCTGAGAAACATGTTCATCAAGTTTGTGCAAATGCATTGGTGCGTAGGCGCATGAGCTAAAAGGAAACAATCATCGAACAGTTGTCCAAAAAGTAGAAACAGATAACTGGTTCCCACTCACAGCACACAAAACTATCTCCAACTAACTGATCGCTTGAGAATATGCATTTAACACCCTATATTATAGGTGTAATGGTGGTGTTACATGTAGTAAGGTGGTGTTGCATTATGGCGCAATGTCGCATGAAAACAGTTAGGACTAGAACCTATGTGTGCACTGTGGGGACAGTAATGACACTCTGCCACAGCAGAGTGGACTGTGGGGTTTACTAGCTTACTTTTTAGAGCTTAATAGATAAGGGATTTTTGAGGTTGATACCAAAACTGATTTTAAAGGGGGAAAAAATCACAGATTACTGATATGGTTTAGTGTAGCTATGAAGCTAGCTATGAGACTCATGTTACCGCCTTGTTCCAATGGATTGATCTCCAATCAGAAACACTTTTTACTTGCTTATCAAAAAATGTCAGCAATATTTCACTGCTAATGTATAACATTAACAAGTAAGATAATCTTGTCACAGAGAGTAAAAGACTCACTGAACAGACTCAGTCCATCACTGTACTGTTCTCCACTGAACTGCAAAATGACTGGGAAGAGATGCTCTGATGCTTACCTTGCAACCTGCTACGTTACTGACTCTACTGACAAATCATAGGGGGCTAGCTACCTCGCTTACTAAGCAAACAGATGTGAGATCATGAGTGACATGGCGGTTGTCAGGGACAGGGTTAACGTTATATTACTTATATTGAGAAGGGGAAATGATGGGGTCATTGTTTATTATATTTTCCAGTATGTATTTCTGCACCACTGTCTGCTCAGCTGTGATGCACTCTGCAATATGCTGCAGACAGTGCTGACTGAGAGAATAAGTCAAAGTGCGCTCTGCTGAACAAACTACGTGATGACACCTTTTCTAAATCACCCCAAGCATCGTTTTCTGTGTTGTGTTATTTTTTCAATTTGGTGCATATCAGAAAACATACATGCCAATAGCGATATATCTGTGATAGCATAACATAACATAACAGCTGGCAGTGTTGCCGGTGATGAACTCACAACTGCCTTGTTGGTCTGTGCTATTTATTAGAGACCAATTCGAATTTTCAAGACAATTTTTTAAAGATCTGACCTGCTAATTCCGATTTAGCATTTGTGAAAATTTGACCAGCACAGAATCATATGTGAGGCTGATCAGCCTGGTCACCTGTCATGGCATCAATTAAGAGTAGTTAACTAAGAAGTGAAAAATGGTCTACAGGGCACCTTTAACAAACACTGATTATTTCACAACTTGCTAAATTTCCTAATAAATAAAACATGTTAAAATATCCATTTATATGTAATCTGTGTGTGAAATATACCTATTCGCAATTAACACTACAATACAGACAATAGCGCTGAACAATTCAGTTTAGTGACTAGTAAAATGCCGGAAAATTAATCAACAACTATTTTGATAATTGATCATTTAAGTCACTTATCAAGCATAAGCATTCTCAAATGTGATAGTTGGCTACTTTTCTCTGTTTTTTAATCATTGTAAATCATTATTATCGATTAATCAGAAAAACAATCCTTAGTTGCAGCTCTAATAGGGACCATTGTGGTTTTGTAGTAATACATATACAGAAAGTTGAATCTTGGGTTGTGACCATAAAAAGATAATGAACTCACCACAGCAGTAGTCAACGTTATTGGACAGCTCTCTGATGACGAGAATACTGTCTGTGGGGCTGTTGCCATGGAGCAGGTGTCAATCTCTGAGGAGGGGTCCTCACCTAGGCCCCTTTCTTCCTCATGCACTTCACCCTCTGGCATAGTGTTATGGGACACAGCCTCTGTGAAAGGAGCCTCCTCCACTTCAGAGAAGACGTCTGGCTCCAAAACATCCTCCATGTCCAGACTTGCCCCCATTTCTAGGGCCATCTCTGCATCAGGGGGCACATCGTCTGTCGCACCACCTGCACCCTCGGGCGACTCCTCCGCCACAGAGGGCTCCAGCTGCTCAGGCTCCTGCTGGAGCTCAGGAAAAGGGTCGTCTTCATCGGGGCAGCTGACATCTGGAGGTTCTCCATTCATCAGCAGCGGTGACAGCGGCACCGGAGTGATGTCATTGGCCCCGGATCTCTCCTCGTCCTCGTCTGAATCAATGTGCAACATGGCACTGAGCCTTGTGTGTGTGGGGAAGCTAGAACGCAGTTTAGGTGAGGCCGCACCCAGGGGTCTTTCACCAGGGCCTTTGGGGGCCTCAATAGCATCCAGGCCTTCAATGAGTGACCTCTGGAGCATTTCATGGCTTGACAAGCTTTCGGGCTCCACAAATCTACCCTGGGCTCCAACAACAGGCAGCTCCTTTTCTGGGAAGGCTGTGGCCCCACCTTCCCACATGTTTTGGGAGCCCTGGGAGCCGGTAGGAGAAGGGCCTGCCGAGATCACTCCCGGAAGATGATGGGGCAGGTCCTCATCATCGGATGGAGTCCCTGGAGCTCCATTCAATGATGACATGCCAATGATAGACTCGGGAGAGGCCCCTACAGCAGGCAGAACGGGTTGAATTTCCATGTTTAGAAAGACAAATTTAGAGAAAATACATAGTGTCAAAATACAATTTAAAGGCAGATTTACCATCAGGCCCAGTCGAGGTGAGCTCCACTTTAAACTGCAACTGGCCGCTTACATGTTCAGTGGGTAGGCGCCGACACAGGGAGAAACTCACAGGCTGGACTCTGGACAGCCAAACAAAGAGAAAAACAGATCCTAACACCATGATATCTGTGACGGTGCCCGCATCAAATATGAGTAATTAAGCGGGAAATAAAATATATCCTTCTGACTAAACTGAAGCTGTAGCTGTCTGGTGTTACATACAGGTATATGTCTGTGTGTAATTCTGTGAGTGTCTGTATGTTTTCCACCTACCCGGGTATTTTTTCAATAAGCCTCTGCACAGGGATAGTGAGCTGACCAAGGAAGCGTTTGATGATCGGTCGACTTTTCGCAAACTTGTCCTTTACTTCGATGTACAGGATGTCTGTCATTAGAGCTACAAACGTGTATTTCTGCAGAGAGGAAAAACATGCAGTCATTACATTCTCAGTTGTGTACTGACAATACATTGTTTGAAGGAGAACGTGTGTGGATATGTCCTCCGAGTGCTGATGCTCAGTGAAGTATTGTAGTGTAGTGTATAAAAGCCTAAACGTCACCTCTCCGTGCCAGACGGGGTTGGTGGTGTTAGCGATGATGGCTGATCGGCGTTCTTGTCCGTGGTGGCTGAAAATGGGGAAGACGCTTCTCTTCCCCGGGTGGATGGACATCTTCAGGTACGGGTCCGGATTGAAAAACATGCCCTTCTTCAGGCCAGTGGCGCGTAGATCTGCAACAAAGCGTGTGAAGAAGAGAGGGTTAAATACTAGGAGAACTAAAAGACTAATGCTCTTTTCTCTGCGAACAAGATTTAAAGTCTACAGACGTGCTGGCAACTCTGTCTGGCTGCACTTAGTTTCAGCAATGCTTGGATGTAAATGTTAATTGTAATGTCATTACAATTCATCAGGTAGGGATCACTGATGTCTTTGCCAAATTTCCTGGCCGTCCATCCAATATTTATTGAGACATTTCATTCTCATCATCTGCACATCCTCTGGGAACCATAAATATTTTAACCCAACTTTGTTGCAATCTCTCAGTCTGGACCACCATGGTGGACCAGATGACAGACTGACATTGCCATCTCTAGAGCCATGCTAAACCATTTTCAAGTTGCTATTTAGTACGAAACAGCTGGATGGATAATGACAAACAGAAGAAACCACTGTGGTTGAGAAGATCTCTATTGTCATGTCATGCCATTTTATTTCCCTATCCCCAACCTAACGCAACCCGAGTCTATTAACACAAAATCGGGGATCACCCATCACATTGGCCAATAACTCCCAAAACTATCCCTAACTGCACCAGAGCACTCCCAGTGCATAAACCTCTTCCTGGTTTATTATATTTTCATCTGGAAAAAGGGTAACTTGGGTTGCAGCAGGGCAAAACAGCTAAAAGCCATTCCTGATGCAATGCATAATTAAAACAAGCTGTACACGTACATACCGGTCTTTTACTGTAAACTTATTTTAAAAAATCCTGATACATACTGACATATGTAGAAAACTGACAACATTCATTTTTTCTGTCAGGAAAGCACCTCTTTAAATTCCAAGACTACCATGTTACCTGAACACTACGGAGCCCCTGAAGTCCCATAAGATTATATCAATTATCTGGAGCGCACAAGTTATTATCTTGTTCCCACAAAATAATAACTTGTTCCCACAAGATAATTATCTTGTGCTCAGAAGCTGATAATCATCTTGTGCAAACAAGTTGATAATTACATTGTGCACACAAGATAATAACTTGTTCCCACAAGTTATTATCTTCTTCCCACAAGATAATAACTTGTGTGCACAAGATAAAAAAAAATCATCTTATGGGACTTCAGGGGCTCCGTAGAAAACAGCTTTAGTTTACTCTAGTTTATCCCACAGGACTGTAAGACAAACATGAGAAGAGAGCATCACTCAGCTAAAATACAAATGTCTGTGTTTAAATTAACTTTAATTTAATCACCTCACTTTTTCTTTGACTTGTTATTGTTAATGTCTTCCAACACGTCAACCTCTCAACTCACCTGTCAAAGTAAAGCTTATCAGTTTTCGTGGATGTTCAATGCCCACCTGCTCTGCCAGCCCCTCCACCTGAGAGAGAGAACCGACAAGGTTACACTCCATATACCACAGACCTATGACAGACCTGTGCTCGTCCTACTAAAGTCACATAAATCTAAATGCTAATACAGTAACATAAAATGTACTGACTATTTGCCCGCCAATTAAGTGGATGGGATGAAACATGATATAAGCAATGACGGACCTGCCAGCTTGAACCACGGTGAGGCAAAATTATTTAAAGACAAAGAGTTTTTTGAAGAGTACTATACATTTTCAGATAGATTTCTAACATAACAGGCAGTCACTGGTTTTATACTCATTTCAGTTCAAAAAACAAATTCGCAGAAACTAGAATGGGGTAATTCGGGTTTACTTGTTGGTGCATTCGAAAACACAACTTTGAGTCAGGTGCTGAACAGCAACTGTTTAATGTAACTAAAGACAACTACAACAATACTATTCTTTATCTTCACCCTAACACCTAATTTTCACCATAATGACAGAGCTACGCCTGAGACTCTGAATGTCTATATCTCACTCACACACACACACACACAGACCAGGACTGCTGGATTCTTCACGGTGATACAGGGGGTCGTGGCTCTCAGGGCGCCGCTCACTCCATGGTAGTACTTGAAACAGATCTTGGTCTCAGCTGCAGAGGAAGCAATTATGGAATGTGGAAGCAGTGCAAACATTATCTGCCTATTGTTGGCCACAAAACCGAAGTTGAACTGTAAACTGTAGAGAAGTCCAACTGTACTGTGTTTTGAATACATAATATGGTCTTAATTCGAAATATATCATAAATATACTGCATTGATTTAAGGCTTTTTATGTTTTAATGAAATGAAATATTCCCATGGTAACTTACGCTCCATAAAGTAGGGCCCAGGCTCCAGTCTCCAAACAATCTGACCCTTCTGGGTGCCATTCACCCCTCGGTTCTTACAGTCCCACACATTGGACGGATTGGTTTCATCTGGAGAAGAGGGTTAGATGTCAGTTAGATGTTGGAGTGTGTGTAAGTTCTGGAGTTAGACAAATCACGCTCTTGCTGTGTTAACATTTCCCGATTTGAAACCAAAGAATGTTACATTAAACAACAGATGACAGTGTTTAAGCTCTGGATCCTGCTCTTGCTATGAAAAACTGCAACAAAGCTGCATCTGTTCAGTCTTTTAATATGTTTAGTCTGCAGACTTTGTCTTCCAAAACACACGTTTGCCTTTAATCAGTGAAATTCATTCCCAAAATAGCCTCCCTACAACCTCTATCCAGAAGGACAAACACCAAACTTCCTCTGAGTTAAAAACAGGGAGGGGGAATTCCGCTGTACGTAGCACTTTCGCACACAGATTAATGAAGCACCACACGCTGACTGGTGGAGAGAGTTGGGGGAGGAGTGTGTACAGTATCTGTGTGTGTATGTTTGAAGGGGAGTGGAGGAGGGGAAGGCAAGTTGCTTCTCATTGAATGTCTGCTTAGTCGATGAAAGTGGTAGCCCCTCTGGGGTATAAGACCCTTCAGCAGGTAATGAAGTCCTGGCGGCCTTATGATCGATATGAAGTGACCTGACGCCCCGCCCGGCACCAGCAGTTTACACTATCTCTTTCTCCCATACAGCATTCTTACCTACAAGGGAAACGTTCAGGAAATTTAATCAACTCATCCAGAAAGGTTAAGTCCTGGAGGTCATCAGAACTGTAACTAATCATTTGGTAAACAAGTTAAAGCCATCATGAACTACATTCTATTTTTATTTTTTTTATCAAAAAATTGCACGGTATCCAGAATATACTGCCATCTGTTGTACTGCAGGTTTGTCTGACCTCTTAGAAGTCAAAGACACCCATTGTTTTTAGAAATCCATTATCCATTACTAACACAACACATCATGCTGAACAGCTCACAGGCTGCATGGCCTGCAATGGCCCTATAGAGAGCTGAAATAAAACAGGAAAAATCTCTTTTCTGTTTCAGAAGTAAGAAAAGCTAATTCAAAATCTCACTGACATTTGTAATAACACAAATACCTACGAATCCAGTTTTGGGTCATACCTGTACTGTACATCTAATCAGCTCTTTATTATGTGAGCAAACCAGCATAGAATTCATAGATTCTTAATAAGGAATGTGCTGGTTATACACTATTGCTCCTGTATTACATTTCACCACGATGGACAGATCTGCCTGACAGTTTGAGCCTGATAGCCTCTTCAGCAAACAGGTCAATGTATTGTCCCCCCCTGTCAAATTCCTGTCTCTAAGCAGGATTAGCAAACATTATTGAAGACCACCCCATTTGCCCCAGAGACGTGCATGCTTTGTGATGGTGTGTATGTTATTGTATACTGAGGCAGAGCTGTTACATGTTGAGTCAGCCTCCAGGCCTGTGTAAAGTCTCAGCAGCTCCTTTTGCAGTATTGACTTGGAGTTTGAAGCTCCTGCATAAGACTCTACCTGGCTATTCTCAGCTCCCAATAATAAAACACCTGGATCAGCTGAAAGGCTTTAAGAACAGGTAGGGTCAAGTCAGCTCAGGTCCTGGATGCCTGCAAGTTTTCTAGTTAATAGTTAATAACATGTTTCTGATTGCATATTCATAATGCTGCAATTCACTAGGAATTTATCACACAATCTGACATACCCCAAAATGTTACGCGATAAGAAGTTATTAGGTTCATCTCGCACAGTGCGACATGCAATTAACCTGCAAAACTGCTGTTCCAGCCAGATCTAACCTACAATAATCCCAGAACATAAAAAAATGAATAAGACAGCAACAAGCAGGCCTTTCATATCTGCATACCTTGCATATTTATTATTAGGATGCTTTGTCATTTTATTATTAGGATGCTTTGTCATTGCTTTATTGGTCATCATTCAGACCTAAAGAATTTCATCTTGACCTCAGACTTGTCTCTCACTAACTTGAGATCTGACCTCAACATATCCTAGTTGACCAAAAAGCAGCTCTACTAGCAACTACATATGTACAAATCATCATCTCACCAATGTGGTACAGCCCAATCCAGTCGGTAGCATCCACTTCCTCCTTGATATCCCAAGAGATGACGAGGTTCTGGCCACGGTTCAGCGTGTACTCCAAAGTGGACGCCGTTAGTGAGGACCGGCTCTGAGAGGTCACCAGATCTGTGTCACTGTTAGCCCGCGGAAGCCCGATAGGACTGCTGACAACAGAGACGGTATCCACGGCAGCCCCGCCTCTCTCCGCCAGGGTTCGCAGATTCTCCGGGCTGAGTGTGTGCCGGAGGTGGGGGCTGCGCCTGCGTGGAGCCGACAAGTGTTCACGGCCCCCCACTGCGAGGTTGGGTGGATTGTGGGAACGGGTCCTGGGAGGTAGGACTGCCGTGGCGAGGGAAGGACGCATGTTGTACGATCGGTAAAGAAACAACGAGGAGATGATGAGAAGGAGCTTCTTATCAGTTGGGCTGGTCGTCAAAGTGATGGCAAATTTGATGCATTTTCCCTGTTGACTCAACTTAAATCCTCATGTTTGAACAGCGAGAGTTGGTTTGTCGCAACTGGAAACATGTGGGAGCCTTAGAAATGGCGTGATTCCCTCTCCACAGAAGCTCACATCATCGAAACTTTTGGTCCTTGCATCATAACAGGCCTGTCGAAGTAGAACTATCCTACAACAGTCGCCGTGTTCGCCCCTCTTATTTCAAGTTATCCAAAGGCAATGGGAATCTAAAGATGGGGAAAGAGGAAACAGAGAGAAAACAGTAAGAAACAACATTGCTCCCACACAACAAAAACAATGATTGCATGTTGTGTGTTGCAATCAACAAATGACTGAACAATCATTAGTCACCAGGAGGGTTGTTTTCTGTCAAAGAACCTGACAACAACACAAATAACCCAGCACAACCATTTCACTCCATCCTTTCTTCTCGGACAACCCTTCTAATGAAAGAGGAAATGGATGTGAGGAGGGCTTTGACATGTGCACGATTACTTTTATTATTTCATTTGAATTATGTTTTTATTAGTTTATTGCTCACTAAACACTTAAAGTCTTCTTGGTGGTACAAACAGACTGCCTTAGTTAGAAGAGGGAAGGGAGACAGGCAGCTGTATATGCCTCCCAGGAAGCTCTTTAATCAGCAAATGCCAGTTTGGAGACTGTCTGGGGAGTGCTGTCAGAGTCTCAACCAGAGCCATTTTGTTTTTAAAGGAAGGATGGCATGTGACTTCAGAATCTAGCCAAAGGCAGCTGGTTTTAGACGGGCTGAAAAGCAGAGGTTTTTTTCCCCAACAGAGAATAGGTTTGGTAATATTCAGCTAATATGTGCCTGGTGCAGTCACTGGAAAACCATGTGGGCTGCAGTCTGAGCTAAGCCCTGATAACTTTGGCATTTTAAGTGCACAGACGTCTCAGAAGCTGAGCCGTTCAGCGATGCTTCCTCTGCAGGCCTCAGTGTGAGGTCTGCACTGTATGCATCATGTATTTAGTAAAAACCTTTGGATTGTAAAGTTAATAACCTTCAAATAAGTAAACCTGAAAACCCAAAAGCTCAACATCACTCCAGTTCAAATGACTGAACAGAACTGTCAGTTTACGCCCCCACTTATATTTGCATATTAAAGGAAAGTTCTACATTTTGGGAAATACGCTTTATTGCTGAGAGTTTTGCCTAGATGACAAGATCATTACGTTTCTTATATCAATGTGGTAGCAATGAAGCCAACCCCGGCAGCCAGTTAGCTTTGCAGCATAAAGAGAAAATAGGGGAAAACCTGCCTGATTCTGTCCAAAGGTAAAAAAAATATCTCACATTAACTAACTCTCAAGCTCTACAACTGTATTCCTCTTTTGTTTAATACAAAGTCTGCGATGTTAAAAGAACTGTGGCTGAGCGCAGGAACTTTTCTTCAACTTGGTACCATTAAAAATATCCCAAATTAGCTATTAGCAGTTCCTGTTTGAAGTGTTCCCATAGATGTACAGACAGCTATTACTACTGAAGATAACTTAAAAACATGATGATTCGCAGGCAAGTTCGGCAGTCGAACGTCATTCTTCTGTGATTTCTAAACTCATTTATGAATTTTTATTCAAGATTAACATTAGCGATATAATGTAGAGGGTAAGTCGCACTAAATCTAAAAATATGTGTGTAATGTCTGTGTGTTGAGATTTGACTGAGAGCCATTTTTGACAGACTCACTTCAGTTTTAAAACCCCTACTTTAATGTTTACTTTGTTTTTAATAGTTATTTCTGTTCTTCACTTTGTCAGAATGGTTCCCTCCACTGCATCCACTAACAACGTTCCCTGCCTCATCTATCAAAGTAACAAAAAGAGCAAAACTGAGGCTCATGAAAGGTTAAAACCACAAGCAACTGCTGAGGTGGATGTCTCCTCTAGTCAGTTATATCATCCATTTTCAATCCTTAGCTCTGCACTTCCTTTCTTTACAGTCAGATTTGTAATAATTTTCCATGAACAGAGCCAAAAGGTAAATTGCGTGAGTATGACTGTGGAAATTCTGCATGAAATATTGTCTAATCTATTGTATATACTGCTCCTGAGCTTCTGAATCAATTCACTTTGCATTTTGAACTGACTGAACAGAAATGATGGACTGGCCCCTGCTCTGATGTATGTGGATTGGCTGTGTTTTTCCTGATAGCCAAGGTCTTACATTGAAATAAGATCTGCTACATTTGACATGGGGAAAGCCTGGACGCCCCTGATTCGACAAGATTACCAGAGCAGCTCCATCACACACACACACACACACACACGCGCACGCACATACCGCATATAGGGATTTATGACAGAATAAAACCTTCATCACAGATGCAGGAATACGTAAATCCTGCTCATGTGTGCGCAAGGTCTTACACACAGTCACGTAGCAGCAGCAGGGAGGGGCCGTTTCCATCAACAAGCCGAAGCTTACTCAGTTGAAGAAGAAGCAAAAATAAGTGTATATGTAACTGCTGAGTTATGTAAGTGCCAGGCACTGTCGAAACCTGATGTGGAGTGGGAGATGCAGAGGCTGCAGTCGTCCCACTCAAAACAGGGGGGAAGAGGAGTCTACAAGCAGCACAGACCAGAACTTGACCTTAGGAGAGGGCATTGAACAATCTGGACTCACTCCACTGCCTTTTCTTCTAAAAGCCATTTCCCATTATAATCCACTGATCTGCACAGCTTTGACCTGAAGTGGGATTAGTGATTGATTCTCAGGAAAGGGACAGATAAACAAGGGGTTATATGATTACCCAAAAAGGAAATTGTGCTTCTAATTCTAACCATTCTCTGGGATGATGTTGAATTTGACACCTGTCTTGCAAAGACAGTCATTTGAGTACTGTTCTGTTATTAGGCACCAAATACTCTGTACTCTGCACCACTGTGCTTTGAATACATAAAAGAAACACATCTACTGCAGAGGATCTGATGGAGCAAGTCAGAATGTGCTGGATTGTTGTTTTCTTACATTTTGTCAAAAAGCATTTCTTCAGAGAACATTCCTAGAACAGGAAGATGATTTCAAGGTATACTACTACTATACTATACTACTGCAAGTGCATGTTTGTGTTTCAATGTGTCTTTTACTTCTAAATCTGGCCTAGCGGCTAGTGTTGCACCCCCCTCAAATACAAGATCAAATAGAGTGTTCAACACACAGGGTGAAAAGCTGCAGCAATGTGCAGTATGAAAAACAAATGTGATTTTTTCAAATTAAACCATGTCCAAACCACATACACACATTCATACACTGGCGGAACAGCCGCCAGAGGCAATTCGGGGTTCAGTATCTTGCCCAAGGACACTTTGACATGCAGTCTGGAGGAGCCGGGATTGAACCACCAACCTTCCCATTAACGGGCAACCCACTCTACCTCCTGAGCCAAACCACAACAGCATCTGTAAAATAAAATAACAGACAGAACAGACTACTTGTTTACACACATATCACCTTAAGGAATTGTGATGGGCATATTTAACTAATTTCTGGCATTTCTTGGAAACAATGAAAGAAAATAACAAACAGAGACAAATCAGTAATGAAAATAATCAGTTTCAACCTGTGTGTTTTTGCCAACTGGATATGTGTTGTGTGCTGTAGGTGCTGTGATGTTAGTAACTTGCTTTTCTCTGTTCCTGTGTGTGTGTGTGGGTGTTAGCAGAGGGACCCCTCTGTGCCCCTGTGGAGGTGACTGCTGCACTTTACAGCCTGACAGAACGGGCACCTTGGGGAGCTGGCACACACACACACACACACACACACACACACACACACACACACACACACACACACACACACTGAGGTCTTATTGCACCTCACCGAGACAGAAAGTTAAGAACAAAACACACAACCAGCACGACAAAGCATTACACAATGCTGCTCGAAAACACCACACACACATTCTTGTCCATGCTTATGCAAACAGCATTTCTGACTCAGAAGATGAAAATACATTCTCTTCACAAACTATGTCCTCGCTGAGCTTTCAACATGAACTTAAAGGTGGATGAAGACTGAGCGGTCCACCTGACTACCGCTCCTTGCACTGAGGCCTCACAGGAGGTGCAGCTTTATAAGCCTGAAAGAACACAGGCCACAGGGTCGATGCCAGAGTGTTCCCACTTCCCAGAAAAAGTGCAGCCCTGTCCCGCTCAGGTTGTTTCTCTAAACACATCGCCCTGGGAGAACATATCTGGGATGAGTCACTCCTCGGGAGGTATCCCTCTACGACAGAAATGGCATTTACGCTGGAAGACTTATTGATATCGCGCTCTCCAAATTTAGAATGCTGACCTTTGTAGTTACGTATGGATTTGTAAAAGGCAGAAAAAACTGTATACAGACATATACAAAGTATAAAGACAGATCTGAGGCATTTGAGCAGACTACTGTCTCTTTTCTTCAACCTATATTTAAGAACCATATCTAGAGCAATGACTGTGGGGACAGTCTATACAAATTCAGGTTGTACAGCACGTGCAAATTGCACAAACCCACTTTTAAATTTTATATCATAAAAATCAAATGTACAAAGTATCACAGGCTGTATTTTGGGGAAATGTACATCAAATCATGCACAAAATATCTAGAATATTTCTATTTGATGGAATGGTGCAGTCATAAAAAAGTGGTGAGTATTTCACTCATTGTAAACATCCTACCGCTTCAATGAAGAGCTCAAACACACATTACTGTATATATTACTGTCAGACAGCGTGGAGTAAGATCAACCTTAAAACTACTTAAATAGAAACAAAATGGCTTGGAAAATGGGTTAATGATGGATTAGTATTGACCTATACATGAAGCAGACAGCGACATCACTGCAAGGTGACACAACCTCTATGTCGCGCTTCCATTTTAAGTCCTGACTCATTGGCTAACTCAGTTTCTTCCAAAGGCTTTACAGCCTGTCAAGTCAGTGAAGCCTTACCCACGACTCAATAAGGATGTGTTTTTAATTTGATAATTAATCTCTTTCTTATCACATCACTTCCACTACACCAACATCCAAAACGCAAGCAGTGTCTTAACTCACACTCCACAACTCTCTCTAAACAACACAATGAATGCTGAACAATTAAGGGTGCATCGAGGGCTGGGTGTTGTTTGAAATGTTTTGTGGTGCCAATACAATACCTTTGTTTCAGTTCTGACAGCCAAATACCTTTCTAGGGAAATTAGGGCTGGACGATATGGCCAAAAATGTTATCACGATAAAAAGTTTTGTATCTTTTGATATCGATAAATATCACGATAAGTATCAAATCGTTATTTCTTTCGAGTTTAAAGGCTGATTTTTGCTACTGAGTGAATGTTGAAAAAAACTGATGTTAAATTGTGGTTTAAACCTCTTTAGGGTCAACTCTTGATGCTAAACAGTGGATCCCTTCACAAATCAGATGTAGAACATTCAAAACAATTATGATAAAAGCTTTGTCAACAAATATGCATGAGTAAAGTTAAGTAAAAGCCTTTTTCCTCAACAAAATAAAAATTTTAATAAAAAAAGTCCTAATTCGTTTGTTATTTATATTGAAAAAAATGATATCACGATAATTATTGTTATAGTTTTATTGTATAGCCCTAAAGCCATTTTTCATGTAACAAAAGGAAGCCAATATTTTTAACAGCAGTTGCATGTAGTCTATCCACAAGCAGCCATGCAGGCACCTAATAAATCTAAATAAAATGCAGTGTAAAACGTAATAAAATGCAGTGTAAAAGATTAAGTAGTCGCAAAACTCTATGCACTAATACGAATTCATTAACAATGTACGATGTTCTGCTCTAACAGGAGTAAGAAAACTAGCGAGGGAGTCAAGAAGATGTCAATCAAGAGCAGTTTGAACACATACACACATCCTCAAGAAGAGGTCGAATCAGGTAACATGAGTGAAAACACCTGTGTGGGTGGACCAGTCTGCAGGGGTTTCCACAACACGTCAAACGTGTGTGTAATAGAAGGTGTGTTCAGGTTCAGGTGTACTTTTTCTGCATGTTTACAGTGTTTTAATATATTAAAGGTTGGGGTCAAAGAGGATGGCTACATATTCTTAACTTGGGTTTGATTCCCACTGTGACCCATCCACTGTTGTGTCCCTGAGCAAGACACTTAACCCCTAGATGCTGCAGAGGAGTGTGACCTCTGACATGAATAGCAATTGTAAGTCGCTTTGGATAAAAGCGTCAGCTAAACGAAAAAATGTGAAACGTGCACAGGACTTCATGACATCTACTTAAAAACTTCACATGTACACACATACTCAGCAGTTATCAGACAAATCTGCAGCTGACATTATAGGTTCTGTTCTCCCCTTTCTGTCAATTCTGTCAAGTGAGGAAATTTGGATTTTTGTGATGATCTGCTGCAGCGAAAATCTAACAAAACTGTATTTCTGCTTGTACCAGGCCATCTCAGGTAACATATTGCTTAATGTTTCATATTTTGTTTAGAAAGCTGTGCATGTTGGCACTTTTCAACCAAAAAAGCAGATCACATTAGGAAAATATAAGCAATTTATGCACTGGGAGATCTCAAAGGGCGATTTAGAAAAGACACTGCAGGCCCATATGATAGGATTAGCCTATAGCACTCAATCTCACTTATGACCACCACACCACATTTTCTTATTATATATAAATGCCGGTGGGGTTATTTACAAGTCGCTAAGTGATATTAGTTCTATATGAATATAAACACAGGCCACTTTCTAGACTAAGGCATCTCAGAGCAAAAGAGACCAGAAGGTAACCCCCGCTTATGGCAAAAGCGCGTCAGCAAAATCACCTTACATAACAGTTTGTCTCCAACTTTAATCATTTCAAATCAATCTTTGCGCTGCCGAAGCCGCGCACGGTCGCTTTGCGCACATGACTGAGCAGGCCATGTAGGGGCCGCACTGGCGGAATGTGCAGGTGTCATCGCTCGCTATTGGATTACTGTGGGAATTCCCTACGTCATTTTCTTTTTTATGCATCTCTTTCACAAGACGCATTCGTGAAACCAAAATCGATCAATTATTCCCTTCAGTACAGAACCACAACAAAAGCAGGTAACGCGACACGCATGAGACTGCGCTGCGGTTGTTTAATGACAGATTGGGCTGCTTTGAGCATCACCGTCATCATCATTATCCCCATCACTTCGGGAAGCCATGAACACCTACGCGGTACCTTCATTCCTGACGGCGCCCTGGTGGCAGAGCTTACCTTTGGCGCAGGGGTGCAGGATGGAAGAAAACGGTGTACGGGCGATGGCAGCGTTGGCACCAGCACTTACTCAGTGGTCTCTGCACGGGGATATCACGGTTTAGGTCGTTATCCCTGCAGTCCAAATGAGGAGAGGCGGGCGGGGTGCCGCGCTAGGGCCCCCCTCCCTCTCTCCCTCTCAGATCCCGAGCCAGGGCAGCTTTGGGCTTGGAGTCACGTATCGAGACGGTATCCCTCTGAAAAGCTGCGGCGCTGCAGAGACACTTCGGCCCTCTTTGGTAGCAGCTTCCAGAGGTGTGCGCATAAACTCCACCAGCACCTCCCTGCACTCTGTCCGCACTGGAGGCTGCTGCTGCTGCTGCTGCGGGCTTCAGGCGTGCATCTCATACAGGCATCGCATGTTTAATCTCGCTCTCTGCATCGCAATGTGCTGCAGTCAGTGCCGACGTCCTCCCACCAGTCCCAGTTGCAAAAAATCTGACTGGGCAGAGCATGCAACCACTGTCAGCCCCCCCCCCCCCTAAAAAAAATAAAATACAATAAAAACGTAGGCTAGCGGAGGATGGCGTAATGCATGGTTATTTGCAGTGGAGTGGCTCTCCTGGAGGGCGTGGAGGAGAATTTTCAGAGGACTGTAATGCCTGAGATGTACTTTTTGCTGTTGATAACATATATACACTCACTGAATATTAATGTGTGAAAGCGCGAGTGGGCGGTGACTCAAGACACGTCCCAGATAGAGGAGAGAGAGAGGGGGGGGGGGTAGTCAACCTGTAGAACAATTACACTGCACAGGCACATCCAATGACTGCTTTAAAATGAGACCATCATGACTGGTCTCCATTGCTAGAGATTTAACTAAACAGTAGCTACACAGAAGTTAAATGACTCCATCTCGACCAGCTACAACATTAAAATGTTGCTTATTCACTTATGCATCACTTCAATCCAATGATGTGATATAGCCTAGCCTTCATCACTCAAAGAGTCCATTCTGCATAATGAATACTTTGGTGATGGTAGCCTACTTTATTTAGGTTACTGAAGTAAAATTTGTGCAGGACTTTTACCTACAACAGAGTATGTTCATGTTGTGGTATTTCTACTTTTACTCAAAAGGATCAGAATAACTCTTCCAACATTGGTGGCATCATCTTTCCTCAGCCGACAGGCAGGAGAATGAACAAACCAAATACCGCATTGGCATACATATATGCCAATAGATAGATATATACCTTTACACCTTTAATGGTAGGAGTTTTCAGTTGAGGGCTATTTGCCTTGTTTCAATTACGCCAAATTATGACCCCTGGAATTCCTATTCAGCACTTTCCGCCATAGTGAAAGGAGTCACCTGCGCAGTGACACTTTAAAGCAAACATTAGGAAATGGCACTGATGCGTTCATGCAGCCGTTTTGCAACTTCCCCACTTTGTGTTGCCGCAGACTGCGGACAGTCAGGTGTTGGCAGGGACACGGAGCCCCCCGGTGGCCGCTCAGCAGAGAGGCAGGTGATGGCGCGATGGTGTGAGAGACGCGGGTTCAATCCCCAAGGACCCCTCCACCATTGTGTCCCTGAGCAAGACACTTAACCCCTCGTTGCTCCAGAGGCGTGCGACCTCTGACATGCTTTGGCGTCAGCTAAATGAATAAATGTAAATGTACTCAGTGACAGCAAACATAGATAAAGATCAAATGAGAGCATGAAGCACAATGAAGTGCTGCTTGCTAGGTGTCGCCGTTATCTAGTATGAGCTAAAGGGTTGTATTTCTGTAGCGTCAACTATTACCCTATCTACACCATAGACTGTATATAAAAAGATCTACACTTGCATTTGTTTACCTCTCACAGCATGTTTTTGACCACCAGGAGACGGAAAGCCAAGCAAAACAAAATAGGCTACACTAATAGCTTATCAAATGACTTCCTGACATTACTGACCAAGTAATGTCATTCTGAGGAGGTTTCTGTCTGGTCACCCGTTGAACATGTCCAGTATTCACTTAACTTTAGCTCTGGTTTGGAAAGCTCTCTCTGTCATCCTCAATGTTCGACTCCTAGCAGTTATTTTAGTCAGTTTTAGCTCTCTGCTTTTCTGCGCGGGCCGCGTTGGTACAGTTAGCTTGAGCTCTTGTCCTGGAAGCAACTGCCTAACGTTACGCCTTTTCAGTGATATCAATGAGCAGGCTAGTGACAATTAGTTGATGCCGTGTCCTGAAAGTTAGAATAAAATAAATAATGTCTGCACTCTGAGAGATATTGTCACATTTGCTGGAAAAAGCGATGTCAGAAAGAAGCAGACAGTTTTGCAGTTGTATTAAATATTTGAAGGTTTTATTACGTTACATTCAGTAGGAAGTTAGCTAACGTTAGCTAAACTGTCTGCGTCTTTCTGACATCGCTAGCTATCGCTAACTGACATTACATTAGGAACAATCCACAGCCGACATTTTTGTGGATTTATTTTAGGTTTTGGAAAGGGAATAAATCGTACTTCTCCTTTCAACCTCCCTGGGGAGCGACTGTAACTATTACAAGTGCCCCAGGAACAGCGTTTGACCAGATCTTGGAAAAATACGGCAACATTTTTACATTAGTCAAAGTTTTTTTTGTTGTTGTTGGTTGTTTTACCACTTTTTTTGCTTGTTCAATAAACAAACAGGCACCATTGTAACATTACATAGACCTAACATTTAAGTGCAACTAAGCAGCATACAACCGAAAGTATATAAGCAAAAATAAATAGATACAAATATATAAATCAATAAACATAAAATACAATGAAAGTAACTCAGAGAATCTTAAGGCATTATTCTTTTCCAGTATTTTCAATGCCGAAAAAAATCTTCAAATAATTTATAAATGCATTAAAAGTTGATGTAGCTTTAAAAAAATCTACACTTATGAATGTAAAATCTTGCTATAATAAAGATATTATTACACAAGAACTCAACGTCTTTGTTTTCCATAAACAACCAAACTTCACGTTATGGTTATCAAACACAGGTATTTCATTGTACCTAACCAATCCAATATTCTGTCCCACAATAATTTAACAAGATTACAGCCGTAGAAAAGATGTTCCTGAGATTCAATATCAGTCTGACAAAATGTACAAACATTACAATCTAAATTAAATCTTATTCTTAAGAATTCATTACATGGATAAATGTCAGTAATTGTTTTGAAATGAACCTCTTTCATTTTAGGAAACAACGGAAATGATAAAATCTACTTTGAACAGTTTCAACTCTTGAAAGTCTTTCTGACAAAACCTTTCTTTTCACAGGAAAACAGTCTTTTTTCATTAATGACCTCAAACATTTGTTATCACATTTACTATCTAAGAAATTATACTCATCAACAAAGAGATTAGCAGATGTGGGTACCACAGCACTGTATTGTAACATTCCTTTTATCTGGTTTATCAAAACCTCAGGAATGACACTGACTACTAAGGAATATTGTCTAATTGAACAATCCAAATTAAATTTTGTTTTAAAATCATCATGATTTCCCATATTCATCCATTAGATGTACTATAACCCACACTCCTTTTTTCCATCCAATCTATATAAAATAGTATTTTCCTCTTGTGTAAGATGTTCCTGTTGTTCCATATTGTAGCCTTATGAGGGGAAAAATTATGCTTATACATCATTTCCCAATACCTTATGATAATCACATAACTTAAATGGCATCTTTGATGGGTCAAAATCACATTTTAACAGAAAACCAATTCCTTCTACCCTCTGTAAAAGATAAGCTGGAAAACTAAACCATAACCTATGTTCATGTTTTATAAATATTTGCAACCATTTTAATTTAATAACTCCATTCATTACTTCAAAGTCAATCACAGCCAAGCCGCCTTCTTCTACTGGTTTAACCATGTCACCTTTTCTAATCAAATGCTGCTTATTATTCCAAATAAAATTAATGTATTTGGTTTATTTTCTTAATACATCTGTCTGGAACTGCTAAAGAGTATGCAGGCTATAGTCTAGAAATCGCTTCCATCTGCGTTAACAAAATTCTTCCAAAAATTGAAATATTTCTTTGTAACCAGCTATTTAAAATTCTTTGATTCTTTTACAAAACATTGAAAGTGACTGCTTCCCCTGTCACTATGGCCTTTACTGATAGTTACTCCCAAGTACTTAACCTCCTTTTTGACTGGGATGTTATGAGTAAAAGGTTGTGCGCAATCGTGAATAGACAAAATCTCACACTTTTTAAAATTTAAATACAGCCCTGTATCTTCCGAAAAAACAATAGAAACAGCTTTTAAGGCATTAGGTATTTGATCAGAATCTTTCAAAAAAAGTACCGTGTCATCTGCTAATTGTGTTATTATTAAGGGATTACCCATAATATCCAATGGTTTTATAGTTTTATCATTTTTAATATACACTGCTAACAGTTCAGCTGCTAAAATAAAAAGAAGAGGACTAACTGGGTCTCCTTGTCGTATTCCCCTTTCAACCTTAAATCTTGTTTTAGTTCCTGACTGAAGTAAGACTGCACTTGTTATTCCCTTGTACAACATAGAAATAACCTCAAATTTTTTTTTTTACCAAATCCAAAATATTGTAGTATAAAATAAAGTGGTGTTCCAGTCTGTCAAAAGCTTTTAAAAAATCCCAAAATAATATTAACACCTTTGTCCTCCACCAAGTGTGCATAATCTAAAAGATCTAAAATAAGCCGGATGTTCTTATGTATTAACCGATTCTGAAGAAAACCTGACTGTGTTTCATTTTATCCATACCACTTTTAAGCCTAGAAGCCAAAACATGGGTAAATATTTTATAATCAACATTAAGTAAAGTAATCGGCCTTAAATTATCTATAATTGTTTGGCTTTGTTTGGCTTTGGGATTAATGTTATTGTACCTTGTTTCATTGTTGTTAGTAACATATTACCATTTAAACATTCTTTCGGACCTCAATTAGAGCGAGTCCTATACTGCACTGTGATTGGCCAGCTGTGTAGTTGGGGCGTGGCTTAGCAAAAGGTCAATTGGTTAGACAATCTCATGCAGCTCCACCTACCTTCAACCTGAGCAGAGGTCTAATCAGCCAGAATTAAGTGAAAAGCACATGAAGGTCTGGTGGGCATAATAATTTCATACTCACAACATTTCTATAATAATAAAATAATAATAATGATAATAATAATAATAATAATAATAATAAAACAACAATAGTTTTTTTTGGTTTTATTGCAACAACAAAAGGTGCCAAAAATTGCACAGTTTGCCCATTTACAATGACATCAGATAAAAATGTGAGAAATATAAAAACATCAAAGCAACCCATTTGACACAATAATGCTTAAACCTGAGGATAAAATACGCTTCCACATTAGAGCATCATCAGAAATTATAAATAAAAGAAACTATCCCCTCAGACATGGTATATTTTCACTTCTTTCACCTAACTGCCTGTTACAATATTAGCAAAGGCCAGAGGACTAACTAGTTCTACACAACAAGGACCAGCTAGCAGAAGGTTACAGGTTTTAAAGTCACTCTAGGCAGAAGCAGAATAAAGGAAAGTGATAGTATTACCAGACTTTAAAGCACTTATAGACAGTAGTAACATGTAATATGATCGTTACCTCCATATTACCAGATGAACACTAGAAGAGGGTCATATGTAATTACCCTTTTCATTACTTGGCAAAGAAGATGGTAGTGAATACAAACAATCCATCGATCAATCAAAATGATTAACGCTACTAACACTTTTCAAATATGACCTACTTTGTGACTGAATTTGAGAGTTTCATATAGGTGTAGCAATGCTGGTTGTCAAAAGGATTTTCTGTAATGGATATATGGTTAATAATATAATAATAATGGTTATACTGTTGTATTGTTCTACAGTTTACCTTAATGCAAGATGTATGTACTTGGACCATCAGACCATGTTTATGACAAGCTGATTCAACATTGGAACAACTTTAGAAATAAGAAGCAGAAGCACATTATTCTTGGCAAAAATCGTTTGTTTCTAAAATGGAATTTGGTTTGACTGAGCAACTCTTTTTCAGTAAGTTGAACTAAGAGCCTTTATGTTTGATTATTCAAAAGAGCAGCTTAAGTTTTCAGCAGCTACACATTTCCCAAGTGGACATTGACAGTGATCAATCCGACTGAGTGGAGTAGAGGATCGAATTTTCTTAGTGTGCCTTGACTTGAATGCTAAAAAGCTTGGGAAGAAAAGTGAGCTTGTGAAAAGAGAGAAATCCTGTCTGTCTGTCAGATATTTGATGTTTTTTTGATCCTATATGCTCCATAAGTCACTGTACATTTGGTGGACAAGACAATGAAATAACAACATACCAAAAACTGTATCACCTACTGTACTATCATGAGAGAAAAATTATTGGACACTAATCTTTATGCCCTTTTAAAAAAAAAAAAAAAAGGAATCCCTTCTATGACATTCAGGATGTGACAAAACTGTCCAAGACATTTTTGACACATAGGAAAGCTGCCATGACAGACAGCGGAGTCTAAAATATTTTGCTTCTGAAATTGTCGGGTCTCATCTATAAATATAATTGAGTTGTCAGTTTAAGCTAAAGGTCCCATATTATGCAAAATGCACTTTCATGTTTTTCAACCTAAATGTGTGTCCCCACTGTGTCTAAAGACCCCCAAACTATGAAGAAAAAAATCCTTTCTCCCGGTCTCTTCTTGATGTCATGTACGGATATGTTTAGCATGGGACCTCCTCCAGCCCTGTAGCCCACTGAACATGTACTGTTCTCAGCCATGCCCCCACTGGCCAACCTGTTTTTCCAACATCGAGCAGTCATTCCATCTCTAAGCTGAATGTTGTTCAGTGTGTCTCACAGAAAGAGCTTTTAGGGTTATGAAGGAAAGGAATATTTTCAGTTTTTCCTTCTGATGTTCCCTGGCTGATCTGCCTCAAGTCTGTGATTTACAGAGTTTCCTGATGGACAGACAGCTTTACTTGTTGCTAACACTACAGTAACTGCTAGCTACTGCTAACTGCAGCTGCCGTTATCAGCCGACTCTGCCCAAACTAGGCGCTCCCAGTGGTCCAAGGCTCCTGTACTAACGTTGTAATAACCCCCAGAGCACCAAGCTTCCAGTCCGGGCAGGGTCAGCTCATGATAAAGATAAAAAGTTGTGTTTTTGTACTGTAAGGCCTTGTCACTCATAGCAGACCTAGCTCCACACAATTCAGCGCTGTGCTAGCTAGTTCCTGCCCCTGGGCAGGCTTCTAGAAGTTGGCCAATCAGAAGAAAGTGGGCTGTTAGGGAGGGGGCCTTAAAGAGACAGGAGCTACAACAAAGTGTTGAGACAGAGGTAAGCGGGAAGCTAGCGGTCAGCGATCTGATGCAAATGCGAAGTCCCTGAAACCTGCATTCTATTGAACGGCCAGCAGGGGGTGACTCTTTTGGTTGCAAAAAGAAGTCCGGCTCCACTAGAAATAATGGTAAAAAAATTTCTCACCTGAATAATTACCTCAGTAAACACTTTCCTAATGAGTTTATGGTCTCAGTTGCTAGTTTCATGTGTTCTTCAATATAAAATGATGTTCATTTAATAAATAATGGTCCCATTTATTTTAAAATAGACCATAAAGCAGAGTATGTTTCAGAGCGGGATTATCTATGATTGACAAGTTGTTACCATGGCGACCTGTCAATCAGGCTAGAGCCGACTCGTACCCACGGCACTGAATAAATTTAACCAGTTCCGTTGAAAAAGCTTATTAGGAGTTGGCTGTTCACTTTCTTTAGTGAGTACATTTAGTTTTAAGTAAGACTGTTGTTTGCTAGACAATATTGTCAGCCCTGTTAAAATGACGCAATGAATGAAGCACCTAGCTTAGCAAGCTAGCTAGCTCTGCACACGGCTGTTAGCTCCACTGTTTTGTCCAAATATGGTAACTTCCGGGCACTTCCTGATTGCAAAAACTCAACATGGCAGCGACCTATCAGCCAAACTCGAGGCTTCAAAACGGCAGTCCACAAACAGCGGGTGACGTCATGATGACTACGTCCACTTCTTATATACAGTCTATGGACAGAGGTTGAAAAGAGGGGCTGAAGCAATGGACACCATGAAAAAAATAATGTGTTTTTTGAACATTAAAGTGTATAAACATTTTCTAGTAGACCTGTAAAATAAAAGAATCCTGAAAATGAGCATAATATGGGATCTATAAGACTGGAAAGAGATTCAGTGGCCGCTATTCTCGTTGATAATGGTGCCATTTTACCAACTTACAGTTTACTCAATTTCCACAAATGATTCATATTGGTACACCCAGAAGCATTTTAATATAGAATAAAAGACAATAATGTTAAAGTGGAGAAATAACATATTCACTTGCTTCTTCCCTGTAAAGATCGATTTGTCTGAATTCAAAATACGTAACCCAATATAACAAAATTAATAGATAGGCACATTTTCCATAACTGCATTACAACAAGAGAGCAACGGGAACACTGTTTGTTTTATCGGTTTTTAAAATGGTAGTATTTATAAGACTGAGTGCTTATGAAATGTAGAATTTGATTCCCTGCATAATTTTAGTCCAAGTTTTCAACCTAATTCTGGATGTATTCAAGAAACATATATGACAAAGAAATATGATTTTCTGTCTTACTCTAAAATGCGAGCTAATATTAATGCCTAATATTCCAAAGGATAATTTTGTCTGAGAAAATGTAAAAAAAAGAAATTTTCCAAACATCGGTTTTCCAGCTTGGAAAGAAAACCCTCATGTGTAAATCTGGAAGTACGACATGATCACAGTGAACACCGATATAAATCACATTTATATTTATATAAAACAGAACTCTGGACTCTTCTAATTTGTTCTACAAAGTAGTGTATGCCACCAATTCACAATGAGGCGACAATGTGCATCTCAAAGCACTAAAACTGCACCAAACAGACGAGTGCACAGAAAAGCACTAAAATCACTTACACCACTAGTAATTGTATAAAGTCAAACACACGTAGAGACATTCTGCGCAGGTACATTCACATTGGGAACAACAGTGGCGTCTTGCAGAGCATGCTGACATGATTGTATGCTTGCTTGATGGGCAAGAGTGATTGGTCCCTTATGAACTTATCTTTAGTATGAAGTTATTATCAAGTCACACAAATTCAAAATCATACTACCGTGTTGAGGAAATATTTTTGTGGGTAAACTCATTCACACAGAACCAGTGAAGTACACTTACATTCACCATAGGCCTTTATCATTTAGCCAAGACACTGCTACTGAGGACTACATGGTTTTCAACTGACAGGCAGGTATGAACAGATGCACTGCTGCATACACGAGAAAGCAGAAAGGCACAGCAGCTGCTTCACTGATGTGAGGAGGTGTGAGCAACAGTAAGAGGATGTAACACAAAGCAATACAACACAATCTTTAACACAGAGAGGCATAAAATAAAACAAAATTGAAACTGGTACAGCTGTCATGTCATGTCTGTCATGTTACCCACAGATACTGTAAACCCCTAGTCAGACACTGATTCACAAAAGTTTGTTATGAAACTCTAAGGGGTGTCGGTGTCAGTGCAACACTTGACTGAAGTCAAAAAGCAACAAAATGTTAGGCCTACATGCCATTACAATACACCACACACACAACATGCGTCACCGCACAGAAAACAGTTTTCGTCAACAATCATAATGATCGTTTGAAGCAATTGTGGCAACAGAATTTCACAACTGTTTCTTTTCCACTGAAATCTAAAAGCTTCATTCTATCAAATATTACATCCTCCTCTTATAACAAAGGAGAAGGCTTGTTATATTTTATAGTTCTCTTTCTGTCAACAAATCCCATGAAAAGACCCAAACCAGCAATGAATATATTCATCCATCGTCAACTGCTTATCCCGCGTACAGGGACGCAGTGGGCTGGAGCCAATCCCAGCTTACATCGGGCGAAAGGCGGGGTACACCCTGGACAGGTCGCCAGTCCATCACAGGGCATGAATATATCCACTAACAAGTATTGTGTGTGGAGCCAAAACCTGATATCATCTTCCTCTGTGCCACAGAGCTCCACTGTTATCCAAAAACTATTAAAACACATCAGTGAGCTACACTGTTGCACTGGGAGACATTGTAGTTTACCCACTAGAGCACCAAATGTGGATTAATCCACAGTTGGAAATCATCAGATTTCCTCCTGTTTAAATTACATTTACTAAAAATCACTGACACCAGCTGCTTTAGGAAATTATATAAAAAAAGAAACTATGTTTTTAAAAATGTACATCCTCAGTAAAAAGCATCAGGCTTGGGGCTGAGTGCCACCAACATGGTAGGGACGTCAAAAAAGTACTAAATAGCCAAATAGCACATTGTTGGCTTTTGTTGACAGTAAGGAAAATATAAAACGACCCCAGCCTCGTCTTCTAAGTTGCTCTTAAAATGTTAAAATCTGGAACCACATGTTCTAACATATTAAGAGAAAATATTCAAAAATAAGAATAAGAATTTAAGTTGTTGCTTGCTATGTACTGCTCCATGCGTGGCTGACTTTGTAAAAGGACACACAGACCAGTAGTTTTGTGATCTTTGTTTTAAAAAGGTATTAAAAAATTAAGACAAAAAGGTGGATTCCTTGGTTATAAATATTCACCTGTACACCTGCCATTAGGATAGCTTACAGTGCCTTAAACAGTCACTAAACTGCAGCAGCACAAAGCAGATAAAATTCCAATTACAATATGGGGTTTACAAAGTGTTTGTTTAAAGCTCCAATCACACTGTATGCTGCAATACTGAACAGACGTCCCATAATCCTCCACTGAACCTAAATCTGAGGCTTAGAGAAAGCAAGTAATCTGCTTTTTAAACTTTGCTAGCCAGATGCTTCACCAAGAACAACGTAGAAGAGGGTGTCCCTAGTGTAATAGTCCAGCATAATTTGACCGTCAGACCTCACTCCAGAGTGTCTGAAAGGACACAACAAAGCCTGTTCACACACGACAACCAACACAGCACTGACGGCATTTTAGATCCTTTCTTTAAGAGTTCTTGCCTCATGTCTTTCAAGTAGGAAATATATATCAATATTATTTGGCTAAGCCTAGCCTGCTGCTCATTTAACAGCCGCTGTTACCTAAATAAACGAATGAGTATCGAAAAGCGAGTATTTGTCACACAGTGACACGCAGGAAAAAAGGACTAAACAAGACCCCAAAATGAATAGTGCTCATAGCCTGGCCACGCCTATGAAAATTGTTTGGCTACACCCCTGTATTTTAGAGAACATGGAGTAGATCATAATTTTCCTCTTCTGAATTAAAATGTGCGACAGATTAGAACCTGCGCATTCACTAAAACCTTTTCCAGCTCAAACGTTCATTTTGCTGCCCGTGCCTGGCAGTGCTACGACAGTCAACAGGTAAAGATAACATAGAACCATAAGTCATCGCTAAGCAGTAGGTAGTGCAGGAGTTCACAGCGTAGTGACCACAGTGAACAGTGCCACTGTAAACACTAGAAACAAACAAAAACTAAAAGAAGACGTTTTAACAGTAACACCCTGTTGTGAATCTCTAGTATCAGTAGCTTCACTGGTTGTGGAGTTCTTGCTCCTTGAAGACAGAGCTATAGATATACAAAGTAAGGCAAACTTGGTTTCAGGTCAATCCTTGGGAGCCATATTCACACCAAATGTTCCAAGGCCATTACATCCTCTCATTTTAAAACACAGTGTAATCGCCATGGAGCTTTCAGTGCTAACATTGAGCAGACAGTTCCCCAAGCTATGTATGTCTATGGCTCTGCTCCATGGCAGCTAGATGGCGTAAGTCTTCCCCGGACAAATCAGTCTTGACCAGCTTCAGTGAGTAAAGCTGCGCTTTAGAGAAAGGCTTGTTATGGTGGAGATGTGGACTGAAAGCTGCCAGATACCGTCAGAGAAGACAACACAAGGCCAGCGGGGCTAGTGCTGCCAACAGGAAGTAGGTGACCCTGTAGAGGTGGAGTGGAGAGAAGGTCACCATGGTGATGGCCAAGGGGAGAGGGAGGCAGGATGTCAGAGGCAGGAGTTTACTGAAAGAGATATAGAAAAAGTTGTACACTGCAGCAGAATTCCTGTGACAGGGTAATCAATGAATAGGGGATGTGTGTGTTGGTGATGGTGTCCTCTTACCTGTTGCTGAGTTTTAAGGTGTTGCAGTTAATAAGCAGCATGTACACACTAATTAGAGGCACAATGTGTGGCCAACAGGGGTCAGGATCCAACTGCGTGGAATACCTGCAGAGGATCACAACGAATAATGGTACTGATTTCAGCCAGTTATTTTACACAAATAATTTGTAGGGAACTTTAAATGAATACAATAATTAATAACAGTGATCTGCCACAGAAACATCCTGTTCTGCCAACAAATCAGAGGTCAATATTAGACAAACCAGCACCCCTGCAGCTGGTAAAGATTCAACAGTTATATTCATAGAAAGTAGAAAGTTTAAAGATGCATTAGTGGACCTGCTTACATAAAATGGGCCAATTTTTATCTGAACATGTGGTGGAATGTTTGAAGATTTTATTATGTTTTGTTTGACATAACTAATACACCCTTTGGTGGGTAGTATGCAAAAATGGAGGATGCTATTCAAACTCAATTTATTGAAGCAACACATGTTATTGTGAGGTTACCAAGTCATAACCCCCCCCCCCCCTTAAATCCAACAAGTTGTACCACATCATCACAACAACCAGACATTAGCAAGCCCTTCATCTCTTGGCCTTTACAGTGTAGCATAGGGAATCGCAGCTCTCTCTCTCTCACCTGGACTAGATCTCCATGCAGGAATGGAAGCACCAAAGGAAGTCTAATATTTGCAATGGACTTGATTTTCGTAATTGGTCTTGTCAAATCAGATACTTAACTACACATTGCTGTGGACGTCCAGTTTTTGTACATGTAGAAACTTTTGCATTTTTCTGAACAGATGCATAGTTAATAATTAATAAGCATTGTTAAACATGGGGTGGTGATTAGCATACTCTCTAATAAACACAGCCTTGGGTGTGTTCATCTCAGCAGTGCAGGTGCTTCGTCTCTAACATGCTCTCTCACACGCTCCTTCCATTTCAATACTGTACCTCAAGTTGCGGATCCAGTGGAGGAGTGAGGGTGTGATGAGCACAACAGGTAGTGCCATGAGCGCCGACATGCAGAGGTGGAGCTGTAAGTCATCTCTCACCTCCTGCAGAGCACACTCAGACAGCAGGGGGGCGCCATTACATTCTTTAGACTTGCTCATGGATTCAGCGTGAACTGTGCCATTCTCTGCTTCTTTGTGCTTACGTGGTGCCTGGAAAGATGGTGGAAAACATTCAATTCACTTATTGTAATTGTATTGTAATTTGACAAGAATCAAATTGTAATATTGTAAAAGATTCTGAACCCTGGTTCTTCATTCATGCATCACCATCTGATGCTGGTGGTTTGACTGGAGCCATTCAGTCCAACCTGAAAATCTTACCAGATTCAACATGTGACTCAAAGATCTTTCTGTCATCTGTAGCCTCAGTACCTGAACATGCAATGGCAAACAAAGACAGATGGAATAAACAGAGTCAGTACAGTCTTTCAACTGGTTTCATTATTGGTGCTACTCTGTAAAATGAATGGGAGGGGCTTCCTTTGTATTACTATGTCCCAAGATTTACCCTGTAAAAGTGGAGCAGAAAGGCAGCAAATATTGACAACGCCCCACAAGACGTCCCACCCAGAACAGTCAGACACAGAGCGATGAGGAGCTGGGTCCGCAGTCGCAGGGTGCCACAGTCTCGAGAGACAGATGGTCTGCATATGAAAAAGAAAAAAAAAAAATCAGACAGAATCCTACTTAAAGGTTTACAGTTACATAATAGTATGTGAGACATGTAAGAATGAAAGTGCTTATATATATATTCAGAGTGCCTAAAGAGAGTCACAGTTTCAAATCACACACCTTGATGGTTAAATGTCCAACCATACCTGTGTAGTGGAGCTAATATCAGCGAGATCAGTCGCATAATGAGACGGAGCAGTGCGCTGCCCCAGTATGCCACAGCTGCCCCAAAGATATAAAGTAGAGGGGACAGAAGGTGGGGCCATTCTTCAACTGGCACCACACCCTCATGAAATGTGGCATCAGGGACTGTTGGGGGGAGTGCATCCATAGGCGGGAGGCAAAGAATTGACCAGACCTCTTGAAACCAGCTACAGCTGAGGCGAGGGAGAAAACAAAAGATTAGCAAGAAAAAAATTTATTCAAAAGGCTGTGAGATGCAATAAATAAGCTCTACATATGGCCAGTAAGCAGACATTGAGTTAAGATTATTTCTGCCAAAGTACTGTTTCCAAAGGGACATTTTCACATCTCAGTTCAACATTAGACTTCCAAAGCCTACCTGAGTAAGATGTGGAGAATGTAAACGGGCAGATAGACTTTATGAGGCTGCAGGCCTTTCCCTACCACCTGGCTCATGTCTGCAGCTCGCCTTGACTTCAGGATGGAGGACAGCTGCCCCCCACAGGCCAGGAGGAGGGTTACAGCTGTATACACCGGCACCATGGGACCACAGAACCTCAGTATCTGTCAGATGAGAATGCAGATCATGCTGATAATTAAACAAAGCAAACAAACACACACACAAAAAGAAAAGTCAAGAAAACACTGTACAATACTGTTCCTGATGTCACTACAAGCCTTTAAAGGGGATGTTGCCCAAAAAACAGAGACAATAAAGTTGTACCTGTCCCAGCACCCTGGGTAATGAAGTCCTTACTGACACCTGAGGTTAAAATCAGAAGGTAAACATGTCATTTATTTCACATCACGTTTTTTTCCCTTATTGATGATAAAAACATGTTTGTCATTAGGATTTGCAGGACGTTGAAGGCTGAGGACTAGTACCTTATACTGGCAGTTGGGGGCAGTGTGGAGCTGAAGGAGCACACCTGAGGTGTTGTCTGGATGACTTGTATGGAGCATCCCTGAGATCTCAGTCACTGATGGCACACTGGCAGACACATCACATCAAGTCATGACAGAAACAGTGAACATGATGACGATCTGCCAGTAAAAGAAACTGCTAAGGGACGGACGCTGACATAACTAACCTGACTGTGGTTAAAGTGTCTTCCCGAAACCACGGTACATTTATTCGGTACACATTGGGCAGTCTATCTGCAGACAGACGTACAATGATCATCATTACATTTTAACATGTGCCTACCTATGAATCACAAAACAAACTTACCTTTATGTACTTTGCACTGGCTTGAAACACTAATTCTGAAAGCCTGATAGACCTAAAGACACAGAGGTGTTCAAAATGTAGTGACACAGTAGGAACAGAGATACTGAGTCCAGAAAGCACCTGAAAAAATGAAAGCTACCTGGTGAAAGTGCTGCAGCTTGATAGTGTGAAGAAGTCCAGAGGAGTTGACCGTAACATCGCTGACTGTCAAACCTGGAAAATAAACAGTTATTGAATAGGAATGTGTCTTTTCTCTCCTGAGTTTAAGAAAATCTGCATCAACAGTAAGACTACTTACCCAAGGAGAGAACATGTGGCACTGGGACAGATAGAGTCTGAGATTCTTGTCTCTGCCACTCACACTCCACTGTGAACTGTAGACCAAACAGACTTTGTAATTTGTGTAAATGAACATTAGTGATGATTCCAAGTCAGGGTAACCTCTTCCTTGGCTTCTTTGACTGTTCTTCTGGCCACTTTTGCTGGGCTTTCTCAGGCTTTTATATTCTACAAACAACCCTTTTTTAAAGTTGTTTTGATTCTGATTCCACCGATTCCACCTGTGGCTGTGACTGAGAAGTTTGTACAAGCATTTATGGTTTCCAACTGATGCACCACAATGACACTGGTGGTCCCCAGATGTTTGCTCTCGCACCACCATTGGCTGACCTTTGGGTTTATTGTGAATGTCTTGACAACAATGGTATGAATTGTCGTGAAATTTGTTTCAGACATTCATGGTCCCTTCAGAATGAACTGTGATTTCTTGACTTCTCATCTAGTGCCGTCATCAGGTCAAAAGCCGATTTACATTATTACATTAGTTTATGAGTTTTATTAGTTTACCAAATACATGCTGTTAATTAAAATGTCAACACTTACCAAAGATAACGAAGACAGTAAATAGTAGAGGTTACCTGCTAAACTTCAGCATTTTAGCATTGTCATTGTGAGCATGCTGAAGTTAGCCTTTAGCTCAAAGCTACTTGTGTTGAGGTACAAGCCTCACAGAGCCACTACCATGGCTGTGGACCTATGCCTTGTTACAGTTTCTTCCTTTACGACAGCCCAGCAAGATGGACAGAGGCAGAACAGAGAGAGAAGGACAACGAAGGGGCAAAAAGCACCTCATCAGAGTATTGAGATTCTCATTTTGTTTCAAGTACCTGTTTGCCACTGAGGTTGGAGGCTGAAACAACCAGATGAGTAACTGAAGACAAGTCACTGAGACTCAGAATCAGGACCTGGGGAGAATAACAGACGGTTTTGAGCAACCAACAGCAGCTCAGACTGGACTGCGTCTCTTTAAAGGATAGTTACCTTGTATGGTGGCAGAAGCTCAGTTCCCATTGACAGATCCACTGCATGCACACTGGAAAAAGAGCATGAATGAAGAAATATTTATTTTTTTGATATGGCAACCGGCAGCGCTTGTAGAAGCAGCAGGCGGTAGCTCCTTCAAACTGCGCTACACTTTTGTTTTTCATCAGTATTTTCTGGCTTTATTGCGGAAACACGTATCACCTATGACAGAAATACAGTCATTGGGAAAAGAAGACAGGGTTTTTGGATTACAGAGCAGTGGACCACGATCCACCAGCCAGATAGACTGGAACAGGCACCATGGTGGGTGCAGTGATGGCTCAGAAGAGAGGAAAGACAACTGGGAAAGGAGCCATGTAGGCCCAGCTTTGACATTATTTTATTTTATTTAAATGTTACCATATTTTAATACGCATTTAATTATCTGCTAAGTTCTGAGTGTGTAGCATGAAGGGACTACAAATTTCATTATACAACCTTACGTAGTATAATGATAGATAAACTACCTTGTAATAGGAATACATACAGTACATCATCTAATATAACCACAAAAGACATCACATTTTATCTAGTAAGTAAAGAAATAGGTGGCGGGGAAAGAGATATCATATTCTTACCATGAGGAACCATTCTTGTGCACACAGCCGTACACCCAGCTAGACATCTCCTGTTGGACACCAACAATAAATCTGAATCAGAATTTGTACTGTGATTACCAGAGATTACTCTGGTTTCTGCATTACAAATTGTGTGGCTTTTGCACTTAAATCTTAAACAGCAAAATGCTAGCCTGATAATCAGACTGAACTGCAATTCCATTCATACATGTGTGCCTATATGAATCACTGAACAAATCAAAGATATGGGTGGCGATTCACCAGGCACCAGGCCAGTGAAATGGTCTTACTCAAACCCAAAGGGATGACAACATTAGCACAACAGTGCTGAAAACTCACCATGTTGTTGCTCCGGCAGTAGAAATGGCTGTAGGCTTTCCTGCGACTCGACAGGGCAAACAGAAAATATTTGACCTGTCCTTCCTGTAGATGGAGAGAAACACTGAAGACACCAGGAACATTTTGTTGGTCTGTATCAGGTCTTTGCTTTCTTAGATCATTAGCCACACTACTAAGCTGGACAGTCTGCATGACTGCATTTGAATGCGATGAGAAAAATTAAGTTTCCAGTCTTCTTCAGTGAAAGGACTATGGTAAAGCAGAAAATAAAATTAGCATTCCTCTTTGACTGTGTCTAAGGAGCTCATTTATCATTTACCTTTGGTGTGCTGTACGCCAGACGCAGTGTGTTCACTTCACTCCATGCTTCAGGAAAATCTGGAAAACAGAAAAGAAAACAAGGGGAATAACAGGACACAGATATGGGTGATTCATTAATAGTTTGACTCCTTCCTTTTGCTGTGTAGAGTGAATGAAAACCAAATATTTTAAAAATACAATACAAAATATGAAACACGTAAAAATATGGCTCTATGACAGCTAAAAGTACATGAACAGGATGGTGCTCTAAATAAGACACTAATTGCACAGTTTCTGTGGTTACTCCAGCCTCTCCATGGTGAAGTGTTTCTCACTAACCTAAAATGGAGATGGAGGTGTCTTGTGTTTCTCCCAACATCCTGACAGGATGTCTGACGAAGTGATGGTTTAGTACGGCCATTTTCTTCTCTGGGTTTTCTGTGAACTAATAAGAAGACACTGGTTATCTTGGAAACAGATGCCGCCTGATTGCAATGAATGCTTATCAGAGATGTATGGGCTTTGATGTTTCACAAAAAAATTTATTCAGAAAACTGTGTTTTAATGTTTGTTGTTCTGACCTGTCTAGTTTCAGGATCTATTAGGTCGAAGAATGCCCTGACAGTAGCAAGTACAAGCTCTTTGCACCTGGAACACAGACACAGACATATACATGCATACCACATCTGCATACTATTTTAATATAGTTGTGAGTTAATGCATAGTCTAGTAATACATAATGCCATGTCTTTTACCAAACGATGGACAGATGGTCAGTGGACACCCATGTCCTGGGAACTGCAGTTGCCTTAACAAAAACAGTAAGACATTCGAACAAAAAGTGAAGAGCAGTGCAGGATCAAACAATCTATTTATGCACCAAATAGTTCCAGGAACTTACTCCAGGGACTTCTATGGGGGTTGAAACTATACAGCAGAAACAAACTTAGTCCCCACGGTAGAAATGTAGGTAAAGTTCCTCACTTCTTAAAAACGCACCAGGGCAGAATGACATGGTCAAGTGCCACTTCACAAACTACACTTACCACCAGTGACAATTTATTGGGGTCTCTTAGGGGACAAGGTAGACATGTCAAGCCAGAGCGGACCTGGTAGTCACGGTAACCCCCTCCAACAGACAGAACTGTGATGTTCCTGAGCTTCTTCGCCTGGTTCACCCACTTCTGTCTCACTGCAGAGTAGAAATCTACATAGAGCAGGGACAAAGAAATATTTATTAACCATTTATGTGAAGTCATATTCTCTATTGTAGCTATGATCTGGAAAAGTGCTCATTTACATATACAAGGAATATGCTGGAAGTTAAATTTAATACCTTATAAGACCTTTTTAAAAGACCCTTTCCATTAGGGCTGTGCCATTAATAGAATTTTATTTTAAATTTAAATTTTTGATTCAAACGATTATAAATAATTATCGTGATAAAACGATTATTGTTCCGTTTTGTCTTGTGCTACAAATCACCCAACTTAGGATGGGTTAATGCAAAGAACAAATTTCCCTATAGGGATCATTAAAGGACATTAAACTTTATGCCTAAAGTCCACTGGCTGTTCTGCGGCTGCCGGAGCTAATCACACCCATTCTTGTCAATACTCATGAGTCCACCAGACGTGGCCGCAGCGCGTCCCAGAAGCGTCTCTCCGCCCCACTCCGCAGAGAATAGGTAGCAGGTCTACATTAGAAGGAGGCATTCAGGAGTGGTGACAGGGCCGGGTGCAGGGCGTTAAAGTACAGGTTTAGCAAGGAGGTGCGAGAAGCTAAACGACTGTGCTCAGAGAGGCTAAAGAACCAGTTCTCTGCAAACGACGCCTTCTGTCTGGAGGGGGTTCAGAGAGATCACAAACTATAAACCCAAAGTCCCCCACTCCATAAACGATTCTCGCCTGGCAAATGAGCTAAACCAGTTCTACTGCAGCTTTGACGGTCAATTGGACACCATCCCCGCGTCTCCTCCGCTCAGCTTCAGCCTCAGTCCACCAAAATCCATTACAGACCCACTCCTGGACCACCTGCAGTTCGCCTACAGAGCCAACAGGTGTGTAGATGATTCAGTAAACATGAACCTTCACTTCATCCTCCAGCACCTGGACTCCCCAGGAACCTACGCCAGGATCCTGTTTGTGGATTTCAGCTCTGCTTTCAACACCATCATCCCGGCCCTGCTGCAGGACAAGCTCTCCCAGATGAGCGTGCCTGACTCCACCTGCAGGTGGATACCAGACTTCCTGACGGACAGGAAGCAGCACGTGAAGCTGGGAAAACATGTCTCTGACTCCAGGATCATCAGCACCGGATCCCCTCAAGGCTGCGTTCTTTGCCTCCTTCTCTTCTCCCTGTACACCAACAGCTGCACCTCCAGTCACCAGTCTGTCAAGCTCCTGAAGTTTGCGGATGACACCACCCTCATTGGGCTCATCTCAGGTGGGAGATCGACCATCTAGTTGGTGCAGCCAGAACAGTCTGGAGCTCAACGCTCTGAAGACCGTGGAGATGGTCGTGGATTTTAGTCCAGCCCCACCCTCCCCCATCATCCTGTGTGACTCCCCAGTCACCACTGTGGACTCCTTCCGCTTCCTGGGCTCCATCATCTCCCAGGACCTTAAGTGGGAGCTGAACATCACCTCCCTCACCAAGAAGGCCCAGCAGAGGATGAACTTCCTGCGGCAGCTGAAGAAGTTCAGCTGCCGCAGCAGAGTTGTCAGCAGCAGAGTTGTCAGCAGTTCTGCCAAAGACAATGATGGTGCACTTCTACACCATTCACCATCATTGAGTCCATCCTCACCTCCTCCATCACCATCTGGTTATATGTACACAATATTCTCTTCCGTTGCGTTACTTCTGCATGGCACAGACCCAGAATAATGCACATGTATATATCTGCAACGTTGTTCTTCTATTCCATATTTATATATTTCCACATTTATTTATGTTGACTGTATGTTTGTCTTGATTTTGTGATTATTACTTGATTATTTATATTCCTTAAGTCTGTAAGGGTCCACAGATCATAAGTATCAAAATGGATTTACATAAAAATGAATTCAAGTTATAATAACTACAGTAAGCTTCTGCTTTCACCCTTTCTAAGTTAGGCTACTGGTATATTGATATGGGTCTCTCTCTCTCCATTCTCTCTCTCTCTCGTGTAGATGTGCTCTCTCTAGATCCAATGAATGAGTTGTAATTTTTATTAAGTAAGTAATTTACTAATGTTCATACTGGTTTAAATAAACAACTTATTAATAGCCCTTCCCACCTTTGCTGAGATTTGTAGGAAAGGAATCCCATGCCTGTCCCAAATATAGGCAGAGTGAGTTCAGTGATTTAAGCAAATAAAAACCCGGGTTATTAATCAATGTTTCATGGTATATATCAGTTTTTTATGTTACTTTCTTTTATATTTATGTTTTCTCACATTAAAGGATTGGAGGTCAAGAATTTAATTGAACTTAAATTGAAGATAATTAAAGGTAATATTTTAAAATGTGGTAAGCTTCAGAGGGGTAACGTCATGTCGGAGTTCTTAAATACCCATCATGGCAACTGTTGATGCTTCCAACAAAATCTATCAACTCAGACGGCTGTCAGACAGCCTTTTATGGTAGGCTATATAAAAAGTTTGGCGTCATTCAAGACCAGCATGAGAGTTGTTCTTACCCAGCAGATATGGGTCCAGGGCCAGCACCGGAGCCAGGTGAGGGGAGGCCTGGGTAATGATGAGGCTGACCAGATTGTTGTTGAAGCGGGGCAAAGTGAACAGGGCCCGGGCCACCACTCCTCCCATGGAGTGACCAACAAGCACCACACTCTGAGGGGGGGTCTTGACGTGCTGGCAGGTAGAAAAAAGGAGAAAAACCGTTATAATATATTTACCATAAAGTTTTGTTAGTAATTGCATCCAACAGTGCCGCATGTAGGGGTAGACCAACACTCCTTAATGTTGGCTTCTTGTACTGGAATTTTACTTTTTCTACTGTTGCCATGTCAACTTCTTTACCAATGTGAGATGTACAACTCAGAGGGATTAACTGAATGCCTTGAAGTTTAAAGATAGAGGTTTCAACGTGTTTGTAATGTAGCCTCCACACTGAAATAGAACTCCAACAATATCCATAATCTAAATTAACCCTGTCTGAGGACTAGATGATATTTGAGGCCTGACCTTGTAGAGCTTCAGGATGGCCTTAATGCTCTCATGCAGGAAGTGCGTCTGCCTGAGCAAACTGCCGCCATAAAGGGCCACCAGCTCCTCGTTGAAGTCCACGGTGAACACGTTGAAGTGGAGACCCCCCTCCATGTTTTCAGCCTTCCTCAAAGCCACAGAGCCCAGGGAGCGAGCTTCATGTAGAGAAGAAGACATATGATGCTGTCATGCAGTGTGATTCGGCTCAGATGGCATTTATAATCATACAGATGCAGATACAGATAATCACCACCATATCCTCTCTTTAAAGCACCTCTGCCGACCGACATGCTGTAATAATTATTTATACACAGCTCTTACAGATACACTAGAGTCATCATGTGCTGAGCTTCTTCAGATCCTCTGGGCAGCTCTTCGTGACCTAAAAAGAAAACTCCCACTCTACTGCTATAGAAGCTCATTAAACGTCCACAGACAGTACAATGTTCCTGTATGGAAGACCCCCGAAACATCCCAGCACTCTGATCTTATTTGACACAGGTACTTCATCAAGCTGTTGTAACCTGTGAAGTCGGGAAGCTTATCGAACAACAGCTGTTTTTAAAAATACACCGACTTTTAATTTAGTAAAATCTGTGGCTTTTAAAAAAATATTCCTCCAGAATATGCCCAAACAATCACGTGGCAGAGAGGGTTTTCAGATACTTAGGTATTTTTGTCACTCCTTATTTCAATAATTTGAGACCAATTACTCGCCTCTAATTCAAAAAATTTGAAGAAGTGTACCTCCTTGCCGACTTCCTTCTTTGGGAGAATCATCTATAAAAAGAAACATCCTTCCCTGATTAAATTATTTATTTCAAATCTTCCATTTTTAAGTCAATGAACTCTTATTCTTCTTATTATATGTGGAATAACAAACATCAGGATCAGGTTTTCTCAACTTACCAGGCCGAAGGAACTTAAATGTTAATATATTAGTTTATAAATAGACAGGATTCTTCATGGACTGGCCTTGCATCTGTAGCATGTTATCCTAGAAGGCTTAAATCCCTCCCCTTTATCAACAATGTAGATCAGATAAATTCTCTGAACAATAATATAATTATCTTCAACACCCTACTGGTTTGGAGTGATGTGAGAACATTTTTAAATATTCCCTATGGTATTTCTCTTTGGTCTCCCCTGGAATTGAATCCTTTGTATTAGTCTGATGGAGTGGACTTCCAAAAGCCTCTCAGATCGATTTTAACATTCATTTCAAGTATCTAAAGTAAATCTCTCTCTTTTAGGAAAGAATGAGATCCGCCTGAAACTTTCAGAACAGGAAAATGACATAGCCTCCAAGGTTTCCGCTCTACTGCTGTACTCCGACTCTTCAGCTTTTGATTCTCTGTGGGAGTGTGACCTGGGGGTAACACTTAGTTCTGCAGAATGGATCAAGATTTCCCCAACAGCTTAAGCCTGTTATAAATGTAAAACACACATAAAAGTAAATTTCTCCATGTTTTGGTCATGTAATCCCATCCAGACATTCTGGAAAGAGTGGTCCAGGAGCATCTTATTCACTTTACCTGTTATACAACACTTTGGAAAATCTTTTTAATACGGATACCAAATCTCTATTATTAATCCTTTTTTTTCTGGCTAAATGCTTATCTTGCTACTGTGGTCTGCTCCACAGGTCCCCACAGTCTGCATGTGGATATCACAGATATCGTCTCTTCTCCCGCTGGAGAACTCATGATCATAAATCTGACAAACTCTGGAAACTCTGGAAACCCTTGCAGAGAGTCAGACTTGCTTGTCCCCGGAAAGCAATGGCAATTGCTTCATCTGTATGTGCTATTAATTCCTGTCATATTCCTGTATAATTAATGTTTGTATATACATATATATATTTAAATACCACAGGGTCTGTTTGGGGAGGGATTTTTCTGTTGTTGTTGTTGTTGTTGTTAAAGAGTGTGTTTGTTAAAGTTAAGAAATGTTAAGGAACAGAGAGCACGGACCATTCTCACAAACACCACAGTGTAACTGCAACATTTTGTAACTGCAAAATGTGTTTGTATTCACATGAATAAAAGCGTGGGTGTTTTTCTCCTACACACAAGTGATAGCCAGAGAGCCAGAATAATCTCAGAAAGGATTTGTATCAAGAGAGCACAACTTACAATTACTTAGAGTCACCATAGGTTCCACGTTTAATTCCCTGAGACATCATAATTTTCCAACCATATTATAAACAGAAAGATAATATATAATACAATTTACTGCATATATATTATATATATAATTGTATTTCATTGTCAACAAAGCTAATGAAAAAAACAAAACAACAATACATTGATCCATCTTTTAATACATTGTTACTTTCCTATCCTGTGGTCCAAACACATATGTTCCTACTGAGGACATATATCTTTAAAAATGGATCACACAAATAAAGTTTCATTTTAAAAAGAGATTATGTCATTTCCTAAAACAGCAGGGCACTGTAGTTTTTAGATAACGTTACTTAAACGGGAGTCAAGAGGGCATTTGTTGGGCACTATTTTCAGCTGTGGATTAACACACATTTGATGCTCTAGGGAGTATTTCCAGCAGCAGGACAGTGTGTGTGGGATTAAGTCAAAATAAACTACAGTGTGTGTGTTCATGGTAATGAAGGAACATGTCACCCAGTGCAACAGTGTGTGACTCAGTAATGTGTTTGTAATAGTTTTCAGCTCAGCGGCACAGAGGAAGAAGAGACATCATGTGCTGACTCCACAGAAAATACTGAGGATCAGTTCATGGGGTTTGTTGACAACAACAGAAGTATAGAATAACACCAACCCTATCCTTTAATATTATCTATGAGTACAGTTTAAAAGATTAAGGGTATTGCTCTGGGTGTACATATCATGAAACCGTATCACAACAAAAAATACAAAACAAAAACCGAACACACTATTGGAAAAGGGTAGCATAAGCCAGGTTTTCAAAGAATAATTAATAACGTTTACACGTGGATTGCAGCACCACACACACAAAACAAACTGTCCAAACATGATTTTGTGATATGGCAAAGCTCTAACATCCTCTATCTTAACACACTGAAAGCTGGTGTGCAAAATTGTCAAGTCAGGTGCAGGCTAATCAACAAAAAACAACTTTCCCTCGCCTTGTTTCCTCCCTTTGCTTGTCGCTAATTTAAAGGCTAATACTGAACCCTCTCTTCGAGCAATCCATTGTATGCACTTACCTTGTTTGTAACTGCCTGCATTTCCAGGCAGGAAGAGAACAGGGGCCCCGGTGAGTTTGAGCGCTCGGGTCTCCTGGGCATACAGACCCTCCCCGTACAGATAGAGCCCATACGCTGGGTACAGTCTGGCCACACGGCGAGGCAGAGCCACGCGCTGTCAACACCACATGCACCCACACAGACATGGATTAGGAGGTGAAGTGCCACAGCCACATCAATCACAGACAGTTCATTAACCGTCTGTCACACCGTAACACATCCCCAACAGTCCCACTATTCTAAATACCTACAGTTAATTCTGCTTTTATGTGAGATGTTAAATTCCTGGTATAATTGTATACAACAGTGGTTCTAGGAGTGTGGTCTGGGGACCCCCGGGGGTCCTTGAAGGGGATCCAGGGGGCCCCCAGCAAAAAAGTGAACAATTTATTTTCACTATAAATCCATCCATAAGTAACACAGTAACAGTACGTATAACAATTCTGGTCACGTGTAATGGGTTCTTACACTGTAATAAAACCTCTAAAAGCGAAAATACTATCAGATGGGTCATCCTGGGACAAACTCTTATCAAATGGTGGTCCCTGGTACTTTTTCAAGCAAAATTGCCCAATTGATTGATTTCCTTCTTGTACCTGGTTTTTAAGTTGTAAACTGAGCATTTTTGAGGTTTGACTAATGTTTGAACAGAACCTGGAGTGCGTGGGATTATGGTGGGACATGTTTTAGAATTGTTATTTTTTTTCTTTTCGCATTCAAGGATTGATTAAGAAACACTCAGCCTCAGTATTGGAAAATTCCTACATTAATAAGTTACAGCCCTAAAATTGACCAAATCAAATATAATAGCATCAGCTATTAGATGTTTATTTTCACCTCTGACTTTTCTCCCCTTGCTCTAAATAACGTTAGCATGTTGTTATGCCCTGTATTCATCACAAGCACTAACACTGACACAGACACAGACTCAAAAGCCAAATGTCCATTAACCACATAAACAAAGCGCTATCTATATGTGTATATGAGATATATGGGGTTCTTTTTATTCTTCCTCCCTTACAACATAACTAAAAGGCATCCACTCCTGTCTCCTGTAAGGTGCCCATACAGTGCATTGCCCCCAGCTGTGCTCCACTTCTGGACAGATGAACACATCAGTGAGCATAAAGCAGAGGAAGGCGACCTACATTGCTTTGCTAACATTTTAACAGCAACTTCAGCTGTCTTCCCCTGACCTGGAGCCTGTGTGCAACAAACATCCGCACCTTGCTAAGCTGGTGTGCTGATACTACGCTGAGAGGATTCAAGGATCAGCAGTTGCTTTATGGTTTTACAACCTGGCTAATTTAGGCTTTTATAATCTGAATCCTTTAGAACACGCACGCCGCCCCAACCAGACAGGCGCGTGCGCTGATAGAAACCCCTGAGGAAATGCATGAGCCCGGTTCAGAGGCAACACCTGACGTGAGTTGCTGTGTTGGGCAATGTTAGCAGGTTTCAGGAAATAACGTTAAGTTAGCTCACAAGACCTTTGTCGTGGATAATTTATGCTGCCTGTTGAGGTGAAAACAAAATATGGTTCTCGGTGTTGAAATGAACAAACCATTTAGCAAGACTAAACCAGAAACAACGCGACGCTGCTAGCTAATTTATGCATTACGTACTGTATGAGGTGGTAAGTGAAATAATTAGTACTCACCCGGTACTCTGGGTATTCAAACATATAGGTCATACTGCATCTGTTCTCCTCGAAGCCAGTCAGCAACTCTCGGAGGCCAACCGCCAGAAGCCCCACAGCAAACCCGTAAAAGGCCACAGTGGCGAGTTTCATGGTTCAATTCGGGCTCTGGGTTTTAGATATTACAGGTGTTTCATCTTCCTCTTTTCATTTTTCATTCTGTAAACTCCTCGCCCATGAAGACGCTACACAGGCTGTCACTCTCACCGGCTGAACCCACAACAGGAACCACACGCTGTACAAACAGTAGTGATTGGCATGTTTCTCGGCCAATGGGAGGAGAGGACGTGAAAACTGGACCAATAGGAGAGCAGACAGCCAGTGACATATTTTTATACTAGGGATTGCTAAATGCAGCTGTTTTTTGTTGTTGTGAGTGGATTTTGCTTTTCACTTCATTGCATTTTTACTTTTCTTTTACAATTGTATTACATTTTTATATAGCCTTAAAGTGATCTTTATTGGTGATGCCACGTTTTTAGTACACCTTTGCTTTTTCAACGATTACAAATACATATTAATTTTAATGCATCAAAGACCAAAAATAAAAACAAATAAATGTAAATAAAAAGTCCCATGGAGCAATCATTTTGTCTAAATATATATGTGAAAAAGGAGTATATTAAGTGTTGAATGTTTGTAATACTACAAGAAACTAGTGGCACATTCTTAATTTCTCAAATCTTTAATAGAACAATCAATGTTCTGCTGCAGCTGCATCAAACTGCCTTAACCATTGCAAACACATGTACACACATACATAGCATGTACTTCAGGTGTCTGCAACAGGTCAAATATAGTGTGTGAAAAAAAATTATTTCAGTGTGGAAACAAATCTGGCACATTGAATTGCAACTTCTCTATAACACACAGTCCTACATAGAGAAACAGGAGTTCTCTACTTGGAAATACAGTTTCAGACTATTATCAGTCTTTTCAAAAATAAAACAACATGATCAGAAAGTTTCTAACAACAGGTGCACAGCACACCCATATGCACAAGCCCCACCCATATGATGTTACATAATAGTTACAATTAGGCTACAAATTATTTGAAAAATATATTCGATTCCTCTGGCCACAGTCCTGAATGTACAAAACCTTCCAGAGCAAGGGTTCACGAACCTGGTCACATTCTGATCAATTTTTGGGGAGATATCAGAGATAGCAAAGAAAACTATAAGAAATATTGTTATACTGCAGACGGTTTTGGCAGTATAGATGAGAACAGATGTTTTTGGCTCATGTGTGTTTTCTACAGTGACTAAGTGGATGAATCCAAGTTTGTCCTGGTGCTTCCCTCTGACTTCCCAGAGAGGTGATGGGTCTTGTTTTCCCTCTGTGGATTGACTTGTGGATTGCTGTTTTTTGTTTTTGTTTTTTACTCAATTTAATGAAAGCAAATACTGAGGAGAATTTCATGTCTTTGACCAGTTCAAAACGACCTTAATCCAAAAGCTTGGAATGTTCTATCCTTGTAATGGTCCAGTCTGGAGGGACTCCCTTAGTAAACTCCCTTTGAAATCTGCCAGAAAGCCAAAAAGAAAGATCAGAACAAGTATTCTATGTCACACAAAGATTTTTACAATTTTATATGTCATTACACTCCTGAAGATATACTCACTCATAATTTGCAGTTAGCAGTCTCTTAGTTTCTGTTTCTCTCTCTCCACCAACGGCCACCTGAAAGACACGGGTTCCCTCCATGGTGTCGTTAGGAAGACGGGCGCTTGTCAGATACCAGAAACGCATCAGAATACTGACAAACTTTCTCCCTGGAAAAAAAATAAAAAATAGTACAGACACTGATTAACACTGCACAAATAACCCCACCTGTTCTATTCCGTGCGCGCAACACCTATCCATCCTGGCAGAGGAATCCCTCCTCTCTTGCTCTTCTTGAGGTTTCTCACCCCCCCCTTCTCTAAATTGACAGTCTGTACACATTGTAAAGCCCTTTGAGGCAAATTTGTGATATTGAGCTATATAAATAAAATTTGATTTGACTTCATACTAATGCAATTAATCTACTAATATTGAGGATACAGAACCAACACAGAGAGCAAAACATTGTTTACATGTAAAATAATATGGTAATAATAACTATTGGTTCCTAAAGTAGACGAGAATCCTTAAAACAGCTCACCAATATATACTTTTAATTTCACAAAAAGACCCAGTAATTTTTAACAATAATAATAATAATAATAAATAATAATAATAATAATAATAATAATAATAAAACAGGAGTAAATTGTGTATTTGTTTGGAACTATTTTCAGCTACGGATTAATTCACATTTGGCGCTCTAGTATTTTCAGCAGCAGGACGGTGTTTGTGAGACTGTGTGAAAATAAACTACAGTGTGTGTTCATGGTAAGGGATGATGTTAGGCAGTGCAACAGCGTGACTCACTGATGAGTTGTTGTTTTTTTTTAATAGTTCTTTGGACAACAATGGAGCTCTATGGCACAGAGGAAGCAGAGATATCAGACTAAAATACTTGTTAGTAGGATCAATTCATTGTGTGTTTGGGTCTTCTCTTGGGATTTGTTGATAAGAAGGAACAGAGGTAAAAACATGCTGCTGACCATTATCATCATAGTAGATTCCCACGTCTCCCGGGGTCGTGTACATGATCTCTTCAGGATCTGCAGAGAGCGCTTTCTTGTGGCTCGATGGCAGCATGTTGCACTTTTCCTCGAGCTTTCCAATCAACTGCAAGGACATGGAAATTAGACCAAGATGAACTTGAGCAGGGAGAATACACCTGTTACATACAAGAGAAGGGTTTTAAAAGACTGCAAGTTCAATCCTTTGATACACAAAAACATGTCTTGCCATGTTTAGTAGTAAGACTAAGCGATTCCTTAATTAGTTATTCAACAGATGTATTTAATCCATCCTTGTAGTTATTCATTTGTTCCACAAATAGGTGGGAAAACCTGGCAAACAACCTTTTATTTTTATTTTTACCAGTTACTTTGTTAAACATAATTGTTATGAATAGTTATCCACACCTTACACCACTGGTTCTCAAGAGGTTTGGCTTGTGAACCTGTGTTTCCAACCAATTCCAACTTATGACCCCTCACCACAAGTTGCTTCTGTTTAGGAGCCGTTTTTTCTTTCTTTTTTTAGAGGCCTAAAGAAGGTAAACACTCCAGTCAGAACAGAAATATATCCATCCAACATCAACCGCTTATACTGCAAACAGGGTCGCGGGGGGCTGCAGCCAATCCCGGCTTACATCGTGCGAAAGGCAGTGTACACCCTGGACAGCCCGCCAGTCCATCGCAGGGCCACACAAACAAACACTCACATCCACACCTATGCAGACTCCACACAGAAAGGTTTGAACCCACGACCTTCTTGCTGTGAGGCGACAGTGCCAACCACTGCACCACCGCACCGCCCATAGAAATATATATTTGAACTTATTTCCTTAATTGAAAATATTCTTGCGAGTACTCAGAACTATAATATATATCACACTGAGGGCTCCTGGAAACACTGGCCTTGTCTATTATAATTCTATACAGTCTGCTGGTATTAGTCAGTCCTGTTTGTCCAGGATACAACTAACTTACATGCGGCTGCTTGACTTCACACTGGCACCAGAAAGAGAAAACATCATCCCTGCCTTTCTTTGCCGACTTTCAGCGTAGTATAGAACTGATCTTACTGTTTTGTTTTTTTTAAAAGGCACTCAGTGGGCTGATCCTTTCTTACATCTCAGACTGTCTCTGAGGTTTTCTGACCTGAAGTCTAATCCACGTCCTAGGGTGAAAGTCCAATTATAGTGGAACCTCTTAATTAGGAGTTCCCACACAACTGAAATTAGTCCCACCTCTATGTTACTTGTTATCCTTGCCTTGACAGAACTTATGATATATGTGTTTGTTTGTTTTTTAGATGTATTTTGTAAAAAACAGGATGCAGTATCTTGAACAGTTGAATTGTGAGGGTCAAGGCTCTTATTTTTGAGTAAACATGGGAGAGATGGTGTCCCTGTTCCATAGTACACCAATTTTTAGCAGGTTCACACTGCAAAAATACTATACTAAAAAAGCCAGTACCTGATACCTCAGCTAAGGGTATCTGCAGATACCAAGCTGATACCAATGCTCTATTTTTCTAATTTAAAAATCTGTAAAGATCACTGTGTGGAACTGATTGGAAACATGTCAATGTTAGGCCAGAGCCCACTGTGATTATCACGTCCATGATGTACACGATTATCCCACAATCTAATGCACAAAGGAAATGGGAGCAGGACTCAGAGCTGCAGAACATAAGACATAGTTGTGGATGTTGGTAAAGCAGGTCCAAAAAGATCTCAGAAAATTATAAATTATGAAATATGTTTGACAACCACTTTCTATTTTTGACATTTATTCAGCTGTTGCTCTTTGTAGGCAGATCTAACTGCAGTACACACAGAAAGAGTGCATATTGTATACCATTAGTATATAATATTGAATTGTGGATCAGCTTGAGTAATCAAGTGATCGTATTAGGTTATGGCACAGGATGGATAGCACAAGTTTGGACTTGCTAGGTTCCCATACTCACGTCTTTGGCCACGAGCCCTTCCAAAGCTTCAAACTGACACTGTGACAACAGTCTGGAAACATGGGAGAAGGCCTGCGAGAGTAAACAAAACGCTCAGCAGAACAGAATTAACACGGTATTAACTGGGTTTTAGGTCGCAGAGACAAACAAATGACGATAAATAAATGTGTAGCTGTCAGAGAAGTTGCTAACGTTAGCTAACAACCACTTAACACCACCTGTTTACAGGTTCTTACAGACCTGCTTCGCGCCCTCCGTGAACTCTTCAATGCTGAACTCTTTATCAAAGTAAGCCTTTATCAGAAAGTAGTATATTCGGGTGCGAAACCAGATGAAAGGGTTCGGGATGCCAACAACCACCACCTTCTGGTTCTGGTTCTGGTTCTGTCCGCCCTGGTCGGAGCTGTAAAGGCGGACCGCTGCTGCTACCACAGCGGCAGGTGATGAAGGACGTAGCGGCGTTTTACCGGACCGGTTAAGGATGACACTTTCATTTAAAAACAGACGAGTAAAGCTAAATGTTGACGGCAACCTGGAACAACCTCTTAACATGGGCAGCGCCATCTTTTTTTTTCCTCTGGCCTTCTTGTCCGTGTACTTGTATTGTCCGGTGAGGAACAAAGACCAACTATTAAAAATACAGATAGTAATGAAACTAAATACTTAAATAGTGACGCAGTTTTTAATATTTCATAAACAAAATTTATGTTATATAAGTAATAATAGTATATTTTTTTCTTTTTACAGTTGGCTTTCACTTTGTCATGTTTTGTTTCTATGGGGAAAGTAACACCCCGGAAGTTCCGGAGCTGTTTACTTTCATTAGTTGGTGAATTTCTGAAGCAGGTTAAATGGAGCTCCAGGAAAAAGTACCGGTGCCGATATTTACAGAAGTAGACAAGGACGTTTTTCTGCGAGAGATCTACCCCAAGGTAAGATAAATCTGCTTCCTGGGGACACGTGTCGGTCTTTATGGCTGCAGGAAAGCGCGACTACAGAAATGTACATGATCCAACCGGGGGCAGCTGCTATTCTCAGTGTTGCACGACGCCTTAAAGGGCAGTTTATAGCTGTATCTCTCTTCCTGGTATGCATTTGGTCTTGGTTCTTGGCCACATTTACAATAATGTTCTGCAGCATGTGATAATGACAGATTAGAAAGAAATTGAATCACCTGACAATCAGTTAATAATTTCAGATATTTACTTCGCAAAAACACCAAATATTCTCCGGTTTCAGTTTGTCAAAGAACAAGCATGAAGTTCTCTCATTTAAACTTTTAAGGACATAATCAAGTGATTTGTTCAGTGTCTCAAATGAGTACCTGTTACTCCAGTGTTTTAGTGTTGCACATAAAATAAAGAATGGTCAAAATCTCAGCAGAAGAGGTTGAGATATCCTGACTTTTATTCTCTACCACTCAAGTTCCAAAAAAACTCCCACAATTCTTATAATGCATTTGTGTAGTGTCTATTCATAAGACCATTCCAGCCTGAAAAATGCCTTAATTTCCCCATCAGACAGGGTGTGCAGATTGGGACTTGAGTAAAGTCTCTCCTGGGGGGCAGCTAAATTATAATGACTCTTCTCCAGCGCAGACCAGCAGTGCTGAGAGGCCCGTGTCTCGGACCATGCCTGGAGAAGTGGACAGCTGAATATCTTGGACAGAAAGGGGGAGACAAGGAAGTGAAGATTCACGTATCCGCTGTGCCACAGATGGACTTCCTTCACAAAAACTTTGTGTACAAGTGAGCTGTCCCTCACACACAAACAGAAAGACAAATCGGTGCTCCTTCTCTGCTCCCAGCTACACTTCTTTATTCACAGGACGCTGACATTCAATGAATTTGTGAAACGGGCTTCTGAAAAAAAACACTCTGACTTCTTCCTCAGTGAGGTAAGGCTCATGAAGCAAAGATATGGTATGTACTTCTTTTGCAGTATGTTATATATTTTAATGACCCAAAGTCCCTGGTCTTATTTTAGGATGAGAGCTATTATCTGCGATCACTGGGAGAGGACGTTCGAAAGGTTCTCATTTTTTTGTACGTTTCTCTTTCCACTTAAAATGTTTTCTGTCCTCTCTTGTCTGACTCTGCAGAAGCTCTTGACCCAGAATATAAATGTCTCTCTCACAGGAACCTGCTGATCTGAGCAAACAGTTCCCAGACCTGGCAGAGGATTTTCACATCCCGCACTTCTTTGCACCGGATCAGTTTTTCTCCAGTGTGTTCCGCATCAGCTCCTGCGGTCTGCAGCTGTGGACGCACTATGATGTGAGTATGCTGCGGTTCGTCGTTTGTTCAGGTTGCTTCATGTGGGTAAATATTTTTGAGGTTTGAATTTCTAAAGACACTGGCCTCAGTAAGCTCTCCCTCTTCTGGTCTTTGGGGCCTGTTCCCTCAGGTGATGGATAACCTGCTGGCTCAGGTGACGGGGATGAAGAGAGTGGTTCTCTACAGCCCCCAGGATGCATTGCACCTCTACCTGTCAGGCAAGTGGCTATAGAAAGATGCCAGTTTGTTTGAATGCTCAACATACACTTCACCAGCCTGGTCCACTTTCATATTAAACTCAAACTGATATAATTTGATTGGATGAATATTTGTTGTTTTTTTAATAGCTTGGCTAATTTTATCGTACCCTTTTAATTTGAATCGAACCCATCAGGTGATAAATCAGAGGTCCTGGACATCGACTCCCCAGACCTGCAACGGTTTCCTGAGTTTGTGAAGGCAAAGAGATACGAGTGTGTGCTGGAGCCTGGAGATCTACTTTTTATCCCTGGTAAGGCGAGCTGCCCCCATGAACCAGATCTTCCTGCAGTCACACCTGCAGATTTTCCATCTGCTTGACTGTTAAGCCACTTCTTCTCATAGAACTCAATTGTAGCACACGGATGTAAAACACTGACGTAAGACAGCACACTGTTAGTATTATAGCAACTTTGATGCATCAACAGTTACATGGGATTTTGGGTAAATAGTTTCTCATGTATAAAAGACATAACATGATGCAGTGTCCCTTTTGTTGTCCTCAGCCCTGTGGTTCCACAACACCCTGGCACTGCAGTTCGGTGTGGGTGTGAATGTGTTCTGGCGCCATCTACCTGCTGACAGCTACGACAAAAAGGACCCGTACGGTAATAAAGACCCCGTGGCTGCGACCCGGGCCCTTCAGGCGCTGGAGAGGGCCCTGCACACTCTGGATGAACTCCCGGCAGATTATCGGGACTTTTATGGCCGGCGTATGATACAGCGCATCCAAAAGCGGACGTACTGTGACAATCTGTCGAGCACAGCCAGGCAGGAGGACTCTGACAGTACATTACCCAGCAGTCCATTCACCAAGCCTGGATAAGTGTGCAGGGAAATGTGGAGTCGCCAATAAAACACCTGTGTTGCTCTTCAGCTTTGTTTTGTTCATCTGACTTTCAGCTTGGAACATGAATGTGATTATAACAAAGTTACAGTCTGTAGAGCTGCAGCAATTAATCAATTAGTTGTGACCAATTAAATGAATCACCGATTAATCGGTTTATGTAATTTATGGGGAAGAAAAGGCAAAATTATCCGATTCCAGCTTCTTACAGGTGAAGGTTTTCTGGTTTCCTTATTCCTGTTTGACAGTAAACTGAATCTCTTTGGTTGTGAACAAAACACATGTCAAACACATGTCTCAGAAAGTGGCCAACGTATAGATGTTTCCTGCTGAGGAATGGATCAAGTTTGGAAAGTATGGAATATTTTAGACATTTAGAATTGAACATTGCATAATGATGAAAATAAAAGCAAAGCTTTTTTTGCTGCATTAGCAAAACTCATAGACAAATATAGACAGTGTTTCTAAGAGTCACTGTCACTAGTGTTCCAGCTACAGCAGCGCTCATCCTCAGTTTCTCTCATAGTAGGCTTGTGAAAAAGACATTCCGGCATGTTATTACTTTTATGCATGCTGCACACCAAGGTGAGTTTCACTGCAAGTTGATCAAATTTAAACATGTTGCATAACTCCTCTGCAATTGACAATGCTTTAGCACCCTGATGTGTGTCAGACTGTACAGAGGAAAAACCCTGAATCAGTGGTGTTACTTTACAGAGAAATGCATACATCAGTGAATTATAGGTATGCGAGACATTACAAGGATCAATGAAGTCCAATCTAAATTTTTCAATACACGACGGCACATTCTGTGCTTTCAACCTTACTGTTCAGAATAAGTCCATCTCTTTAGAGAAGATGCACCTTTATCATTTTGGGGAGCTCATGTAATTCCTAGAAACCCAACCTAACATCCAAGTCAGCCTACACCTGGCCTTTTTTAAATAAGAAAAACAAACTCAGAAAACAAAAATGACTGAAGATTCACAGCTAATTTGCTCACAGGCAACGTGCCGAATTTAGAAATCTAGAATATCTTCCCTTGAGAGTGAAGCGTGTAATACTGGATGTTATCCAGTCATTTATATTTTTCTTTATACCACTGTTCCGTTTTAACTGAGTATTGTATTTAAGACCATTTTGAAAAGACGATTGCTGTGTCGTCTTGTACATGTACGTAGTGACATTTAGATTCTCTTGTAAAACGGCATAATTATAGTAGTAACATACACTGCTGCCAAGACAAAAAGATATTTGCTCACTTGAACATGACTTAATAAAAAGTACTTTATTTTTTTAAAAACTGATTAATTTATTATCCAGTAGCGAGAAAATGTTATAACATAAAATATTGTCACATGAAAAGGCACTTAACACATTTTTATTTTATATTATAATAAGAGATGGAGCAAATATGTGTTTGTCATGGTGGCAGAAATTCCCTGCTGTATGTTACCAATAGATTAAGTGACTACATAAATGTGATATTGACAACAATCTCAACTCAAGGTCCACTCGTTCTAGAGCTTTCCAAACTTCTGTTTCAAAGGTCAAGAATGAACTGTCAAGCTGAGCCTCTAATATGGCCCCGATGAAGATGGCATTTGCAGAATAAAGCATGGTCCAGGACTAAAACACACAGGTGTATAGATACCAATATGATTTGAACTTTTATTGCACAAAGATTACATTTCTTTATGTCTCCTTACAAACATCTGAAAGCTTTGTAAACAGTGAAGCAGCATCTCCCCAGTGCGTTCAGTATCTCCTGCTAACACTGCTGAGAGTCCCCGTTGTCACATCTCTTCAGTAAGTCTCAGCAGTGAAATGTGTGCACAAGAGCCAACCAGTGACTGACTACATGGAGCAGGAAGAGCTCGGAGATATGCTTAGCAGAAGGGCAGTTACACGCTGTGGGTCAAACTGTTCCACGTTCAATAACCTGCATCAAGCCGCTGGCTACAGAAAGGAACTACAATTTAAAGCTGGTGACTTTCTGACTGTGGTGATTATATGGTGTCGGTGGTGCTCTGTAAAAAGTGAGCTATCCTTTTGTCTGCAAACAGGTATCGTTCAGTTTTACCACAAGTGACAAACACACCCAAGAACTTACATCTTTAAAAATAGTTTGGCTTTGGATGCAAATCAGGAAAAGGTCTGAGGAGGAAAATACTCATTCATTTTGCTCTTTCATTCACACATACAGCACTCATGTCTTCTCGGCAACGAAGGTCAACAGTCTTGGGCCTGGGAAACTGTTTGTCTTTTCTCCGTCCTCCATGCGCGAGAGCAAGTAAATACCTTGAATCTTGATGAGAGGCGGCGCAAAGAGGGCAGTGCAGCATTTTGTCTCTCGCTATGCTGGACAACAGAGAAGTCGTCTTGGTGTCGTTCAGTCCCGGGACTCTCCATGTGGCCCATTCACCCTTCTAGCAGAGCCGTGCAGATGTTCGTACCCAAACATCTGCTCCCGCACCGCATGTACTTTTTCAGGGTGTGTGTACAATGCTACGAAGAATTCTCATCGGACAGAAAATAGACAAAGTAATGGCACATTGCTTGTTGGTGTTCTCTATTCTGTGGATATGTTAACTAAGAGTCTTGATTTCTTTTTTTTGTTCTTTTTCTTATGGTTACTATGAGGCAGCTGCAAGAGAACCCCATATTGCAGGATGACCCTTTTCCACTTCATTACCAGCCAGTTTTGGATAGAGAGGAGGTGGAGATGATGTGTGGGGACGTTTCTATGGAGTCTGCGCCATGCCACGACTAGTCTTCATCTTCTCCAGTCGTTTAGACAGGTGGCTGTTGTTCGACTCGAGTTCGTCGACCTTGTCCAGCGCTGACCGCAGCTATCGAGTCAGGTGGTAAGAGAGAATATATTGGAATTAAGAGATTAAGATTTTTTTTTTTTTTTGCCAGTGTGAGAAAACAACGTTCTACCTCTCTCTGCAGTTTCCGTTTCTCTGCCTTCAGCTCGTCCTCCACTTTCTCTGCGTTCTCTGCACAAGTCTTGTAGCGTGTCACCTGACCCTCAAGTCTGGCCACCTGGAGACCAAAGAAATACAAACATAAGTGAGAATGAGGTCATGTTTTTAGGTACGCTGTCAATTCAGAACTCTTCTCAGCTTACATTTTGTTCCAAAGCCGTGACTTCCTGCTCTGCCTTCACAAGTTTGAACTTCATGTCGCTTATTTGCCTGCTTGAATCTCCTGGAAAGATTTGAGCAAAAGCAAAAAGTTTTAGGAGACAATAAAACATCAAACTGCGGGTCTGTTTTCATGCTAATGAAAACTTACTCTGCAGTTCTATTATGTTTGGATCAGTGCCGTTTTCAAGAATTTCACCATCTGGACTTGAAGTGTTCTCTGTGCCGTTCTTCTGTGCCTTCTGTTCCAGCTGGGCCTTTAGCTTCTTTACCTGTAAACGGAGCCATAACACATCAGCTCATAGATGACTCACCCAGCTACAACCTTAGTGCATTTCTTAAGCTCCATGAGGAACATACGACAGCTCACACACACACTTTCTCAGTTGAGGAAATGTTTGTGTGTTACACTGCAACCAATCCAATGAAAATACCAAAACCAACCATGCGTTCTGTGGGACTCAGCACGTTGGAGGATATACATTAAATATATGTGTGTGTGTGTGTGTGTGTGTGTGTGTGTAATGGAAATAGAGGAATGTGTGGCTCACTGATGGGTTTTTAATAGATTCTGGACAATAATGGTATGGCAGGCCATTTTATTTAACATTTTACTAGTCACTAGTCAGAAAATTTAGTAGTAAGAATGAAAATGTAACTAGTTTCTTTTGGAATAGTTACTAGTAACTAATGAATAGGTACTAGTATCATATATAAATAATAGATACTAGCAAAATGGAAAGAGATACTAGTAACTATTCGAATAAGTACCATAAAACTTTATATAATAGCCTGGGCTTTTATTTGCTAAAATCACTGAATTGACCCCATCTATATTTGGGACAGGCCTTTAATTCCTTTCGCACAAAACTGAAAGAGTTTATTAACAATATGAATATTATATATATATGAATATTACTTGTATAAAAATGATCAAATACACGTTATTCATTTGGTCAAGCTCCGACAGACTGTTTATGCGCTTTTATTTTGAAGACAGCAACGTAAGGAGAACAACAACAGGGTGCAGGATGAGAGAAGTTAGCAGACAGAGAGTGAGGGACTTCACATGACAGGATTCACAACTTGGATTCATTTTATGAAAAGCTGTTTTGGTTCTTTTGATCGGTGGACCCTTACAGACTAAAGGAAGATAAGTAATCAAGGAAGGACACATTCAGACTTAACGGGCGCTTCAAAGGTATCTAACCATGTGCTGCATGTCCATACTGACATATCGATCATAGGTTTAAACATTAATATTTGTATTATCGATCTAAGCAGCTTAGAAGCAGCTAGAGCGGGCACCCCGACAGAGTTTAAGATGTTTTTATACATCCAAACAACTTCTATAAAAACCAGACCAGGCGTTTAATGGAGACCTGCGTTTATTTGTCAAAATGTGTTCCCACACCAGGCCAGTAAACGGGGTAGGCGGCTATTTGGGACTCAGCTATTAATTGAAGTTTTACAGTATTAGTAACTAATGAATAGTTGATATCTGAACTGCAGTGTCCCATAGATTTCAATGGCAAATGGCACTAGTAAAAAATAGTTACTAGCAACTAAAAATTAAGTACTAGTATCTAATCAATTGTTACTTGTAAAACAGGAATAGTTACTAGTAACTAATAAATAAGTACTTGTAGCTTTTAAATAGCGACTACTAAGTTTTAAGGAATAAATGTTAAAACAGCCTGCCATACAGTGGAGCTCTATGGCACAGAGGATACATCAGGCTTTGAATACATACACACACACACACACACACACACACACACTACACTTGTTAGTGGGATCCATTCATTGTTTATTTTGGGTTTTAATGGGATTTGTTCACATTAAGATTAAGAATATAACCTTTTCCCGTAAACACTCTTTAAAAGACAACTGCCATATTCAGAATAAACATATGAGCAGCATAAAGTTGATCATTATACTGTAGATACATCAATCTTACCAGTAATGGGACAACCACATATTTAGAAATTGAAATATACATAGGCCTGTCTGTTAGCAGTAAAATGTCTTCTTGGTGTATGTGAGAGGCTACAGCTGAATCAGAAGTAAAGCTCATGACAGCCACATCACAGTCTCAGATAATGGATGAATCAATGACCCACCTGCTCGATCATTTTTTCACGCTCATCCACCAGTTTCCTCAGGCGGATCTCTAAAAGATAAAGCACATGTTTGAGAAGACGACGACGACGACGACGTCTCAGAAAAACTCATTTGACGTCTGAGTCTTGGTCACGTACCATTAATGCAAACAGAATGGCATGCATCACAATGCAACACCAATAATTCTAACTCTCATCTTTAAAATGAAAAAAAAATGAGTTAACATACCAGGGGTGGGAGGAGCCAAGGACATGGTGAGAGGGGGGGGCTGGGTCAGGGTGGGAGGTTGATGCATGCAACAGAGCAGGCATCCATGGGATAGTGATGGAGCGGAGTGTGAGGGGGAATGTTAGCATGCACAAACTGTGGAGAGTACGGTCAATGCAAGAGCACACAGCTGGCAGGACTATGTTCATACTGTATGACAACACAATAATAAGATCTGGACATCTATTCTAATTGGATGGTAGTAACATTTCTTGCCAAAAGCTTAGAGTATGTCACTGAAAGAATTTCATTACAAAGATGCCTTCAAACGTTTCAATCTGGTAACAGCAGGGTATTTATTGGCACTTCAGTGTGGACCCACCACATTCATCTTTTCCATTCAGTGCAACAAAACACAAACATACATTTATCATACATTTTCTGTGCTTTAGAATCCAGAGTCCTCGTAGATGGAAATGGATTTGTTGTCAAACAACAGCCTTATTAATCCCTACATCCCCTAAACAGAACAGCGTCTCCAAGCATTTTTCATTTTTAACCATCACAACTTTCAACACTACAGCTCGGACATGGAAAAGCTAGTTCGCAGGAGTCTTAATGAGAATGACCAATTAACATGTGTGCTTTTATTTCTTTTTTATTTTACACCTATGAAATGAATACATGTATGAGTTCCTGGAACTGTAGCATGAGAAAATGTTGCAATATTATCCGTGACACATTACAAGCAGCACGATACATGTGCATCAATAACAAAATAATGTTAACTGAGCAAGTACAGTACTGTCCAATGGTAAAGTCTACTGTTACCAAGCCGTTTCCATTCCCATCTCTACACAAATCAATTGTTTTTGCACATTTAACTTCAAAGAAAACTCATGTATGGATCTTGGACTGGTTATATGGAATTTAATTAAAAGAATGTACATACTTGCACCATTAGTCAAATGGGAAAGAATCAAAGTGCTGGAAGGATCAGCATTTATTTACTTTACTACTTTGCAAACAGCTAAGCAAAGACTATACTATATACCATGTATAAGCTAAGACATTTTACAGTCCTCTTTGGCCTTGCCTTTGCCTCTCTTGCTGTTCTTCTTCGCATCTTTCCCTGTCTGCGGTGGCTCTTTATTGCTGGCCACTTGGTCTGCACTGTTTGGCAAAACCAAATCTTCGCCCTGCAACTCGTGCTTCATGGCGTCTAATCCTTCCTCTATGGGCGAAGACACAGCCTGGTTAATGTTCTCTGCATCAACAGCCACCTCCCCAACATTCAAAACATGTCCTTCCTCTATGATGTGCCCGGGCTCCTCTGCTACACCTACGTCTTCCTCAGGCACGCTGTTCGGCTTTTCACAAGCATTTTCAGACGGGGCCTCCTCGTCAGCCGAAGAGTGTTGGTTGTCTTGAGGCACAGTATCTGACGCTTTATCTAGTGTATCTATCTGGTGACCCCCATCGACCGTACACTTCTCGGCATTGCTTTCTGGCTCGTCTGGTGTACTCTCATTCGACTCAGTATTTCTTTGGCACAACTCTGAACTACCATTGCTGCTGTCGTCTAACATGACTTCAACTCCCTCCTCGACTTCTTCCTTTTTTGGATTTTTAGAAAGATGTGTCACTATAGCCGCCTCCATATCCACGTCATCAAAATCAAAAGACTGCCCTTCCTCATCTTCAACGCCCCCTTCATCACTGTCCTCCAGGGTGGGTTGAGATGCATCATTTTCCCCAGACTCGTCTTTGCTGGGTTCATGCAGTTGCTCTGCCGAAGGACAAACAGGTGTCTCACTTTGCTGATCCTTTTGACTGTTGTTATGTTCTGGATCTTCTACAGCTGATTCTTCAGTACTGTGGTCCTGTTTGATAGAGGACCCAATTTCAGTAGCTTCTTTTGGAGAGTCTGGTGTATTTAACGTGTTAATGGTATCGATCTCTTCTGTTTCAGAGGACACGGCTGCATTGGATTCATCAATCGGATCCTCACACTGTAATGTCTGGCTTTTTACATCATCCAGTTCTTCTACCTGCACTGCGGTCTCCAGCAGACTCTTTTCGCCGTCAATTGCGTCAGTGTTTTTCGTTAAAGATGCACAACTGTCTCTTTTTTCGTCAAGCGAGGGGCTGTCTGGCTCGGCTAAACCTTCGGCCTCCCTCAAGTCTCCACTCAGCTCCTCTTTTTCTGCTTTTAGCCCTGAATTATCCCCGTCATGACTGGCACTGGCAGAAAAGGATTCTTGTTCTGTCTCTGCTCCTGGCTCCTCATCATCTTTGACTGTCACAGTTGCCTCCTCGGGACCTCTATCAGGAACCTCGCTGCCCAACTCCACGGTTGCGGACAGCTCCGAAGGCGGCTCTGAGCCAGACAAGCTCTTGAGACCATCTGTGAAGCCATCAGTAGAACACAGGGAGACTGACGTGTTATTGTTGGTCTCAGAATTGTTTGTGGATTTAGATTCATCAGCAGCACTGGGACCATGGCTTGGAACTTGAGATTGAGCTTCAGTGTTTTCCTTCCCGTTTCTTTCAAAGGTGTTTTTGGGTTTACTAGTTGTGCATTCTGATTTCCTCCCATCAACAGACCCACTTTCACCCTCCACACTATCAACAATTTCTGAATCAGTATGGATGACATTAGTTGAGATGTCTGCTTCACTTTTCGAGTTCTCTACACTGGAAGTACACATTTTATCAAGACCATGAGAGCTCTCTGCACGTTTGGAGTTGTCAATAGGATCACATGTACTGAGGTTGGTCTCTGGTACAGGACTTGCTGGAGATCCCACTGCTTCTACCATCTTGCTTTCCAAAGTTTGTTCCTTGTCTTGCTCATCCGTTTTGGGATCTGTGCAGGTTTCCTTGAGAGTTTCACCACAAGAAAAGTTTTCAGCGGGTGCCACTGTCTGCGCTGCTTCTACTGTTCCTGTTTCCTTGTTCTGTTCATCCAGAACATGATCCAGTACTATTTCGTTGGGAGTTTCAGTGTGAGAAAAGGTTTCAGTAGTTGCCACAGCTTCTACTTCTTCTATATTTTCCGTTTCCGAACTTTGTTCCTTGTCTTGCTCACCTGAAACATGATCCACCCTCGATTCTTTGAGAGGTTCATTGTGAGACCAGTTTTCAGTCGGGTGCACTGCTTCTATTCTGTCTACCTCCTCTGTTTCTTGTGTTGCCTGCTCATTTTTAACTGGAACCACCCTCAATTCTTTGAGGTTTTCAACATCAGGTTCTGCCGGTTCTGTCTCATTATCTTGTGCAGCCGATTCAATGTCTTCTTCTATTTTGCCCTTTTTTGTAGCTGTTCCATCTTTTTGTTGTTCCTTATCTTCATGAGTTCCTCCTTTCTTTTTGCTTCTCCTCTTCTTTTTCTTCTTTTTCCCTGAAGCAGAAGCGCCCTGAGGCAGAGATTTATTTGATATTTCCGCTGCCCCGTCGTTCTCTGCGTCTCTGTCGTTCTCGGGCTCTTGTTGGGGTTCGGTGTTTGATGCAGCTCGGACAGACCCGTCAGGTAAACTCTCTTTCATAACATCTTGTGCAACTTTTTGCTGAGGACATGACTCCGTATTGCTCAAACTGTTTCTCTCAACATCTTTCCCTTTGTTGTCTTGCTCTTCTAAAAAGTCGTTACATGACTCTCTGTCAACACTGTGTGTCTCAACACTACTGCTTGTGGTTTGTGTCTCCCCTAAATCTGGGTTACTTATGTCTACAACATCTCCCCCCTCAGGTGTTTCTGTTTCTGGAACATTTTCCTCAGAACTTGTTACAATCCCTTGAAGCCCAGGGCTGCAAACATTTATATCTTTGGCTTCTGTGATTGAACGGTCATCAATGTCAACATTTAAGTCCTTGCTGAGGCCACTTTCTTCAACATTGTCTTCTTCAGTGGCTAAGCATGTTTGCTGTTCTTCACTAGATGTTTCCAGTACGGGGACATCAGCAACATTACAGAGTGAATCAGAGTTCAAATGATTCTCTTCGGCCTCCTCAACCATTTCTTGATGCTGCTCTGGATCCACCTCTTCCTCTCCGCTACTTCTCAACTGAGTGTCCTCTGTGTTGCCTGAGAGATCGTGAAGAGGTGATAGAGGGCCAAAAAATGTTATGACTTCACACATGATTTTCAAAACTGTAAATCTAAAGGAAGTGCATCAGCAGAAGTCAAGGTAAGGCCTGAATGATTTGGTGGCCAGAAAAAGAAGCACAGAGCCAAGATGACCAAGAGAAGCACAAGTAGAACAAGAAGAAGAAAGGCAGGAGGAACACCGAAATGAAGTTCTCGATTCCCAGATCATCAATGTGACAAGAAAAGAAGCCTGAAGCTGGCGTCGCAAAGATATACATACAAATTTCTCCTCACATTAACTACTATTTGCTTCTAAATTACACTCAAATGTTTTATAGAATTAACCCTCTAGAGACCTGTCAGCATTTGCACACCAACACCACCTGCATTAACACAGTTAGTTTTGATTCAGAACTATATGTATTAGCCGAACTGGTGAAAAAGTTGGAAGAGAAACATGAAGCCAACACATTGCTAATGAAGAAGTGAGGTGTTGCTTTAAGTGAAATCTTAGTTTCTACAGGAAAGCAAGATGTCTGATAGATGTTGCTTAAAGGATAAGGCTGCTGTTTCTCTACATTTTACTTGTAGTTGGCAAATTTCATGAAAAGACCAAAACTAAGTAACAATGCATCGGTCCGTCTCACTACTTTGCGACCTCCCTACCCTGTCTGAACCACAAGCCCATTGGTTTCCACTAAAGACTACAGAAATACATCAGTTTAAATTAGCCTCTGTTATGTCCTTAAACAGCTGGACAGTGTAGTGTTTAGCAAACGTTACTCAAACAGGAATAAATTGTGCATTTGCTGGGGACTATTTCAGCTGCAGATTAATACACATTTGGGGCACTAGCATATTTACGTCCAACACCGTGGCTAAGTTCTATAGCACAGAGGAATGGGTCTTTTCATGGAATTTATTCAAAATAATAAAAAGGTCCATTTAGTAGTTTAGTAGTAACACAATCTTCCTCAGCAGAGAGTTTGTTGAAATTGCCATTGTCCTCTCAAAGAGGTCTCGTCAACATTGGTTCAAAAGTTAAGATTGAAAGCTTCATCACCAGACTTATCCTTTCAGGTGAAAAATGTGTTAAGTGACACTTCCAGGGGCACAACACTGAACTGAAGAGTTCACTCCAAAATCAGACATTAACCATTTGAAAATTCAGATGTCAATTGTGAGAAAAATGCCTACATGTAATCTCACTACTCAGTATTCATTTTCATAGATTCATTTCCATCACCACGAAAATTTTGGAATGAAAGTCTTCAGAAAGTTTTATGCCGAGCCATGCAGTAAGAAGTTCTTAATTCACAATGCGTCTTACCGAGCATGCTGTTCCCCTCCGTTGGAGAGGTCTGGGAATCCTGAGTCGGTTGGGAAGCAGGGTCCGCACTGGGGGATCCTTCAACTTCTGCCTCACCACCATCTCCATTGATGTTCAGATCAGGTCCCAATACTATTCCATGTTTCTGGACAAATAAAAAGTCAAACATTACTTTATTTTTATACTTTAGAGTCTCACATTTGCTCTGCAAAACGACACACAGCTGGCTTAAATAAGTATTCACACACTGACTGAGTACCTTCAGAATGTCTTTCAGATTCACCACTTCTTCTCTGAGCTCATCTCGCTCAATTCGGATTGCATCTGTGTATTCTTTCTGTCGCTCTAAGGCCTGAGCAGCGCCCCCAAGTGGCAGAGTGCGAAAGGAAGTAAAAACAAACATGTACATGGGGTGGGGAAAAAAAGTGAAAGTGAAAGCTCATGCAAAGGAGATACTGAATTCATGTCAGCAGAAGTAAAGCTGAAGATAATAAAACACAAAATGGCTGGACCAGGGCTCATAGGCAGGGCGTACCCCAATTTTTTTATCCTTCCACTCCACCGTCTCCTGCAGGTCAGATATTTCTCTAATAAAACCCTCCTGTTTCAAACGCAGCTGACGGATCTCCTAAACAGCAGGAAAAGGATTTGAAGTTTGAGACGCAGAGAGAGAAAGCAAAAAGAGAAAAGCAGTGTAAGCATATAAATAGTGTATGAAAAGAAAAGAAAGCTGTGAAATGCACCCCAACATGCAGCCTTTCTCCGTGACAAACTGAGTTTGTTTGTTTTCTTAGTATCTGTCTTTTAAGCCCATGGGAGGCTTTCACACTCATTGTTAGGCACATTCACACCAGGGGACAAATACTCACATTTAGCAGCTCTTCACTTTGTTTTAGCGTCTCTTTCATTTCATTGAACTGGAACTGAAGCACACTGTGGGCATGTTTCTCTCGCTCGAATTCCTGTGAGGAACAAGAGACAACTTGACAACCAATAACTCCTTTGATGTCATTTTGAACGTCCATCTCATACATGACCAAAAACTTCATAGGAAAGCTACTTGCATCGCTGTCAGTATGTCGTCTTCACTTGAACAGTTGTCATTCTGAGACCTGAAATGTGCATTACGGTGCTCATTTGGCTGATATGTTGTATGTCCTAGCGTACCACCGATATAATGCTGTTTAACTGCATATGTGGAGAGTAGAGTGCAGTGTTGTTTGTGTTGAGTCAAAACAAAGCATCATTTATTCTCTCATGTCTTCTGTAAGAAAAAAGTTGTGAAACCAGATTTAAACACTTGATAATGTAAGTATACAGTATCTAACAAAAGTGAGTACTCCCCTCACATACTGTAAATATTTGTTTATATCTTTTCATGTGACAACACTGAAGAAATGACACTTTGCTACAATATAAAGTAGTGAGTGTACAGCTTGTATAACTGTAAATTTGCTGTCCCCTCAAAATAACACATCACACCGCCATTAATGTCTAAACCGCTGGCAACAAAAGGGAGTACACCCCTAAGTGAAAATGTCCAAATTGGCCCCACTTAGTCATTTTCCCTCCCTGATGTCATGTGACTCGTTAACTGGAGGAGCGCAAGGTCTCTAAACATCCACCAGCTCCGTGATGTCGTCATGGAGGAGTGGAAGAGGACTCCAGTGGCAACCTGTGAAGCTCTGGTGAACTCCATGCCCAAGAGGGTTAAGGCAGGGCTGGAAAATTATGGTGACCACACAAAATATTGACACTTTGGGCCAATTTGGACATTTTAGGGGTGTCCTCACTTTTGTGATACACTGTATATAAAGGCAGCTTCATTCATTGGGACTGATTACTTGCATCAAAGTTTCTGCATGTTTATTTTTATAAAAACAGCTTTGTGGAAGCAGAACATTGATTGAATAAATGCAAGAAAAGTCTCGTCTAGGTCCACGTTCCATCCATGAATAAATGACAGCAAAACTTGTACAAGCTAGCAAGGTGTAACCCTCCTGTGAAGTGTGTCACTTTCAGTGTTTTAAACACACTTTACTGGCATTTAACGAGAAGAGGTATGACCTCACAAGCAATGACATATTGATTAACATTTCTCAACAGCTGAGTGCTATGAATCACAAGGGAATAGGTCATAAGGGTGTTTTTTGACACCAAACAGATGGACACATTTATGGTTTCTTATTCAAAACAGGAACCAGATTTAAGCCATTCAGACTTCCTACAATTTCAATATTTACTTTTATTTTAGGTCAAACATGTGGCTTAATTCTATAATATTCTCAGTTTTAAAGACTGCTGTACCTTGACTTTCTCCTCATATCCACGACGTGACTCAGACAGCAGTTCCTCCAGCTCCATGAGCGAGTCCTTCAGTGTGTCCACCTGGTACATCAGGTTGTTCTTCTCGTTATCCAGCTGGGCGTTGGACACCATGGCCTTACGATACTTCTCCTCCACTTCTGCTAATGCATCCTAATGTCATGACATTTACAGAATATAAGAATATAACAGGTGCTGGCTCAGGTATAACACATCATACTTTCCTCGGTCAAAGGGTATGGAAAAGTTTCAGTTTGGAGTAACAGATGGGGTGCAGCAGGCAGAGAATCCAGGCAATGCTAAAACGCACTTGGAAGTCAAACCTGTATACATATCTGTATTTCACAACTGTAAACCCTGGTGAGTGGAAATGTGAGTTAAGAAGTGTAGGCTAATACACACACACACACACACACACAGACACACACACCAAAATTGAAGAAAGAAAGCAACATGCAGGTGAAACTTTGCCGGTTAGATCGCCAGTTTGCAAGTTTATACACAAAAACATCGGCATTGCCCAGGGGAAAATGAATGACAGGAACGGCATCTGAGCCTTACAAAAGGACTACAGTTATACCACTGCCCATGTGTGTCAACACTTGTGTCGAGTCTAGAGCAGCAGTATTGCTCCTAAAACACTCCATGGAGAGTTTCTAGATAAAGCATTTATTTTATAGTTAGGACAACAAAATATTAATTGTTTGTTTCCATTTCAATTCAGAAGCCCTGTAAGCAACACGTCTTATAAAATAAAGTCAGGGACACCAAACTTATTAGTTCAGATTAGTGAGTCTGGAGCTGGGAGTTCTGTGAGGGTCTCAGGCTTATACCTTGACTTCTTTTAGGTTCTGTGTGTACTTGGTTTCCACATCTTGAATCTGATCCTTCAGTTCGTGAATCTCCTGGTGAAGAGTGCAGCAGCATTGAGCAGAGAAGCGCATCGTGACAGCATCAGAAAAAGGTAACCGGGCAATGAGAACAGCACAAGAAGTGTTTGCAGAAAGAATGAAAATGGCATGACAGCGTGCAACTTCATACAAGAACATGATTTAGACAAAAATAAATCTCTGAGTACAACAGTAAGATCCAGTTTTTCTAGAATGTGAGACTTGTGCCCTCTAATGTCTTGTGGAATCGTTCATGGACAGAAATATCTCTGTCCCTCTTCCACACTGAATTTAACCAAATGAGTATTGACATTTGACTCTACACAAAAGCTTCTGCTCTGACATAATACAGCAGAAAACTTTTCTTAAAGTCTCATCGGTAAAACGATGAACAATTTTGGCCAATTAAAGAGTAATTCATCATTGGAGCTGAAACTCTGATCTTAATTATCTGACTGTTGTTGTTATTGTTTTTAACTATGTTCAATTAAGTACATATTCCATGTAACGCACACATTAGAGACAATTACTCAAGTCAAATGATTCAGATTGTCCATGTAAATTCTTGTTTTCATGATGATTTTGTCAAAATGATTGAATAACCCTGCATGAGGAAGCTACACCTCTTCAGCATTACCTTGATTTCTCGTATAGAGGTCTCTGCGTCGACATTTATAGCCGTCTCGCCGCTTCCTCTCCGTGAGGAAGTCCCACCCAAGGAGGTGAGGGTTGCTGCTGTTATGGCAGAAGCTGCTCGAGATCCCTGAGGAGGGGGAAAAAAAACCCTCCTTTATATATATATTTTTTTACACTCACATAAAGGATGAAACACCCACTCATAATTCTTCATTAACTGTCACTTCCTGCATCATGAGTAATAAAATACATAGCATTTGGTGACGTAATTCACTCACCTTCTCAAGATAATCTCTGTCCTCCACCTGTTGAGGCAAATAAAATAGAGTCAGAGCAAACAGAGGGTGATGAAGAGGCCACAGGGCCACAAAAACTAACTGAGGGAGGAAGAAAGTCCCTAAATCCTCACACACGGCACCTCAGCAGTAAGAAGATTTGCCTTTAACACATGAAACAAAACTTCCAACTATTCCAATCTGCTTTCTACTCATGAACATATTAAGAAAAGGCACAAGTTTATTTTGACGTGCAACACCATGCAAATTATCAGAATGGGTGGCGTCAAAACTCCTTCAGAAATTAAAACCACCAAAACTTAACAGGTGAAAGATTAGTCAGACAGTATTCCACAGCAGAACAGCAGCTCATGTGTTACAAAAACACTTCAAACACTGGGCCATCTTCTGCCACACGCACAAAAACAAACTGTCAACACACAAATTAACCTCTGACACAAACACAGTGTGCAATCAGCCCTCCTTGTAGGGCCAAGTGCACACAGAGGAAGGACGGCGGCAAAAAAAGCAACCAAGCAGGAGCTCGGCTCACATCACTGCCTCCTGCGGGTGCGAAGCCACTCACATCGGAAAAGTCAGGAATAGTAACATCGTCCAGGTCTCGGGGGAGGCCACTGCTACTGGCCGCGCTCCTTAAAAAACTGGCAACAGAGCTGCAGTTGTCCTACATCGGCCACCAGGAGGCGAACCAGAACAACAAAGAAGTCAAACACACACCAGCCAGTTAGAAATACACACAAAAACAAACAAAAAAAAAAGCATAGAAAGAAGTTGCAGAGAGAAGAACTTATTTTCAAATCCTCATTAGTGCTCAGAAAGACTAAAAGGAGATCCATCTTTACTCTACATGTAAATTGTGTTACCTCAGGTTCTTTTTTTGGAGATTATTTTTGTGTGGACTGGTGTTATGGCTCATGATGGGAAAGATAATCACCTTCATTTTGAATTTGAACGAGAGTTAACTGAATTAGTTGCATGTATGAAAATAAAAAAGTGTCCGACCCAGCCCCTGAACAGTAATGACGGCATCCTACAGGCCCACTTTCAGAACACTGTTGCTAAAAACAAGGTTTGGGAGCAGATAATGCATCACATTTCTGAGTCATGGTGTTTCCCCATCAATCACTGACATCACACAGTAGTAGGCTACATTTTTAAGTAAAAAATGAGTATTGTGTATATGTGTATTCTAAGGAACATTTTTCAACTGGTGACTGATAAATCAACGGATCTAAATCCAAAGAAAAGCATTTTTAAACTGTGTTCTTTGTGAATGACGAGCCTCTACTAAAACTGTGCAGCTCCAGGCTTGTGGCAGATGGACAGAAACTGTGCTGTGGCTCGTCTCTGAACTCACTGAGCTGGACTGATGACCACACACTCAGACTTGTGTTTCATAGTTACATTTCAGGTATTATTAACAGGGAGTTCAGTGCTTTTCTGAGCTTTCATTCATGGCTCATTAAAACAAAACATTAACATTCAGTACAGGTCCATCAGGAAATACCTGCTTGTATTCTAAACGCAGAACAATTAATGTTTGCGCATTTCCAAATTCTGCAAATCATGCCAAGTCTGAGTCACTGTTGCACCCAGAATGAACAGGGCCTAATGATATACAGAATTCCTCTGATGTCAGTGAATCATAAACCAAACTGTAGTGTAAGTGGATAATGGCTAAGTTCAATCATAGACTTCTGTGGTTACAAAGCATCATGTTCATGTGGCTTAATGCTATTTAAACCCCAGTGTTGGTGGAAGGGTGTCTGGAGATTGAAGGCTCACCACTGGGCTGGCGCGGGCCGAACTGGCCCGGGAAGAGGCTCTGGAGTTGGAGCTGCGATAACTAGTGTACTCTAAAGGCTGCAGAGAAAACGCACAGTTATGTTTTCTGTCTACACATGGAGGCAAACAAACAAGCATGCGCATATTCACACCAAGAGTACTAATGATAAACGCATGCTGGGGAGGACTGATGCCACAACTTGGAATAAAAATCACAATCTGCTTTATTCAAAATGTACATCTAAATTCTTTTTCACTTTTTGAACAATTCACAGATATTAGACTTATTAGCAAAAAGCTACAGTCAGTCAAAATTCAGTGAAGGCCTTGCTCGTGTGAGAACGAAACAAACGCAAACTTCACACATGGTCCATTCCATTACTTCACACCAGATACACGGTGACACTTAACTGTTAGTCAGTTAACAATCCAGGAACAGAAAGACGTTTCACAGGTCATTCTCAGATGTGTCAAACCAACAAAGCCACAGTTCCCTTAAATCTTACATGTGAGCCAGCGACTCGCCGTGGCCCAATACTGAGACCATCTTCATATGCAGAGCTCTGCATATGTGACATGTCACAAACACACAGACACACACAGTAAGCTGTATGCTCACGCTTCAGTGGTGTGAATTATTACATTTTGTGATTTTATTACGTGCTCTTCTACTCTTCTACTTAGTGTCGGACACGTGGCTCCATTCGGACCTGACGTTAATGCTGGGAATTTACAAAGTGTTCAAGCATTTAACTGAGAGCCGCTGACTTCAGCATCAAATCCTTTGCTTTGAAAACAAACAAGCTCAGTTATGGGTGTTCTAAAGAAAGCTGGTGTGAGTGATTGATAATTACAGGTGTCATTTAACACTGTGGAAGTTACAGCGGGGGAAGGGTAAGCTGAAAATGAATGGAACCAACCCTACGATAGAGCTGCTGGGTGATCTGATTGAGTGAGCTGCAGAACTGCAACAGATAAGTCGGGCGACAGAATGAGGTCTGCGGGGCAGCAGGTTGGAAAAGGTTGTGAAAACAGGATGAATGATAACTTAACTATTTTACTTTTTCTTGTAGAGAAATTCTCTTCTCTTTCTGTTGTCCCTCTCTACAGAGAGGTGGAAGGTCAGGTTGCAGCTACAGAGTAGCAACAAACCTGACCGAGTGTTTACAGTATTTGTCTGTATACAGACCTGGTAACCATTGAAAGCTGAACCTGGGTTTCTGGAGGAGGACAGACCATTGAAGCTGTACAAGTCAGAGGAAGCATAAGAGACCTGAAAAGGAGGAAAGGGAAGAAGACAGCAGAGAGTGTGCGGGGGGAGGGGGGTGGAGAGGAAACAATAGGAACTTCAGAAACATCTTTTTTTTTTTTTTTTTTAAATCACCCAACTCTTCATCCAAAGCGTAACTTTCACCTGTCAGCAGTGCATTCATACTACGCAACTAAACAGCAGTGAGTGAGGATCAGTGCTGTATGAATGTGTAGCAAATCAAATCCCCCCCCCCCACACACACACACACACACATGCACAAACCAATCCAAATAATTCTGGACAACATTTTCATCTATAAGCAGGGAAATATGGCCAAAAATGTAATCACGATAAAAAAACTTCATACTTTTCTATCTAACCATTTTAACTTAGCCAGCCTTTACATGTGTGGTTGTGACCCAGCGCTAGCTAATGGGTCCTTCCCAGCAAAAGTCCAATCCACATCTTGTTTTAACACACAAAACAACTACATTATCAGCATGCTCGCCGAAAATCTGAATCAAAATTCAGAATTCAACACAAAATTCTGCCACCCACCGGCTGCAAGTCTAATCTGGAGGCACGAGACATCCGGTTGTCATCACTTAGTCTGGAGCTCTGCGGGGAGGACACATCAAACACCACAAAACTAAATGTCATCCTCAATTCATCTGTCTGACAGCGCACAGCTGTGTTTCAACATCACAGAGGTTTAACTTATTGACACATCACATGCTGTGAGTATGCTGATATGTAGCAGGTTTGGAACATATGATATCAATCAAATGTGTCAGCGCTAGAAATAACAAGGTAAAATCAAAGATATCAGCACAGGCCTCTAGCTGTTCTTTTTTATTTTTACATTATTTGTGTTGAGGAGCTTCTGATCTTCCTTCTACTAGAATGGAATGACTACAGGAAGAAATGTAAAGCATATTGCTGCCTTCTATAGGCAAGTCCTGTTCATTTTTCCAGTTGATTAAATTCTTGTGCACAAACCAGCAGAGTGCAGAAATGTAGTCATCTTCAAGATTGTTTTTAAAGACAAATAAATTGCTTTAGATTCTACTAACAGATTGTAAAATTGACAAGAATGTTTTCTTTGACTCCACCCCCTGCAGTTTGCCCAAACAATGAGATTATTTCTGTGTCCAAAATATGATTTCCAAAGCAAAATTCAACTCCGCATTACAGTGTTAACAGGACAGTTTGCCCTCAACATGACACAGCTGTATCTGGTTCATCAAAGCGACTGTTACGCTAGATTCTGTTTTGGACTACTGTACAGCAAGTCAGCATTAAGGATGATAGGGGCCCGCCACGCACCGTTAGGTCTAGTCTGGAGGAGCGAGACACTCTGCTTTCATCACTGAGTCTTGAGCTCTGACGGCATGAGAAAGAGGAGGGTCATGAGTGACAGGTTGAAGGTTGTCCACAAACGTGCTAGCATTCCCTTATTTTACAGCCGACCAAACGCAAATGTCAGTACAATCAGTTCAACTACGAACCCTGCTGGATATTACACTGTAATCATCATCACAGCCGTTCCTCTGTGGAGAAAGAAGACGAGTGAGAAACATTTCTGTGGAGGCCGTTTGTGCATTCACAGGCTGGGTTTTTACATACATCTCTGTCTTTGTGCTTATGCTTCTTCTTTTTCTTTGACTTCTTGTGTGAGTGTGATGGGGAGTCCTGAGAGTGAGAGAAAGAGAGGGGGGACAGCCATGGGTGAAAACACGCTATCTGGAAAAATCTTTTCTTAACCCAAAACCAGAATGCCTAATGAACAGTATTTATTGGTGCACAACTGTATTACTACTGTAATCCAGGAAAACCCAAGCAACACAGCACATACATGCATGATGGACTCTTAACACTGGCCAGACTGCTGTAAAAAGCATACAGAAGGCCACAATGTATTTAATACGTGCAATTATATGACTAAACTAACTGATTCAGCTGATGAAGTGACTGACCACGTATACTGGATCTCGTACGCCCGTGAGAATGATAAGTATGAAGAATTTTTCCACATTACATAGCACAGAAGAAATGGCACTTAGCATTTTGAGACATAACAGAGCCTAAAATAGTGCGGACTGTGTTTTGGTTGGAGCGTGATAGCTCTATAACACAGTGTTCTTTTTGTCCAAATCAAACCTGACTGACTCCAAGGTAGTGGATGTTGCAACAGCAAAAACAAATACATGACAGAACATAATCACTTGATGGAATCGCATAATACTTATTAAGTAAGTCCACACTCATGCAGCGTTTCCTATTTATTGCAACGATTAAATCAAGCCGACAAAAATGCGTCATAGATGTTGCTCTACAATCATGGACTATGCAACTCTAAACCATAAGAAAACCTGACTCACTTTCACCTCACATAAACGGACAGAATATAAAAAAAGATGTAACTGATTGTTATGCCTTCTATGTAAACCTGATTTTTATCACAATGACAGATTTACTCCATGCTTTGAGGTCTCTATAACAGCTGTTAGTCAAAAAAAAAAAAAAGTCATTGTCTTTCATGAACATCAACCCTTACCCCACCACCATACGCCCCAACGGCATCAAGATCCGACTGTGCAGAAGACACAATATCATCATAAACAACAAGTGCCACCCACTCTGACAGCACCTTAATAAGTTACCAAGGACAGACACACTGCCTCAACTCAAGGGGAGAAGGTCTGTCCTTGTGAAGCGAAAAGGTATTTGATAATGGTTAAAAGGGGGAAAAAGGTTTAAAGAGAGTCTTTTGGATTTTCGATGCACGCTGTTTGAGTGATACTGACCCTGACACTGCCCCGGCTTCCCACTGACATCCGCTCATCATCGTCTGAGAGCTGTGTGAGAGAGTGAGAGATGAAACGGATGGTTAGGGTTTGGAAAATGGTCACCATGTGGGATTTCCGTCATCAATGCGAGCAGTGGATTATGACAGGAGGTATCCTGCTACAACGACACGTGGTTCAATTTCACCGTGTTTCCTTCTGTGAATTTTTGTTAACCATCTGATGGGTGTTTTATGTGACCTCGTGGAAATTACAGAAATTCTCCTGTGCAAAACCAAAGTAAAAAAACAAACAAAACATTACTGTGATTTACTTCAGGGCTTTATGACGCTGCACATTCTTAAATAAAAGCTGATATTAAAAGAATGCATACACAGTAAATCCAGCATAGTGGTTTAATTTTCTTTCATCATCATAGTTTCTCTTTAACAAAAATACTGTTTTCATGATGCAACTACAGTCACTATTATGTGCCGTTTTTTGATGGCTGTTAAATTGCTGTCAATTAACACTTACTGCTAATTTTTTACATTAAAAATGTGACTTCTGCTGCACTGATGGAAAAGGTGTTGTGCAAATTTACATTTTTCTGAATTTTTCTAGACAACAGGTAAACATAATGCAAATTAAAACAGGAACACATAGTAAAGTCATAGAATAGCTGCCTTTATTTGGCATATTTAAGTGACGCTGACTTGCTCCCTGTCTTCTCCCAGGATTTACATTTTCATGTGCTTCATGTAACATTTTCCAAGTGGTGGAGGACAAGATTACAGAGGAAAGGCATGAGGAGATGGAATCACAGGGAGGGCTACAAACCGTTTGTATCCGTGAAGAACGTGAGTATCTCTCACTGTCCTCCTGGACGAGGGAGGGGAGGGGTGAAGATGGAGAAGAGAGGAGGTGAAGGAGGAGAGAGATGTCAAAGATCAACGAGACAGATGGATGAGGAAGATAACTGCCGCTTGAGGTACAAAAATACTTTTAAGATCAGCTTCCCACTGATCCAGCATTGTAAGAACAAGTTGCATGTTTTCATTCCAGCCAAATAAACTATTTAAAGTAATTGAAAATCTTTTGAATTTTCTGATAGGTATTTACAGTCATACATATTTCCCTTCTCACACATATTTGGTAGCAGTTAAGACATGTAAACAACACTGGACACTGCATCAAATGAATGGCATGTAAGTAAATACCAGGTATCACCTGCCTTTGGGTTCATTTGAACACAATTGGCTGCATGAAACCGACACAGAAAACATTTTATTTGATAGTGAAGTACACACATCCTCACAGGATCAGACATGCACGTTCTTAAAACAATCACACTGAACCAGTAATCCAGGCAACAAACCACTGAGACAGCCATGTTGAGCAAACACGGTCACCTCAAATTGGAACATACAGAAAGTAAATTACTTTAGTAAAAAAAAAACACCCCAGGGTTAGTCAAGTCACACACACTAAGCATCCTCACTGCCGTGTTTCAAGCTGACAGTCTGGAACAATTCAACAGTAAATCCCATGCAGTCTCACACCAATGGGGCAGATGGTCATGCCGATTCAAAGCCAAACGGGCACCCTGCTTCTTTGAATAAGTGGATTATCATTAATGGTCAAGCTTTGATTCCTTATAATCTGTTATTTTCTAAAAAGGCTTAACAGGAATTATCTGGAATTCAAAACGCAGACTCGGCACACTGCAAACGCTTTCAGATATAAAAGCTTCAAAATATGTTCAGAAGCATAGAAACACATGCATGTTTTATAATATTTTTAGTGTTGCATCACAGCAAAGAAACTGTACCATCCATTGCTCAATATCTCCCCATTTGCTGTCCACTGGGTCATCTAATTTGGTGTTCAAGCCGTAATATTTCTAAGAGGAGACAGGAAGTGAGGGCAAGGAACAAACACACGGGTAAGAGATGTCCATTATTTTCTTTGGCACAATTTAAAGCATACGTCTAGGATATTTACATAACCATGCTGAAATCAAATGATGTCTCAGGTGGAAATGAGGAAAAGGAGGCCTACCTTCTGCACCTGAAAGATCTACAGATCAACACCGATGAGAGGTAGAAAGATTGGAGGATATCAAACATGGAAACAGGGGAGGAAAAAACACAAACCAAAAAAAATCAGCCTCAAAACTGAGATGCAATAAAGACAGATATGAAATTAAAACTTAAAAAAAGGCAGAAAAGGCCAGCTGCAGTACATGACAGATAAACCCAGACAGCATGCAGAGAAGACATACAGAGCCAGGTTTCTGCTAATGAGAGGCGCTCAGGAATGTGAAGTACCCCGCTGCACGGCAGGACCAATAGTAACTGAACCAAGAAGACACCGAGTTCACTGCACCCATGAGACTGTGTTACCAGGCATTTTCCCATGGTTCCTTTAGGTCGGTATCAGTGGCACAAAGCTGGAGAGTGCCAGTGCCACAGTGTCACTTTCAAGTCTATGCTCCCATGACTACAGAGCTGAGTCTTGTGACAAACAACTGGCCTCTGACACATCCTGGTACTGAGGACATGAAGGACAAAAATCAGCCACGGAATCTAAATGTTAGGCGTTTTATGCCATGAAACACTGTCTGCCTGTGCACAATTTGCAGTTTTCCAGAGAGCAGTATAATAAATGTACATGTTTGACAGAAATAACACATTAACACACCTTTGCCATTACATTTCTTTTTATGATGATTCTGAAGGTGACACGCGACAAAAGATCACACTTTTGGGTTTTCGATACACTGATTGGTATGAATTGCTGAGAATATCATTAAATCTTTATCTGATCAGTGAAATAAGCATTCTAATTTTCACTGTATTTAACAATTAAGCACAAAGTTGTATCAGCAGCGAAGAAACAAAGACTTCTGAAAAACAAAAGGAGCCTAAGAGATGTGATCATGTTCAAATATAGTAATTTGTGATTATTATCTGAACCTCAATATTCCTCTTGTATTGCCTGTTAAGATTGATACCACTCAATGAAGCTACAACCAGCAGCGAGTTAGCTTAGCATAAAAACTAGAACATAAAAATGGGGGAAGCAGCTAGCCTGGTTCTGTCCAAAGGTAACAAAATCGGCCTACCAGCACCTCTAAAGCTCACTTCTTAGAAGTATTGTTGCACAGAATGAGAACTGTGGGTTTTGTCCCCTATCAATTATATTTACATTTATTCATTTAGCTGACACTTGCAATTGCTATCTATGTCAGAGGTCGCACGCCTCTGGAGCAACTAGGGGTAAAGTGTCTTGCTCAGGGACACATTGGTGGATGTCTCACAGTGGGGAATTGAACCCAGGTGAAAGGCATGCATCTTATCCACTGCCCCATCACATTAAAGTAGGGCTGAACAATTCACTGAATTATTATCCAAATCGCAATATGGTCAAGTGCAACATGCAAAATGCAGGAGCTGCACTTTTTTTTTGATAAAAGGGTAAAATGTGTCCATTATAAATGAAGCATTGCGGTGCTACACAGACACAGCCCACAAATCAGATTCTACCGAAGTAAGAGAACATGCTTTTTCAGTACTTTCCCAGCAAAAGTCACTTCATCATTTCGCAATCTCTATCAAAATAATCGCAATATTATATACTTGTCTTGCCTTATCGTCACCAAGCACTTGTCTTCCACTTGCTATAGCAAACTTCTAACATGTGAAACAGATCCAAAGTTCTGTTTTTTCCAGCTGCAATATTACAAAAATGTAACAGAACTCTGTGTCTTGTGTGTAATTTTAAACACCACTTCACTATGAATCATGGTATCTTCTCTAACCTAGAGGTCTGTATAGTTTTCCTCATCAGTACTGGGAGCAGGCCTGTGTATCACTTTGAGTCTGTTAGATAGAAGAAGAAGCCGTCTCTTGAGGCTGGTGAGAGTGCCGTCACTTGTGGGTGTGTCTTTCTAAAATGTGGATCGTTTGAGGAAGTACACAAATTATAGCCAATTACAGTAGTTAAAATTTTTGCTAAATACATCAACCCATTACCCTGGGCTATATTTATTTTTATATGGAATGTTATTTGCTATGACCTCATAAAGATCTTCATAACCTCTGAAATCTTCCTTGATGCTGTTTTTTTTTTTTTTACTGATGTGACCGTTAACAGGCACGGACACATTGCAGCCATTTTTCTCATAATCAAATCAGCTTTGTGTAGTACATACAGTGAACACATCTGCCCTTCAACTGAAATATGACAACCAGTAGAGTTTAATTAAACACAATCAAGTCACTGTCTGTCTGAGGTGTTTTCATACACACTTTCAAAATGTGCATCTGCTCTTTTCACTACAGCTCCTTTCACCACTGAGACAAATACACTTGCAGTGAAAGGTAAAAAAAAAAAAAGAGCACTGCCTCTTTGAGCTTGCCTCAAATCCAACACAAACACTGAAAGCACACCCCACCCTTACTGCAGCATTTTCCATCCCACCGGTCCAGTCCTTTAATCCAGATTTACTACCGCCGTCTCCCTTGTATGCTTGCCCGATATATGGACTGGCTGTTCTGTTATTCCGGCTTTCTATAATCGATTTGCAGCTGACCTTTGTCCACTGCATCACCTCAGTAACAACAGTGCTCCTAGATAATGAGTGGAGTATGACCTCTTGCCTTCACTAGTCTACTGCTCCTAATTTATAGGTTCAGTCGAGATGAAAGGTCAGATCCCCACACTGGCAACCTCTAACTGCAGCAGACTCAAAGAATTTGCTGCACCTTGTCCAGTCAAGAAAACAAAGTCATGCTCATTTACAAGCAGGTGACACTGAGTTGTAGTGGTTAGATTCATTTATAGAATATCTATACCATGTATGGTGGGGAGACACATTATGTCACAATTACAAGAATAATGTAATCCGCACCAATTTCACATTATTTCTGCATAAAATATCCATATTGTTTCATTATAAGAAAGAAAAAACACTCGCTGCGTGATTTAAAAGTTAATTCGGATCAATCCATAGCAATTCTCCAACTCTCTCTGTGTTGACCTTTGACATCTGCCTACACAAGATGCCTTCCATTAAATTAATGTCGTTTTCCACTTTTACCGACAACTATAAAATGTGAGAATAGATGTACAAGAGCATTCTGTGGCAGAAAAATGCACAGTCTAAAAGAGATTAATAACTGACTGGAAGGATCTTGTCTGCTTACTTATCTCTCATTATGTGTCTGGACACCCAATTAGCAAGAGAGCCAGGCACCGTCATTCATCAAACGGGTTACACAATCAGCTTACATTTATGCGCCTGTTCTATTAGACTCACCGCGCTCCCCTTCTTGATCGGAGGGCTTCTTGGGCGCCCGGTGAGGGCAGCCCTCAGCCCCCTCCCTGCCAGCCGACGCCCGGCCGTCCTGCTGCTCCTCAGGGTACCAGGAAAGGTCGCATCCTTCAGCAGTCAGCAGGTGAGACCACGGCCAGTCATGTAGGCTGGATCACCGCGGGACGGAGCACTGAGATTTGAGCTCAGAACACAACGAGCAGCCACGCGTCTCTCGTATGTCGCTATACAACCGATAATCCACCTTTAAATCCTGACTTCAGTGTGAGAGAAAATATCCAGAAGTCCCGCAGGTGGTTGTGAGTGCAGCGACCCATCGTTCATGTCAACAACACGGCAACAACACCAACTGCTCCACTGAAGGCTGGACCAAGGAGCGCAACCTGCTAAGCTACTTTGGAACTCAGCTAAAGGGTTTAAGGAACACACACATACTAACACACACACACACACACACACACACACACCCTGACCAGACTCAGCTTAACACTGACCAATAATCCAGTGCGTATGACTGGTGTGTGTGCACATGTAGATTGTTGTTGGTGGGCTCACCACCTGTGTTTTGATTACTGAATAATTGAGCGCTGCTGGAATGCTCATTATCCCGGTAGGGGGCAATGCGACAATATACATGTAACCAAAATTAGTGACATATGTTTAAATCAAGCACAGTTTCGCTGAATCTTCTGTGGTACAAGTCTCTAGTTGCATAGTGAAGAAGAGGAATCCTTCGTCTGGCTCCTGAAGGTGGCAGATTTAAAAGCATCGATGAAATGCCTGCTCAGAATCCAGAAATATTTTGGTGCACTGACGATGAGACAATGGAATGGTTGTTTAATTTTGTTTCTTGTAAAAAACACGGGAATGGTTTATTTGTAATTTATGCTGTTACTCTGGTTTCTGGTCTCTTTTTCTAAAGGGTGGTGTCTTGTTTGGGCAGGGCGTATTATTTATCCATGATAATAATAAAAATCTGAAAACCAATCATGCTTACAGTGAGATGATAGAAATGTGTCAATCATCTGAAATTTTTAATCAGTGGTTTCTTCCTGAGGCACAGCAGCTATCCCTTTCCTTTATCTGTGATTGTATTAGGTCATTGTGAGCAATGTTGTAAATCCAAAAGGAAGATATCTTAATGTCAAGTATTTGATTTACAGTATGTTTGCAATAATGACTACCTTAATTGTTCAAGGTATTTCATTCAAAGTATTAGCCAGAAAGGAGAATTTGTTCTGTTAACGTCTCTAAATTCCAGCAATATATATATATCATCACAGTAAAACATTACATACTAGGGCTGAACAAGTAATTGCAAAGGTTGCGATTACACTCTGGTCACATGACACGCGAGAGTAAAGCAGTCTGCAGACGAAGCATCAACTTCGCACGTTACCTTGTACCTGTTGTTGTCCAACGGCCATAAGCTTGACAGAGGCTGACACTATAGAAGCGTTAGTGTCACACAGGGAATGAAAGTAGCACCCGCCACCCGTGGGTAACTTGGTGGTGGTGGGTGACATTGCAGGGTCATCCGCCGCTTTGATGGACAGGAAAAAGACGTGTGTAGTAAGGTAAGCGTATTGTGGCGATCGGCGTCAGCGTCACACACACAGCCACGAGTCAGTTCAAAAAGTATCTGTGAAACGGCGTTTCACCCCAAACGCACCAGTTCGAAAGAGGCCCGGTCTGTCCTGAGTTACAGTCTGGTTACAGCCAGTGCGCCGCTTATAAGCATCGCCAGGCTGCGAGGTGGGGAACTCCGGTGTTGTCAGAGAATTACTAAGCTTGTCTATTAAACATGAGAGGCATCATTTAGTTTTATTTTCGTTGGCCAATTTTTGAATTGAACTAGTATTTTTTGTTTGCTTACTTAGAGGGATACAGAAAGATGGACTCCTAGGAGATCTGAACTGGGATAAGGACTCATTAATTGGTGCTTGAACTTTTGTCTCCAACCCCAACAACATAAAGAGCTTTAGGTAACAAACACATTACAAAAACATGTAGTTATAGTTTCAAGGGTCTAAACTTCTAAATCATCTCTGGACAGAGAAATTATACAACCTTTAAGAGTTCAGTTTTGACAGGTGAGAGGCAGAAGCCTGTTTGTGTGAGTGAGATTACTCCAGGCTAAGAATAGCGAGCTTGGAGAAGCACGACTCCCCATGGTACTCATCAGAGGTGGAAAACCAAAAACAAGAAAAAGCACAGTGACCTGCAGTCCAAACACAAACACTCACAGACTTAGCAGCTCTGCACCTGTTTCAACATAAATCAGAATGTAGTGCTGGTGCTGGCAATAACACTTGCACTGGAGGTCCAACCCAGAGCGTTAGGGCCTCTCTGGTCTTTGGATTTGACTATAATGTGTAACTTTTGACCCAAATATTGGTAAAGATGGACTCAATCACCAAGTGACTGAGCCAACCAGAGGAATAAATACTACTAGTACTGCTATGCTGTGTACATTGCTTTAATCAAGAGACTGTTTAACAAGATGAGCTGCACATTTTATCACCTAAATTCCAGATTTTTCACTGCATTGTAAGAATATCATGAATTTAAAATTCGATTTGGGATTTTGCACATGAACTTATTGTTGTAATTGTTATTTAGTCGAAATCCACTGGACCCAGGGCTGTGGGTTATGACATTTACTACAAAAGCCAGTGATAAGTCGGTGTGTGTTTTATTTGTTCGTCCTGCATCAACTTGAACATAACTGCACTTTCTATTAGACTGCTGAAAATCCCCCGCAGTGCTTCTCAGTGCTGCAGTTCCAGCACTCTGTGTACACTTCTGACCCATGACCCACAGGATTTAAGAGTCCCAGCTTAACAGAGTAAAGCAATGTTGACAGGAAATGCTTTAAGTTCAAACTGCCAGTACCAACAACACTGCTGAAATCCACTTGTTATTTAGGGTAATGGTAATCATGCCATATACCATACAATGGCACCTAGTGTGACAAATGTGTATGTAATAATGCTGTGTAAATATGCCAACCGGAATTTAAACACCCCACAAACAGGAAACTCTTCCAGACATGAAAGGATTCAGAGATAAATCTCTCCTCATAAAGTTCCCCTTTTGTTCAAACCAAAGTATGGTGTATTATAATGTGAGAGTACATCTTGACTTATACCTCCTTCTGTTGTCTCTCCAGCTCCTTCATGCGGATCTCTCTGGCCTCTGCCCTGGCTGCCCTCTTCGCTGCCAGCCTGGCCTCGGCCTGAGGGGCAGATAAAGAAAGAAATAGGAACAGAGAGGGGAAAATAGAAAAAAAGAGAAGTTAGACAGCAGCCAATTTAGCAGGGTTAAAGTGGTACGCATCTATAAATGCTGAACATGCGTGTGACCTGAGGTCCAGTTCCTCGACAGAGTTCTTAAGAGACGTGTGAATTTTGTGGTACATGGTGGGGAAGTAAACACACCTTACGTTTCAGTAAATGTCAAGTCCTGGAGAATAAATGGGCCCTTTTTTCAAAGGTGCAGGGGATTACAGTATCAAATAAAGCTACTTCAGACAAGGTCTCTAAAAACTGAAATGAATCATATCCAATCTTGGTGGATCATGTTTTACACTGCAGTCAGTCGCAGTGGACTGGATTACCAGTGATGCAGCAGTGTGTATAAACACAGAATATCAAGTGTCCTTTAAACTCTGAATAGATGTGGTGGACTGTCTGAATCTCTAAGTATACAATCTTGTGTGAATCTTAAGACCCATACAGACACACAGCCACAACGGCGTGTAAATGTGTGTATGTATTTATATTTCTGTATTTGAAGGCATTGCCTTTGCTCCACTCAGCAGTCAGGCAAGAGCAGGGCCTTTTCCTTAAAAGGACCTCTCTGAGCGTGTACAGTATGAGTGTGCGTTACAAAGTGTGTAAGCATTTCCTTCCTCTAACTGTGTGGTAGACAGTCCTATGTGGCTGCAGTCTGTTCGTTCTAGGTGGAGTTACTGTAATCCCTCCTACCGTCGCTCTAATGCATTTCCCCAATGTCAGTCACCATGACCATGTAACAGGAAAACATAGACAAAGAGTGAGCTTGAAAGGCGAGCATGTTCTCACACACACACTATTGAAACTTTTAGGCATGACTCAGTTAATCCTGTTCACATAAATGTCAAATGTTGATCACTGTATAGCCTTGTCTGGTAATATCAGGTAAAATGTTCCAGTAACTAAAGGAATTCTTCTTTATCTCCAGGACACAAAGCAGATGAATAAAATGGGTTCAACAACTTGACCTCAGAATTCAGTTTTCTGTCTGTCTTTTGTACTCCTTCAAACTTAAAATATGTACCGTTTGGGGTTTGGGAAAAAGGAAAAAGTCAGCAGGAGTTTGGCTGCATGTCATTAAAAATTGTAAATCTTACACTTAAAGACAACTACACCCAGGTTGAAAGCCCCTGTGGAAACTGATCATGTAGTTACGATGTTTGTGTATGTGAAACCGCACTAAAGCCCAGTTTGTCATTTCACCTAGGCCGCAAACAGCTGAAGCCACTCACTAGCTTCCCACCTAGCAACATTGCCACCTGTGCTGGTTTGGTCATAAGGCGTTGCCAGACTGGAGACTGCAGTCAGGAAATGAACCAGGGCCTCTGCTGTTCTCCAATAGACACTGCCAGTTTTAGGTGTGCACAAACATGAGTGTGCTTGTGACGCCATTTGCTCTCCTGTGCTTGTGTCCATTGTGACACATGTCTATTGGTTAATAATTCTCACGGTGACTTTGCCTACAGTACTTTATTTTAACATTTACTCACCAATTAAATGTGCTCCCGTTCCCTCTTTTCCCCCCACACTCGCACACACCTAAACTTTCTGCTGCAAACACAGCGGAGTGCCCCGCCTCTTTCTGCGTCTCTCTCCATGTATGTGTCTGCTCTGCTGACTTTCTCCATCAGCAGTTTTATAAAGTTGCCAAAATGACGTAGCCTATGAAAATAACACCAACATGGTCTGGTGTGTTCACTGTCGCTTTACTTGGCCTGTGCTTGTAAAATATCCTTTGTGTCTGCGTCTTGTAACGTAATAATGCAAAACCGTCCACGTCTCTCGTATCGCTAAGCCCCACCCATCAAACCCACAAGAAGGAGCCGGTTGCCCTGGAAACTTCATCCCACGTAGGGCTCGCTCACCATGGCAAGGGCCTCACCAAGACCTTCTCAAAGACGCCCAGGGCAGAGCGCCCCAGGCTTCAGAGGCTGCTGCAACAACATCTAACAGCGGGATGAGAGACTAGCACACCACTGCCCCCCAAAATGTATTCCTCACTGTTATTCTTATAAAAGTTACCTACAGCACCTTCAAGTTACAGATGCAGGATTCAAGTCTTGCAGAAAGTTTTACGCAATGCCCATCTGCCTCAATCTGCCTGAAGTGTTTCTGTGGTGGAGAAATGAGCGACAGAGGCCTAAAATGTGACAACAGCAGGGTTGTTGCTGCATCAGTAGAGATGCTTTTTACCCTGCAGTAAGCTGTGTGTGTACTAAGCACCTCCTGCTTGTGGATGTGTGTGAATGTGAACCAGGACATTCCTAAAAAAAGAGAATGTTGTCCTCAGAAAACACTGTAAAATGTTATCTGAGCGATGAAGGAGATATTCCAGAAATGGTTTTGACTGTTCTCCCGGTGGCTTACTCACTGACTGACTGCTTGAATGGCATTTCCTTTAAACCAGTGACTGCTTGGTGTCCTTGGGATTTTTAACATTTGTGCCCATGGCTTTTAGACACACAAAAACAAGCTCTTCAAATCTAATGCAATACCTGTGCTGACACATCTACAACTAAAGTATACACATACAGACTCTCTCTCTTAAAACATTTCATCTTCCATGATCCTTGGGGTGAAGAATTTGTAGTGTCAGAGGAGTAACATGACATCAGTCTTTTGGCTTCCAGCAGCATAAATTCAGCTCCTGAAAACCTCCACTAACATGTCAACTTTGCTCTGAGGAGTTCTGATTCTCACTTACTCTTTCGAACAACAAGCTCAGGTCTTAAAAGCTTTTACTCAAATTTTACAAGACCTTCTATTGACTTCATTCAAATGAAATACGAGAAACAAACAGACATTTTACAGAAAGTTGATATAAATCAGTTTGGGTTAAAAATAATCAGCAAATATTTTTTACAGCGGTTTTAAATCAGGTGTCAGTGGGTGGGTACTACTGTACCACACACAATGCAACCCACACAATACAATAAGTGCCAGGACATGCAGACAATCCTGTATTGAATCAGACTTTCCTGTGAATGACGACTTATTTGACACTCTCTGAATTGTCCGAATGCAGTGAACCCCTCCAAACAATAAGTGGATTAAATAAACTTCAGTGTTATTTCCAAGTCTGTTACTAATCCATCACACTTGACTCTGACTTACAATATTCAGAAGACAATGCAAGCAGAGCCAAAGTATGTCCAAACCCGCAGAGCATTATTTTAAAGCCAATATGTGTAATACTTAGGGATGGGTATCGAGAACCGGTTCCAAAATTTCTCAAAACCCGAAAATCAAATTAGGTTTGAGCTTATTGATAAGTTACTGTTATGGACACTAGCGGGTCCTATGATGTAATGTTATGTCTTGAGCGTCAATTCGGTTTTATTTCGCAACGCAATGGATAAGAAAATCATCGGGCAGCAGTTTCTGCTTGCTGTCTGTCGGCTCACACACACACACACACACACACGTGAAATACAATGAGGGTTAAGTTAGCTCCAAACTACTGTAACGCTCGTTACTGTAAGTACGTGCAATAAAACCTTCGCAAGTAAAAAGACAATACTTTATCAATCCACCTGTCCGTATGGTAACGTTAAACATGTAGAAATGGTTAATTTGATCATTTCTGTCCTCAATATGTTTTATACATGCACAGCTAACGCTAGCTTGGCATTAGCCAAATGTTAAAAACAAGCTAAATAGAAAGCGGTGTCTGGAGAATAGACTGGTCTGTAGCCGCTCTTCATACCTGGTAACGTTACCTGCAGCCAGCGAGAGAGGAGGAGGGACTGATAACGTTACAGACTGATGTTATTCTTTCTAAACGTCACTCACTACTTGTGATGTCAGATAAAGTTATTGATTTACTTTGCTGTTGTCTAGAAACAACATTTAGCTGTATTTAAAATATTAAATTAAAAACAACCAGGCAGTTAATATGTACACTTCAATATATGTTTATTTATCGCAAGTGATATGTCTATATCTCAATATATATAATGTTATCGCACATTGAATATTTCCCTCATACCCTGCAGGCCTACCTCATGCCCACTGGGTCTGGTCTTACCAAATAACCATCACTAAATAATAGTAAAGTATCGATTGTGGTATTGATAAAGAATCGGATCGTTAAGCAGTCTCAATAAGGGTATCAATATCAATAAAAATTAATGATCCCCAACCCTAGTAATACTGCAGTCAACTGATTTGGACCAGGTAAAAGTTATAACAAATATCTCTATGGTTTCTTGACTGGTCCTGATAGAAATTACACAACTGAAACCAGTTGGGGAGGAAAACAGAAACCAGAATTCAAGAAGTCCAGCATGATTGGTGAAAAATCTAATGTAAAGCCAATGAAGTGTGAAAAGTGACAGTCAATATAATTGAATTCTGTGTCCTATACATCATATACGAGATTGGATTCTTGCATAAACTGTCAGCATCTGCACTGGTAATCTCACGGCAAAACGTCAGCAGTGCAGCAGCCCCTTGAACCGCTCTTGAAACCTAGAGGTGTGAATGATTTCATCATCTGCAATCGTTTGTACTGGGTGGGAGTGCTGTATATACTTAGAAACATACTTACTTGCGGTTATTTTTGATAACAAAATAATTTAACTCTGCAACATTTAAAAAACAGGCTGACTAGCAACATTAAGGCTCGTCACTTCTTTTTCAAGGAAACTATATTTTAAACAGACAAAAACAGTAAACTGCACACAGAAAGCTGCTATTATTTATATCAATTTTAGCAGTTTATCGCGCATTTTGTAAATTGCTGTCGCACTAAAGAAAAATGTTATTAAAGTCGAGTCAGAATTCTTTTCTGAGGTTGATTACTTACCTGACAGCACCTGAGATGCGTTGATGTTTAACCAAATGACTCAAAACAAATACACACATTATCTAACTCTTAAAACTATTAGTTTGGCATTTATTATTATCAAGATACACCACTAGCTCAGTTACTGTACGTTAG